AATGAACGTAATTATCATCAGTCTCAGGTTAGCACTAAAAAAATTAATCCAATATGTTCCAGTATATTTTTTTCCGTTCCCAGGCTTGAACCAAAAGCCTATCCGAAAATTCGAATTAAGACAGCAAATAATACGTAACACAATTATGATTATATAATTAATCCTTAAACAATTAACCTGCTTTATTCATTGACCTGTATATCAATAAAGATAAAAGCAGAATGTAGGCCACTGTTCCTTTTATTAGCAAAACCGACGCTTTTGTTAGAAACCTTAGAAATGCATTACAGTAAACACGAACCCCGAAAATATGTAAAAGGCCTTTGTCATAGACATTTACATAAAACAGGTGCAACATACGAACCCTTGAATTTCTTACGTATCTTCAAATAAATATGCTAAAAAATACTTACACATATTCCTTAGTCAGATCTGATCACATCACATGCGGATAAAGCACAAAAAACCAGAGAAAAAATAACGTTATCTCACGCCACGGAAACCTTTTGTTAGCACCAAATTTACACTTTCACCACTCACGTTAGCTTTGCACAAATAACCTTATTTACACCCACTGTCAACTATACAACACTTATATACAACACTAGTACAAATTTTAATAGAGAAATGTTGATTTTGCAATAACAATAATACGCCGTCGACCCTTCGTAGGCCCGCCCGCTTGCTACGAGCTCCGCTACGGACTGACGTAGCGCGTAGCCCGTAGCCGGCGACTTGGAGGGAAAATAGATTTGCGCACAATACGCCGACCGATACGAATTGATACTTGTGCCATTGAAAAGTGTACGTGAGGTTCAATGGTGAGTGAACTTATACGGGTTTTGAACCTTACACTAATTATTTACTCTTATGAGATTTTGCTATTAAGTGTTATTTTTTTAAATATAATAATTGTGTGTAGATTACAGATTGTTAATTAAGGCAATTTAGAAAAAAATGGTTCCTATTACTAGAGTAGCAATTACATGTTTATTTATTTTGGACGATGTACTCTACTTTTTTTATAAAAATCACTTGTAATGGCAACTTTTAAACTTTCGCATTTCATATTTACAACATATAATAATGCGCTATTAACGCGAAAAGTATTTTAGAAACGTCAAGCCTACCAAGGTATTTCAATAAATACTTTTTGCGTTAATACCCGCGTAATTATATGTGGTAAAGATATGATTTTTGAAACTTGAGCACAGTTTCAGCGAAACGTTTAGTTGTTTAGCGAAATTGTCTTTAATTTTACTAAACGTAAACCGAGAAGGAATCAGATATTTGATTATATATGATAGGAGAACAAACGAGTATACGGTTTACCTGATGGTAAGCTATCGGAGCCGACCCATTCGTGCCGAATCTTGGCTCTCCCACACGTAAATCTATGTACTAATCAGATGCTCATTTTTTTATTTACGGTACACAATAAATCGTTTGCCATTCACCTTAACATTATTTCTTGACTAAATGTGTAGTGCAAACATCATTACTAAAAAACCACCTTTGAATGTAATTAGCTCATAGAAAATCAGACTTATTTACCTTTTAAAAAGACTTACTTTTGCAATAATTTATAATTACAGTGTTTAAACCTGCTGTTTATGTAACACGTTACCCTATAACATGTAATCGATGCGTGGCTCGCTCGATTCGCCCCTGTGTAGGGTGATAAGATTCCCTTGATTTACCCCAGTAGCTTTACATTATGGGTTATCAACATCATCATAATATGTTAAATAGGACCAACATTTATTATATTTACATAAGTATATACTCTAGCATGACTGTGAGGTGACTAGTTTTTTACGTATATTATTTTGAAAATTGGGACACATGACTGTGCACAATGATTTTTCATAGATTTTTTTTATTTCTTCAAATAAAAGTCCATAATAACTTTCTTTTTCTCAATTTTAAATTTTGTTTTTTGTGTGTGTAGATCACACAAATAGTTAAGTTCCGTATCTTTATTAACATTATTAAAGTTTGTTGATTAAGATAAGCAGGTTAATTGTTTTAGAATAATTATTGTAAATAATAATTTTAAATATGATATTTCAGTTAGGCTTTGCATTCAATATTCGTGATGTGATGAACCATAATGGAAGACGGTCTGTAAGTAATGATAATCATAATAATTACTTATTTAATCATAAAAATGGTTTAAACACAGTCTAGTAGAAAGAATCTGAGTATATAAGTTCAATTTATTAATTTATTCCTTATTGTGTAACATAAAACACACGAGAAACATAAAATAAAATACACATATTTTTTATGTTTGCTTGCAACTTACACTCAGATGAAGAAAAATCCCTGAAAAAAATTGATTTAATTTTCATAACGTATTCACAAAGCACAAAAATATACCGAGTCTAATTTGCTACGCCCTTCACGTCGTAGTCACGTAGCGAGTCTACGATGCTACGCCGTAGAGCTGGAAATTATGCTACACGTTCAGGGTAATTGGTTAATAATAGGGACAGACACATTTACGTTTGAAAATAAGGGAATTGACATATTTTGTGATATTAATGAAATATATTGTGTTATTCGTTACAATTTTAAAAGCCAACTTAGTTTTAAAACATTTCATTGAGACTGGACATACCTATCATTATCTGTTAGTTGGTTGTAATGAAGTAAAAAAAATTGAAAAGTCACAACGGAACTCTTAGTTATGAACAGCGTGCCCGTCGTGTGGAGTTAGCGCAGTTAAAGTTAATGAAATAGTCTTTTCTCATACCCGTTATAGTCGAAGACATCCAGCGATCTGTCCAGAAAAGTACACAGGTACCTTTTGCCAAAACAAAGGGACCTACAAAGTTACAACTTATTCTAAACATACAATTTATAAGCTATGCCTAAGTCTGGATTAAGTAAGCCCTGCAAAATGAAGGTTGTGTAAGCATTCGGTTTAATCAAACTATATTCTAAACCCTTGGTCTTTGTATAACAACCGTGAAAGACCGGTCGTGTTTCTTTAATACCCTTGATTGTCTTTTTAGTTCATTATCAGTGCTCTGAACAAAGTATAAGAGACTTGATCGCTTGATCGCACAAACTATTTTTAGGTTCTTCCTTAAGGTTATTTTGTACTTGATATAACTAAAAAAGATCGAGATTATACCTACGTCATGGTTGTTTTGTATGGACAAATAAATTTTATTTTATTTTATGGAAAATCTTGTTAGTTTTCAATGAAAATTGGGTAAAACTTTTTTAACCGGTCTAACAGGTGGTGTTCGGTAACCATAGTCTATCTTTTGATACCACATCACTTATGTCATCTAGTACAATGATTATACCTTCAAATATTTGTCATATGTTTCATTGTTTACTATTACCACAGATTACGATTCGTAGCTGAGAAAACCCTCGTCATAATTTTCCCTTAGGAGCTGACCTTCCTCAATACACGATCGAAAAATTGAACAGCAATTTACGCAACCACAAGATCGTTGGATTGCTTTCAAAACTCGTGTTACGTCAGACGTAGACGTGTAGACGTTTGGCGAATTTATAATCGTAGTTCGTCTGTACGTTCGTTCGTCCGTCCGTTCGTTCGATCGGTCCTTCGTCCGCTCATTCATTCGATTGTTCGTCCGTCAATTCGTTCGTTCGGTTGTTTGTTCGTTCGTTCGTTCTTTGTCGCATGCACAACTCATTTCCTATAGTGATATAGAGTGCCTAGTACGAGATCACGTTAAGACCATCGAGACGTTTATACGAGTAATATTCGACGATCTGATTGGCCAGCTCTAACTTAAACAACCAATCAGAGGTCCAAATGCAGTTAACTAAGAATACTGTGAGATATTATAAACATATGTCGCAGTACCCTCAGGTGTTAACTCATTCTTGAACATCGACGAACCAGTCATTGTCTTAATGATCTAACATATTTTGAGTTTAGTTTTATAGCCAAGCTAAATTATATTGGATTGTTCGATTATTGAAATTACAAACCTGGAGGCTTAAACTGAGGGAGTGTCAGACTCTTATTGTCTGACAAAACCAATCCCCTTTCTTGTCCTGCTCCAGACCTGAGTACCTTATTGCGTTTGTCCCGCAACCCCGGCTAAATATCGGTTCTGTTGGGCCTCATCTGTGGTGGTCTACTAACTCTTTGAAGCGCGTGGAATATGACGCGTCGTACACTCGAAAACTCTTTAGTAGTTTTATTGTAATTTGCATTTCTTTTTTTTTATTACTTCTCTATTATTAGTGATGAGGTCCATGTATACATAACATATAACTAGAGCAACAGAACAATTTGGGCATAAAATAATAAAACTGTAAATAGTACTAATAAACTAACTTTGATCAAATCTCTAGTACTTTCGCACATTTCACCTCACATTAACACAATTCCACTGTGATATGTTTAAAAAAGAAACACATGGCAACTTTTAACATTAGTTATTTCATTCGTTATGATATATATGGAACACTAACTGTGACCAATTACGTCAGAACCGATTACAAGCGGTCGGCGCAGCTACCAACAAAAATTCATTAGTTTCCACAACGGGACGACCGCTCTCACAAAAGCCCGGGAAGAATGCCTCTACCGCAACATTTGTTCTATGCCTAACTATTTATTCTTTGCTATATATGAATGTATATGGAACTATAAGCTTTTGCACAAATTTTGGTACAAAGTAGACATTGTCTTAGTATTTTTGTCCTAGTCGAACTTTTTACCTAAACTTTATTGACTATGTAGGGGTTTTGATAATAATTCTTTAGGGAGTTTTATTAAATTTTTTTTTACTAGCCTGTTATGTCCCACTGCTGGGAAAAGGCCCCCCGTCTCGCTTACACACCTCCCGCTTCTTCGACCGTGTCTACCAGTCTCGACGATAGGCGTCTAGATCGTCACGCATATTTCTTTTTAAAATAAACTTTATTTTAACAACATCTTTATATTATATTTGATAATAAAATTCATGTGTATATATGACATAAAATCGTATAAAATATAGGTTAGGCTTAGCGACTTAGCAACATAGTCTTCAGGACATTTACAATTATTCCTTCATCAATATTCATGCCATTTTGCTGTGTGGTTTTTTTTTGTTGTCATCGTTGGTGTCATTTCTCCTTAAAATACTGAGCAATGTATCTGCCGACTACAAGCATAGGTCGTCTCTGCCATTCTGTTAATGTAGTTTTGCTTGGAGTCACCTGCAAACATAAAAAAACAATAGTAGAAGTAAAGCTCCAATCCAAAAGCATTAAATAACTATTTATATAGGAGCGATATTGTATTTGTTGTTTAGACTACAGCAGTTAATAAAACTTTTAAGTAACACGACATCTATCGACAAGACGAAAAACAACAAAAACTTTATAACAACGCCATCTATCTACCGCATAACGAACCTGATCGCCTTGGAGTCGGTTTAAGAATGTGACGCAAACAATACTGGCGCGGATTCCTGCTTCTCTAGTGAAAGCGCTAAAGGCTGTGGCTTCCATCTCTATGTTACGGACACCCATGTTAGTTAGCGTCTTTAGAAAAGTCATCTTGTCTGCCTCAGTGTAGTCGCAGAAAGGCCCATCAAGACGCGCTTGGCCTGAAATGAGAAATTGGTGTTTGATCTAAAGTTACTTTGTTTGTATACGAGTAATAACAACTGTTGTACTGTACAGTAAGAAATCGGTTGAAACTTTATTTAACTATTTTTGAGTCATTCGAAATTCTAAAAGTTTTAAATTAGTTTCGTTGATAACAAATGATCATTATTATCATGAAGTTGGTATAAAAATTTTCGTATTGAATTTTAAATAAAAATAACCTGTTTACCTCTATAAAAGTCATCAGCTCCCATAGTTCCGCCCATGAATGTACCAAAGCCATCGTCATCAGAGCTCAGCGATTGAACTTCTTGGCACACCCTTTGGTCGAGGAATGCTGGCAGCTTGCGAGTTTTGCCTAGCACTGGCTGGAATTAATAAAAATTATACAAATAATGAGCTAAAGCTAAAACATTTGGAATATGCTTTAGTAAATATTACTTTATAGGGAGAATTGTTTAATTGAAACCCTCGATTGCTAAGATCGTATCACGGTCCCAACCCACAAACTTTTTTTTGAGAAGGGAAAATCAGGGTTGTCTTCTCTCACCCAGGGTATGGTATGGGAAAAGGAAGCGTCAGGCTTTTAGTGACTAAAAACCACCCCCTTCCGTTTTGTGCTTGACCCGCGATCCCGGCTAAGCATCAGCCCTGTTGGGTCCCATCTGTGGCCTGTTGGCTCTTTAAAGCGCGCGTAATACAAGCCTAAGGTGGTCCTTTGATGGACTACGAATTTTTTCTACTGCCATAAAACGATTTCTCACAATCATAATGAGTTTATTTCACAAATTAAACCCCTTTAGACCCGATGTCTCAGTGGGCTTAATTTTCTATGTTCGATGGTTTCAGTTGATGTGTCGCAGCCTGACGGAAAGAGTTGATTTTTAGCTAGTAAGAGAGAAATAATTTTCTATGACATTTGTATGAAAAACTGAGTTATGACTGATGTTTCCTAATAATTAGGTACAAAATATCTAAAACTTAGTGTATCGATCGATCGTTGAATGAAAGTATAGGTATTTTTCAATATTTTATTGTATTGAAACGTCGAATTAACGTATTTTTGACCTAGGAAACTACCCAATTCTACTCGATTGTCATCACACATCATAATAAACAAACAAATCGTCCGATAACCCTAATTTGACCTTCTTTATCCTTTCAAAGATAATGATTGTCTCTAGGACAAGGCGAGTTGTCGCTACAGATAATAATTAGATGATTGTGATGCAAACGATCATCTTTGTTTGATGTAGGACAGCCAATAAAGACAGATAACTACTTATTTCAATCCTAATTCAATTATTTAAATTATGTGCAATACTGAGCCACTTTTGCTGCAAGGCGAAGGTACCATATGAAATGCAATTCATTTTTCGCCCTAAATTTGGTCTATGTAACAGGATGCTTAATGTCGGATGCTAGGGTAAAATTTGTGCTACTTCTGTGAAAACGCTAATTGCCCCTGAAGACAGATGTACCTACTCCATATGGGTAAATACAATTTATCCCCAGACAAATACATTAAGAATGGCTATACTCACAACATCGTAAGTCTTCTCCAAATTTCCATTCACTCCGAACGTTGAGACGACGACTGAACCAGCCGGTATACCAAGACCTCCAGACGTGCCAACTCTGAAGAAGATAGGATCCTTAACCTTCGCGTAGTACATCAACTTGATCACTTCTTGAAGGACTGTTGTCATCGATGGGATGCCAATGCCATGCTAAAGAGATATAAAAAATATTTTTTATGGTAGGTATTGATAAGATAATTAGAGTATTCTTGGGCTCAGCGAAAGTCTGACATTTATGTATCTGAGGTTTTCAACAACACCATTGAGTATACGATTTGGCACTTCTACTTACAAACTTTTTCCATCATGATAATATATATTTTCGCTATCACAAATACAATTTTTGTGTGTTCTGTTGCTGGCCCAATAATCCAGTCTTTCTTTGTATCCTGATATGTCTAGTAGAGGAGTGGTTCTGATCTTTTTCTCCACAAAAAAATGGGACTTCGGAAAACCTATAGAGCTCATTTGTCATTACTTTTTCAGTGTCAATCACATCTTTATATATAAAAATTTCGTGTCAGGTGTTTGTCCGCGATGGCCTCCTAAACTACTAAACCGATTTTAAATTTGATTTGCATTCCGTGTGCATTTTGATCCTACTTGAAAGATAGGATAGCTTACATCTCAATTTATAGTCACAATATTATTTTATTGCAAAATTATTTGTCTATATATGTATGTAATATGACAAGAACCATATGTATGAATAATTTAAGTGTGGGAGAGCCAAGCTTCGGCACGAATGGGTCGGCTCGACCGGAGTGATACCACGGCCTCACAGAATACCGGCGTGAAACAACCCACAGCGTTGTGTTTCGCCGTGTGAGTGAGGTTACCGGAGGCCCAATCCCTCCCCTTCCCCTATCCCTTCCCAATCCTTATATCCGCAACCCCCATCCCCAAAAGGCCGGCAACGCACTCGAAACTCCTTTGGTGTTGCGGGTGTCCATGGGCGGCGCCGATTGCTTACCATTAAAAAAAAAAACCTTAGCCCCAGCAACGCTAGTGTAGCTGGGTCTGCTAGTGTATCACATAATATGAGTGTAAGATAGTTAATATTTAAGTGGGTTTTTCGTGGGATAGGTTGGCAAACTAGCAGACGGATTATCTGATATGCAATCAGCGCAGTCCATGAACACTAGTAATACGAAAGGAGTACTGCAAATGCATTGCTGACCTTTTGTAGGTTATTAGAGATTTAAGGTTACGGCATTTGAATTGAGGATGGGGGTGAAAAATTGGGCCTGCGATAACCTCACTCACACAGTGAAACACAACCTAAGTCTTTCGTTTAGTTTCACGTCGGTAGTCTGTGACGCCGTGGTACACTCCGGTCGAGTCGGCCGATCCGTGCCGTAGCATACCTCTTCCACGTCTAAATTCATATTGTACATTGATATTAGATAACTATCTCTTATCATTGAAGCATTATTCCGGGACCTGAACCATAAAATCTAGATCATTGCAATATCTGATCGGTTATTAATACCAGGCTATAGATGAGTTGTACTAATAAATACTAGATAAGTATTCTTTTGGGCCCGCCGTTGATTGCGACTTTTTATGACTGTGACTTCTATTACACAGGATGCGCTCACTTAAACTGTTCGTGAGTGACAAATGCTAATAGTTGTATGAATTTCAAAATGGTATAAGCAAAAATAACAAAAAATAAAGCCACAAGTGAGCAGACTCGCATAACAATGTACAGATCGACTGACAGTCACACATTGTCATGTCGCCGAAGAGAGCGCACTCTCCTATATCTTCATTGCACTTCATTAAGGTGACAAAGACATTGAAAAAAAAAAAAAGTCAATCAACTTTTAACATATAAACAACTAATATTCCCAAACAGTTTCACCATTTCCTTGGCTTTTTGGTTGTAGTTTATAGTAGTGAATAATAATATAAGTACATACAAAGATATTTCGTCGAACTAAGCTTTAAAAGTCCTAATGATAAAAATATCTTGAACAGCGTGTAACAACGACCATGTCACTTTAGAAGTACCGGGTAAGTTCGGGTTACTTTGACCCTGCGGGGTAACTTTGATCCAAACCCCTTAACCAATAATAACTGAGAACCAAACATATATTCGTTTTTCATTGGTTCAAAAATTTGGATCAAAGTTACCTCCCAGGGTCAAAGTAACCCCGGGCACGCTACTATAGCAGCGGTAAGACCCCTCTTTGAGGAGTGGCTTGAGAGATGCCACGGCGTCCTCACCTTCCGCCTGACGCAGGTGCTTACCGGGCACGGCAGCTTTGGTAGGTTCCTGTTTCGGATCCAGCGGGAGGAAACGCCCGAGTGTCGTCATTGTGCGGATCACCTGGAGGACACGGTGGAGCATACGGTGGCGCAGTGCCCTGCTTGGGCTGAGCACCGCCGTGTTCTCAGGGAAGTGATCGGCGGCGGCGACCTCTCGCGCCCGGCCTTAATCGAGGCCATGGTGCAGCGTGAGAGGAACTGGGAAGCTATCTCCTCCTTCTGCGAAGCAGTTATGCTCGCAAAGGAGGAGGCGGAGCGCGTGAGGGAACTATCCTCCTCGCGCCCCAGCCGCCGCAGAAGGCGACATTCCGGACGTCGGGGATCGAGAGATGATCTCCGGTCACCGTAAGCGCGGGTCTGCGGACGGCGAGTAAGGGTAGCTCGCCGCCCGACCAGAACCGGACCCGAGCGTACGGCGCGTAGCGTTCCGCGCGCGCCTCAAAGAGCCAATAGACCACCACAGTCGGGGCCCTAAAGGGCTGATGTTTAGCCGGGGCTGCGGGGTAAGCGCAATGAGGCACCGCGACCTCGGCCCAGAGCAGGAGAAGGAACGGGGGGGTTTTTAGTCAGTAAGAGTCTGACACTCTCTCTCGCCTTACCCTGGGCGGGAGAAGTCATTGGATGATTTTCCCCTGACAAAAAAAAAAAAAAAAAAAAGGGTCAAAGTAACCCGAACTTACGATAAGGTTACCGAATTTCCTTTTAAGTGTGAGAGACAGAGTCATGCTTCGACACGAATGGGTCGGCTCGACCGGAGTGATACCACGGCCTCACAGAGAAATTGGCGTGAAACAACCACAGCGTTGTCTTTCGCCGTGTGAGATCACCGGAGGCTAAATCCACCTCTTCCAATCCTACCTCAATACCAAACTCTCCGAATCCTCGCCAAAAGGTCGGCAATTTCCTTGAAAATTCTCCCTTATTGTGGACGTCCATGGGCGTAGCTGATTACTTACCATCAGGTGATCCATATAAAACCATCTGCTTGTTTACGATCTATCACATAAACAAAAGTTCCAGTCGTCATCTACATGTAAACACTTACACTAATGGAGAGAACAGGTCCAACTTTATACATGGCGTATCGCTGCGAGTGTTTCGTCAGATTCACGAGCTTCTCCCCTTTGTTCGGCAGGTCCAACACTTCCCGCATGTACTCTGCAAACTCACGCATGCGAACCTTTGTGCCACCCATACATACGAACTAGAAAACAAATGAAAATACAGGGCCGTCAAAACATACATGATAAAGAGATATGGGGTTGTGGGTGCAAGCAGAATAATGAGCCGCGAATCCTGTCTGGACAAGAAAGTACGGGGAAGTTTTTAAGTTTTTAGACAGTAAAAGTCTCACACTCCCTTTTATCCAACTAGGGTGAGAGAAGTCATTTTATAATTTTCCCCGTCTCCAGAAAACCGGCTGCTCAAACACTAATATTTGAAACTCCTTTTTCCAATCACCTAAAACAGCAGCGCGTGTTTTGTATCATCCAAGTTGAAACTCGTTCTCCCATTACAGTCAAAACTTGTAGTTTGTCTGTATGTAAAGTAAAGATAACCTAACCATTATTAGGAAAAAACTCAAGACGCTAGAACGGTTTGTCGAAATATGGACAACAAAAAAGCATCGTTTATCTTTCAACATCAAACTAATCTAGCGTTTAGTGATCATGGGGTAACGTTCAGCCGGGGTTGCAGGGTAAGCGCAATGAGGCACCGCGACCTCGGCCCAAAGCAGGAGAAGGAACGGGGGGGTTTTCAGTTAGTAAGAGTCTGACTCTCCCTCCCGCCGGGCCCTGGGCGGGAGAAGTCATTGGATGATTTTCCCCTGACAAAAAAAAGAAAAAAAAGCGTTTAGTGATCATTAAATGTTTCTCACATTGGCTTATGGTTCCACTTACCTTGACATCTCCAAACATGGCAGGAAGGTCGTAAGTCCTTGTATCAAGGCCCAAGTGATACAGAATATCCACATCTAGGTTGTCTAGATGTTTATTCAACAACTTTATGGTACCATCTGCATTTCTGTAATTAGAGAATATGGTATAATGTAGAGCGCCGTTTTAAAGGCTTTTTTATACAAATTTATAAATGGGAATAAGTCTAGCAATGTGGCGGAATCGACATTACAATAAATCTATGTGCACTTAAAGCTATCCTGTCATACTCAGAGGCATTCAATGAATTCTTAAATCATGGTGGTATGGCTTGGGCTGAGCACCACCAGGTCCCCAGGGAAGTGATCGGCGACGAAAATCTCTCGCGACCGGCCCAAGCTATGGTGTGGAGCGAGAGAAACTAGGAAGCCGCCTGCTCCCTCTGCGAAGCAGTGATTCTCCAAAAAAGGAGGCGAAACACTAAGGGAAATATTCTCCTCGTGCCCCAGCTGGCACAGGCAGATACTCTGGGTATCGAGGATCTCGCGACGGTTCTGACAAACCCCAGCAAAGAGCCATTTAGACCAACACAGATGGGGCCCATTACTGCCAATGTTCAGCCAGGGTTGCGAATGCAAGCGCAATAATGAACTGCGGCCCGGGCTCGGAAGAGGATTAGGAACAGGGTGGTTTTTAGTCAGTAAGAGCCTGACACTCCATCTCGCACCACCTAGATTGATAAAAGTCATTTGATGATTTTTACCCCTCAAAAAAGACTGGATTGGATCATTTGGAAGCCATTTAAATACTCTGAGTATGGCATCAATTTAATTCGTTAATATAAGACCAGTATTTTCTTTTTAAATTTTTTTTTTGTCTAAGTATCCTTGTAAAGCTATTTCAAGCATAAATACTTACTTGGGACATGGTTTTCCTGGATGCAGTTCATCCCACGCCAACCGACAGTTGTCATAATGCTTTGCTAATAACTCTCCATTGGTAAGGACGTAGTCACAATCACACCTCATCTTTTAACTGTTTATCTGTAACAAAAATGCAACTTTAAAGTCATGTACATAAGACTCTAAATGATTCTGGAAACATACTTGTCCGTTAAACATATTGATCATCTGTGGATGAATATTCTGCAACGCCCATAGACGCTCGCAATACCAAAAGTTATAAAAATCAAAAGAAATTTTTAAAGTCTTATAATTTTTACAGTGTCTTAACGCACACAGGACACAGGAGTAAATCCTAGTGTGAGACAACCTTTTTTTTATTAACAAAAAGTTCTTTTTATATGAAGATTAACAATTTACAGGCGGTTTTAAATATAAAAAAATAAAATAAAATTACGGTGATGTAACCAGTCAACTAGTCGGTAAGTCGTGGTGGCCCGGGTGTTAAGGAGCCCGCTACTCATGGTGTGAGTGTGTGGGTGTGGGTTCGAAACCTGGCAAGTAACAATATGACTTTTTCCAAGTTATATGTACTTTCCATGATTATTTAGACACCACTGACATACGGTGAAGGTAAACATCGTGAGGAAACCTGGACTTGTAATTTCTAATAATAAGTTTGAAATCAATAACCCGGATTGAATAATCGTGGTGATTAATGCTCTAACCTTCTTCGTATGACAAGAGGCCTTTGCTCAGCAGTGGGCACCAGACCAGTCAACAGGACCCCGTAATCGATTTGAAAAGGGTGCTGAAAGCAAATACTCCAGGAAAACATTACCCGTTTAATTGAAAGTGTTCCAAACCGGCTTAGAGAGTATATTAGTACGCGCGGAGAACAGACTCTATACTAAAAATACCCCTGTGCAATCCACAAAGTTTATTTAAGACACAGAAATCGGAACTATCAAGATCGCTTTTAATTTTAAGGGTGAATTGAACTCTTTTATGTGTATTTAAAGTAAAGAAACTAAAGTGTCAGTGCCGACCGCCAGGACCAACCTCCTGGCCAAAACGCCTGTCACGCGAGCAATTCGTATTATAAATGAAATCCACAACAATATAGATATTTTTTCGTGTCAGTTCAGTGAACTCGCAAGGATGACTTTATTTATATTATGTTATTAGATAGATTAGGCCGTAGTTGTTAATGTGTTTTATTTTATTGTTTTTGTTTTGTTTGTTTTGTATGTCTTTTTTATTAACCAAGAAGGGTGTGTGTCTGGTTATGTATTTATGTTTTTAATTGTATTTTTATAATGTTTTATTTAGTTTAATGCATCACTAACGCATTGGATTAGTCTGTAATGTTAGTGTTAAGGATGATAAATAAATAAATAAAGTATTTTCATCATTTCAACACGATATAACACCAATACAACCCATATAAAAGAACATTTAAGAACAACAATCTTATGCGCACGAGCGATACTAGCTACCAGACCTACTCTCGACATTGACTACGTGACTGCTTTCTACAAGCAAAATAACAACACCATTAGTACGTCATTCATACAAAAAACTACCTACATAAAATAAAGATAAACGCAATGTGCACATAGAAACATGATCGCAAATAAAATCTTATCTTAACACTTATCAACAAAATGCATTGATAATTACTTAGTCTTAAGATTATGTAGATAAAGCTACCTCAACATTATCGATAAGAAATATGCATTTTAGATTACGCATAGCTAATACAAATAATTTTTCGTTAACAATTTATATTACATAACCATTATTCCAAGAATGCATATTGAATGGATGATTCATCATCGCCGGCTTCGTCTAGTTTTTTACATATAATTTGACGTGTAAAAGTGCAGTTTTATGGCTAATTTGCCATAAATTCATTGTGTCATTGTTTCACCAACAAAATTATCTAAACTAGACGGACTTGAAGAGTAACGTTTACAAAGTTTTATATATATTCTTACTAAGTTTATTTACACACTAATGACAAACGGTAAAGGAAAACATCGTGAGGATCCTATACTTATAATTCCTTATTATAAGTTTGAAATAACAAATCCACCTTGAGCAAGCGAGGTAATTAATTCTCAAATCTTCTCCGTGTAAAAAGAGGTCTTTATTCAGCAGTAAGTGTAAGAGAGCCAAGCTTCGGCACGGATGGGTCGGCTCGACCCGAGTGATACCACGGCCTCACAGAAAACCAGCGTGAAACAATTACAGCACTGTGTTTCGCCGTGTGAATGAGGTTTGCCCAATACCTTTCTCTCACCCTATCCATTCCTAAACGTAAAGTAAAAGGCCGGCAACGCACTCGTAACTCCTTTGGTGTAGTGGCTGTCCATTGGCGGCGGCCGATTGCTTATCATCAGGTAATCCGTTTGCTCGTTTGCCGACCTTTACAATTAAAAAGTGGCGAGACAACAAATGCGTCAACCAAAAGTATCAGAGAAATGAGACAAAGAAAGCCATTATTTGTCTTGTTGCTTATAAATTGAAACAATTGATTATAATTGGTCCTGGCGCCAATCTCTGGTTAGGATGACCATTCTTAAAGATCGCTTGGGACTTAAAATGTAAATGTAACTGCAAAAAATTGCGTGCTACATTAATTAATACGTCGTGTATTTCCTCACATGCTGCTCACACTACTGTTTAACATTTTAACTGATAGATAATTATATACTATGATACAACAACCCTGACTGCACGGTTGGCGCGGTGTCTGGGCAACTGGCTGCCGCGCAATGTGTCGTGGGTTCAACAACAACTCTTTGTGTGATCCACAGATTGTTGTTCCGGGTCTGGGCGTGATGTGTATGTGAAATTGTATGTTTGTAAGCGCAACCACGACACAGAAGAAAATCCCAGAGTGGGGCAACTTTTAAAAAAACCTGAATTAACCAAGAGAAGAGGAAAAGATATCGTTTGCCTAGAAGAAGAAAAAAAATTCTCGAACCTTTCCTACACAACAGTATAAATGCAATGTTATCCTTTTACTCTTACTCTTATAAACTCCGTACCTGTAAGAGAATCCTAAAGGAAGCACTTTAGGCACTTATGTATGCATTTCAAATTTCGCATTGCAAATTAATACTTCACTGTTTTACGGGATTTAACGCGCAGGTTACTTCCCAATCCTACCCCTCCCCCAATCCCTAAATCTCCAAATCCCAAATCGAGGGATTGTTGAGGGTGTCCATGGACGGCGTTGATTGCTTACCATCAGGTAATCCGTCTGCTCGTTTGCCGACTTATATCACATTAAAATACCTTTTTATTAGATTAGATTCACACACACACACACACACACACACACACACACACACACACACACACACACACACACACATTACTTGCTAATATTAGGGTAAACTATTTCATATCTGTAATTTTATTTTTTATTTTCTTATTGTTTTCAATACCTTAATTATACTAATTGTAAGAGGAGGGCGCCTGTGTCTGTAACACAGTTTATACTAGCACAGACACAGTCGTTAACTCTGTCTCAAAAATGCTTTGTACCTACTTAATAAATAGTGTACTTTTATATTACATTGAGACGGACAAATTGTAGTTGGCTTTATGAAATAAAGATTTATAAAGATTTATTAAAGATTATCGCTTGACGTTTCAACAGTGTTACACCTGCAGTAGTCATCAGCAGACAGCTCATCAGTCTGATTAAATCTCGTAAAACAGTAAACTACCAATTAATGTGTATGAAAAGGAAAACACAGAGAAGTTATTATTAGTTCTTAAGTAAGTTAAGTAATGGCATTTTTTAGCATAGATGACATAGATTTCAAGTATATCCAACCTTATATTATAAAAGCGAAAGTATCTATGTCTGTCTGTCTGTTTGTCTGTCTATCTTTCCTTCACACCTAAACTACTAAACTGATTTCTGTGAAATTTGGTATAGACATTTTGGAACTCGAGTAAGGACATAGGATAGTTTTTATACCAAAAATCTGCAGGAAGTCACTACTCCACGCGAACGGAGTAGCGGGCAAAAGCTGGAGTATTCTAATATTTTTGGACTTTACTTTAAAAATAATTATCTACTTATAGAAACACTTTTGATTATTTAACAACGTTTACTATTTTTTACCAACTCTCGCCTGAAACACAGAAAGCCCTAGTTCAAGCACCCCATATTTTGAATTTGCTACATTTTTAGCAAAAGTGCATTACTCTAGATTTATTTTATTATACTGGCTCATTGCTCGACCTTGATGAAAACGAACCTGTCAGGATTTTCTTCTCATACGTTTCACTTCTTCACGTCGTAACATTTAATATTTTAAATTAATAACACATCACACCCAGGCCTATAAATAATCTTTGTATCAGAAAAAAGAAATTTACAACTGGACGTTGCACAATAGTTAGTTAGTTTTAGGAAACAAGAAAATTTAGTATTCGGCGTAAAACATAGAGACTTACTTTCATCCAAATCGGTCGAGCCGTTTACGAGTTAGATGACAAACACACAACAACAAACAATCACAAAGCCAACATAGATAAACACTAACCATCCGGTTGGGTTATTATATTTAAAATTTAGTATATTGCACAAATATTCAAGTCTGTTTAAGTTTATGCACTAACCTCGGACGCGTGTAAACAGGTCGACGAAGGCTACAATACTAACTCAGGACGTCTACAAAGTTGCATCGCTTATCATTTGAAGTATGTTATCCTATATCTTGCAATATTATGAGTACTGTACCATTCATTGCCAATATAAAACAGCCTTTAACCTATTATGTACAGTCAGGGGTCAAAAATGCAATTACACTCTACAAATTTTAAAATGACTAAAATTTCTTTGTAGTAAAAGTTCAATGGTTCACAGCCAGTTTATTCAATAATTTAGATTCTATGCTATTAATTAAAGCAGTCCTCAACCATTGACTCTATACTATAAAGATATTTTGGTCATTTTAAAATTGGTAGAGTGTAATTGAATTTTTTGACCCCTAACTGTACTAGCGACCCACAAGGCTTCGCATCAATGCAGACACTAAATTTCTCTACTATATAATAATTATAATAAACTAGCTTTTATTAATAACGTTCGCGTGGAATAGTGATTTCATGCAGATTTTTGGTATAAAAACAATACTATGTCCTTCCTCGAGTTCCAAACCATGTGTGTACCAAATTTCACAGAAATCGGTTCAGTAGTTTAGGAGTGAAGTAAAAACAGACAGAGTTACTTTCGCATTTATAACATTATAGTATAGATAAAGTCAGTGGCAATAGGCAGGTTACATTTGTCGAAGAACTGATGACCGTTGGGGGTAGACGTGTTCTAGAACGGAGGCCACGTCTAAGCAAACGTAGTGTAGGGTGCCCTCCAGCTAGGTGGACTCACAATATCCCCAAAGTGTTTTTTTTTTTCGGCAAACGAGCAGACGGATTACCTGATGGTAAGCAATCAGCGCCACCCATGGACACTCGCAACGGAGGAGTTACGAGTGCGTTGCCGACCTTTTAGGGATTAGGGATTTGAAGATTTAGGGATTTAGGAGGGATTGGAGGAGGGGAAGGATTGGGCCTCCGGTAACCTCACTCACACGGCGAAACACAACGCTGTGGTTATTTCACGCCAGTTTTCTCTGAGGCCGTGGTATCACTCCGGTCGAGCCGACCCATTCGTGCCGAAGCATGGCTCTCCCACACTTATTGAGGCTGGCAGTGGTAGGATGAGAAGTGCTGAACATCGAGCTCAGTGGCGTGCGATTGGGGAGGCCTATTTCCAGCAGTGGACGGAATCAGGCTGATGGTGATGATGGTGGTATAATAAATGTGACTATAAATATGATTATATCTTAAACCTTTACCTTTATCTCTTTAAATAAGCTGCATCGAAATGTGGTGCGTAATTTTAAAGTGAAAAGCATGGATACTGATATGAGGACAGAGAAAGTGACTTTGTATCCTAGTATTTATTTCGAATCGTCAAAAACTACAGCTAAATATATTTTCTCGATATCGAATATTTTATTGTAATAAAAAATAAAAGTATTTGTTTTTGACAACCGAGCAATTAAATTGGACTATTTCTTTTTTTCCTAAAATTTCTTCATGATAGCATGGACACGAGTAATAAGTAATAATAAGCAAATAAAAGATTAATAACAAACTATCAAGTCTCGACAACTCAATCCTTGCATTAGGTACTAGACATCTGTATAAACAATTAAATAGCCGCCGCTCGCGATCTATGCTGCAATGCGCAGGTTTACCTTGGTTCTAGGTGACACCAACTACCTTTGTGCTATTTACCGCGGGTTTTATTGGCTTTTAATATACTTTGGATCTATTTGTGATCAGCAGGTGTATGTTTTCTCTTAACATCATCATTAAAGCTTCATCATTACCGAGACCGCGACTGGTCTATATGCCTCTTCGGCGTTTCTTCAACTTTCTTTTTCTCTACAAGTAAGTAAGTGGCAGAATATGTTACTGTCCGGCCTCTGCAGCCAAGTGTGTATGGTCGGGGAAAGGGTAATGACATAAGGTACTCTGCTCTGACGACAACAATTAAATTTGTTCGACTTAAACTTTCCCGTGGAAGTCCATTCCACGAATACTTGAAGGTCAAAAATTAACTAAATCGGTAGAGCTGTTCCTGATTTTTAGCAAGACTAACTAACGGCAATTCATTTTTCTATATGATTAGTTAGAACGGCCTTGACTTATGTTCTTTATTTTGTACCGATCTAGGTTAAATTCGGTAGTCGAACACGTTGAACCGAAGTAGAATAAGGCAGTGTAATTACTGGAACATTTTCAAATAAATACATTTGGCAAATTTATTTAGTATTAAAATTTACTTAAAATGGATTTAAAGGTTTAAATATCAAGTTCAGTAAGTACTTACTTATTATTCTTAATTGATTTTTTTTAAGTAATCAGATAGTAAAATTTAGTTTGGCGATGAGTACTAAACGGGAGGGTAGTTTGATAAACTTGTTTTTTTATTTATCCCCACACTTGTTGTACGAGTAATTAAGATTGGTAATTTGACTCCATGGTTTGCGCAGTGGCTGTTGTGACCACGGTTGTGACACTTTGTGTGTGTGATCCATAAATGGTCGGTTCAGTTATGGATGGCTTGTGTATATGAATTTGTATATATACCTATGTATAAAAGCACCCACGACACTGGAGGAACCATAATATGGAACAACGTTTTTTTTTTAAAAAAAACCTGTGTTTCCCACTCTTATGTATGCTTAAATATATAAAAGTTCGCAACGAATTTTGGTGCGGTTCTTAATAGATAGAGTGATTTAAGAGGATTGTTTATATCTACATTATATTGAATGCGAAACCAGGACGAGTCACTACTTTTAAATTATTTTGTGATAAGTCAGAGTCATTTATCAACCCAGTCCTCATAATTATTGGTTTTGAAATAAAATAGTCACTAAGGAACTGTTGAATATCTGTCCCTGAGTACGGCATTATTTGGTCTTCTACAAACAAGATGAGATGAAGTAAAACCTTTTTGGATTTCGAAAAAAGAAAAAGACAAACCAACTGGATGGCTATCATAAAAATAGTAACAAACAAATGATAAAATTTTCCATGTCAATAAACCTGTCATTTTTCTATGATCTATTTTCAGACTGAAATGTCTTTATAAATTATTTACAGTTAATTTTCATTAGATTTTAGTTTTTGTTTAGCATTTTTTTTAATACAGTGGACTTAGGGATAAGGATTAATCTAGCGTTATGCCTGAGTAAGTATTTTTTTACAAACCTTTTTTATAACATACCAGACCTAATTTAATAAAAATAACAATCGGATATAATGGCTCGGTATCTTATATAATGTAGGTAATGCGCCCAAAACTCTTAGGGCTGATTTTGCAATGGTTAGATAAAAGTTATCTGGGGAATAATTATGAATCTGTCTCGTCAGAATGTTTCTATAAGACAGTGACAGCAATAATTAAATTCCTCATATAACTGACTATTGAAAAATCAGCCCTTCGAAGTACAAATAAAAGTCATTCTTATCACCAAAAAACACGTAATCATGACAGCAAACAACTTGCATTGTTAAGTGAATTCTGCAATCCTAGTACCATTATCGATAAAAATGCATTATGTTATCATTAAATAAAAATCATATCATATCGTTTATCAAATTAAGTAAGTGCATAATTTGCAGGGACTTACCCAATTACCTATAATTATCACTGTTGCACTTAACTTATCACGTTTTAATATTTTTCTTTTATTTTCGGATGGTACGCGTGGGACCAGCGTCAATAACGACAAACGATTACTCTCAGATTACGTCGTCAACTGTAGGTCAAGGATAATTTGATAACAGTTGAACTTCCTAGTTTTATCTCTTGAATACTTTACTACCAAATTACAATTAGATACACGTGTGGGTACATTAATAACTACGTCGTATCGGTGTGCCCAGTTTCGTGCAAGATGTACATAATGTTTGAAGAATTTCATTCATAAATATCATCATCAGCCTACAAGTGCCCGCTGCTAAGCAAAGGCCTCTTCTCATACGGAGAAGGATAGAGCGTTAAACACCACGCCCAAGGCGAATTAGGGATTTCAAACTTAGACATTGTAGGGCCAGGTTTCCTCACGATGTTTACCTTCACCATATGGCTGAATAATCCTAGAAATAACTCCAAAAAAATCACATGGTACTTGCCAGGTTTTGAACCCTTATGCATGAGAAGCGGATGACTTGTCTCGAAGCCACCACGTTCTTTGTATTTGATGATAATTATAATGTTGTCTTAATGAAGTCAGTAAAATACATCAAAATATTGTATGTTGATAGGAGGCATATGCATTCCCTAAAAACCCACAAAAGACTGGTAACGCACTTGCAACTCCATCGGTGTGTGCATTATAACTACTGTCCCTGTGTGCTCGACTTGTTACAAACCATCACAGGGCTCATAGTATTCTAATATTAGTAGTTCTTGGTAAGTAATACCAAGAATTTAGATTTCACAAAACTAAAAACTAACAATGATAAAAGTTACTAAAACTTACTTAACCTCAATCTTAAGTTTATAAATTCCGTACTGCCTACATTTGTTTTCTAGCAAAAAATATCTATAAGCTATCAGACTCCAAAAAACCGTCTGCATAAGGTACATATTACCTCAGCAATAAAGTGATTGATGATTCTATACTGTGGCCCAATTTATCCCTCATAATACGAATATCGGTCTAGCTTGGAGTTTATTTGACCTTGACCTGACCCCATTTTGAGGTCAGACAATATGAAGAGCAATGATCGAATTTGCTATTCATATACCAGTATTAACAGCCTTATTTTCAAGGCTAAAAGGATACTGTAGCCGCACCTCACGACCTACCAATACCATATTCAAAACCATGTACCATATTTACCTTACCGATGCCACCGAATACCTTACCATACCTCAAAACCAGTTACCATATACCTTCTACATACCAACGTTTTTAGACTTTCCGTTATCAAGAAACATGATAAAAATTGTTTTGAAAAAGACAGTTAACGTTTTTGACTCTGCCAGAAACAATTAAGCGTAGTCGCCGGCGCGTCGCCATTGGCCAACACATACCTAACGGCGTGCGATATGGTTTGGTGTACATTTGTAAATATAGATATAAGTAGTAATAATTAGCGAAATAAATCATTCAGAAACACGCATTCAACGAAGTATTATTTACAAGAATGAAGATGGGGCGATGACCCAGGGCGACAAATTCTGGGGGGCTCCAAAGTCTGAAGTTGGAGTCTCTTGCCTCTCCTAGTACAAACTCTCAGAACTGTGCTCTACGTTATACTGTGCATATTTCTTATTGAGTTTTTTTTTGTATTTGACTTGGGATTAGCAAAAAACTAACATTTGATATTGCTTCCCTCAAGTGGGCGCTACAATACTTTCGCCCGGGGTCTCAGTGACGCCGGCACTGAGTATTGAATCTTATCTGTACTTCTATACTAATATTATAAAGAGGTTAAATTTGTAAGTTTGTATCTTTTGAACTACTGGTCCTATTGCCAAAATCCTTTCACTGATAGATAGCTACAATGTTCCTGAGTTATAAAACATCACGCTACGATCAAATGGAGCCGAGCAGTAGGTGAAACCGCGCGAGAGTAGCTAGTTAGTAGTTTTATTGTTCTTTTCAACTTAACTCAATAGCCCTTAGACCTTTCCAACATCATAAAACCAGACAATTAGTAAAACATCATCACTTTATTGTAATTCTAGTGCACTAAGAACCCTAAATTCATAACAACAAGGTCGAAAGTGGAAATGAGTGGTTTTTTGTTCTCAGGTGCTGCGTACCCTGCCCGGCGGCCGCGCCATGCGCCATGTCGGCGGGTATCAAATCGGGGCTCCGAGACGGGAAGCCTATCGATGGGAAACAGGAACATCCCTGTCCCTGTCGAACCTGCTGCTGCGGGAAACCACCAATTGTAAAACCAGTAAGTTAGAGAATTCTATACCCAGTTTACTTAAATTAAATATGTTGAATTTTTTTTACTTTATAACTGCAAAAATCTCAAACCTTGTGGATCTATTTTACGTCTAATACTGAAACAACAAAAACTTAACAATAAATTACAGGGGAAGTATGTAAGTCAAACATAGCTTTTGTATTGATAATAATCATTTAAATTTATGGACGACCTACTCACGTGAAATCAACTGAGGAAAGCTCTAGTACTTTCAAGTTACAACTTCTCTTAGCACATGCAAGTTTGTGCGTAGTGACTTGAGTCCGTTAATTCCAGTGAGGAAATCGTTATTTCAACAAAATAGAAATAATAATTATTTGACAAGGTAACTCGCATAGTTCCAACCTACATCATACCCGAAACGTCGTGACGAGATTGCATCAATTTCTTTTGTCATTCCAGTGCTATAAACAACCTCGGATCCCTGATTCGTATGCACCGCGACGCTGCTACATGCAACCGACGGCCCCGGTCGAGTCGTGCACCACGTACAAACTGTCCTATCTGCCGGTCGACGGGTGCCGCAACTTGCGCGGAGAGGCTCGGAAACCACCCCCTAACCTCGTGCCTAGTTGCGAGCCTATGGAAGGGAGTACTGTGCAAAAGGTAGGGTCTTTTCCAGTCCTTTATTATATTTTAGGGACTTCAGAATAGGTTTTCTTGAGACTGGAAAAGGAGAATCCTCTGACTAGACGAGGTGATGCCTGGCATGCTTTTTGTGGAGTGGGGGGATCATCAAATACCTTCTGTCGCCTTGAGTGGGGCAAGATCGTGTGTGGTGGATCCGCTCACTAAAAACTACCTCATTCATTCGTCCCCGTCCACGTTTTGCTCCAGGCCGAGGTCACGGAACATTATTGCCCTTTACCTGCAATTCCGGCTTAACAGCTCTATTGGGCCTCATCTGTGGTTGTCTGATTGCCCTTTGAGGCATATCTGGTGGTCTACTGCCAATTACATGCTTACCTCCGCGCAAACTTTACTTGTGTGATCTAGGATTACTGGCATCATCAATTATTGTTTATGTTAATATGGATACAATACTGGGAAAGGCCTTTCCAATACCTATTCACTGAACTCGATCTCCAGATTGTGGGCCTGACAGTTATGTAAAAAAATTGGAAGAAACAAAATTGTTTCGATTTATTATAATCCTTTACCTAAAATTGTGGTCCATTAAAAGTCCCGTTTCCTTTTACAATATACATAGTTTTACACCAAACTCTATTTCTTTTTCTAGTTATCGTATCTCCCGAATCCGACCTGTATAACGCAGCCAATCCGGCCGTGTCACCACGATATGTGGGGACAGGGCCCGATGCAGAACGTCACCACGCAGCGACACGACTACGTACCGAAGCCCTGTGTCCTTCGAGAGAACTTTAAGCCTGCTCCTAAGTTCCACTGCGTCGAACAACCGTTTGAAAGTAAATGTCTTTTGCTTTTGAGTTATTAGTTTCTACCAGCGGTCGGGCCCACAGAAACAGTGTAAGAAGTAGCCTGTGTGTTTTTCCGTTTCTGCAAAGTTCATGCAGGCCCGTTCAGTAGTTTTTACGTAAAAGAGCAACAAATATCCACCCTTACTAAAACTTTCGCTTTTATAATAATAGCATCAGTTGGAAACTGTCTCCTATTTAAAATTTGTCTTTGTCCGTATAAGAGTTGGTCCTAAAAATGTTATTGGTTAAGTATTGCACGTCTTGGTGGTCTAAATCAATAATATGTTGGAAGACAGCATTATGTCGTCAACGTCAAAATCATTTATTTCTAACAGACCACAGCAGTCACTTTTGAACGTCAAGCAAAAAAATTAAAAAATATATTTCAAGAGGTTTAACTTTGTGCGTATAAATAAGTCTGTCCGTCTGTTCTCTAGTAAAGCTATTTGCTCGTTCCAAAGTGTAGATTCCTATGGAGAAGAATGAGAAACTCCATGGTTACTCTTTTAACATCAGTTTTAGAATTCATTTCTTTGTTACATCGTCATTTGTCATGTTATCGTGACAAAGAATAGCAAAATTTTCAACTTATGAGGATCTGACTTTGTATTTTATGGTTTATTCCAGACCGCACTATAAATAAGTTGTCGTACCTGCCCCCCGAGAGGATCGAGCTGACGAAGTCTTTCGCCCCTGAGAGATGTTACGAGCGCCCAGCCGCCAAGATGGAGGGTACCACTACTCAGAAGATGAGCTACATGCCTAACCAGGTATTGCAAATAATTGTCCTTTTAATTCACCAAACCCTAAGCGAACGTCGGCGTTCGCGCACCTACTGTTCTTCCATTGTGCCTCGAATTACCACGATTGAAAGGTTAATCCTTATAAGGGATCAAGAACTCAATACCATAGACTAATAATACACTATCAATACAATTAAAAATTTTGTCAGAAAAAATAGGACTACCTACCTATTTATACCTAATGAGTAGTCATTACACTTATGATTATTGGGTTAAGCAAAGTATTATCTATTACTAGTTTGTGAAACCTCTCGGTCGAAGCACGGCATCTATATGGTATACTCTCCTTCTATTCCATGGAACTTAGTCTAATAAAAAGTTCATATTCAGTACACACCTCCACGTACCGTTTTACAGAACAGAAGTTTTTTTATGATATAGATCGGCAAACGAGCAACCGGATTACCTGATGGGAAGCAATCAGTGCCACCCATAGACACCCGCAACACCGAGTTACCTAAAAAGTCGGCAACGCAGTCGTTGTCGGCCTTTTAGGGATAAAGGTTTCGGATTTTTAAGGAGTGTGAAAAAAGGGGGATAGTTTTGATTGGGTGGAATTACCGAAGGCGGTAACCTCACTGACAAGGCGAAACAACGCTGTAGTTGTTTCACGCCGGTTTTCTATTAGGCCGTAGTATCACTGCGGTCGAGCCGACCTATTCGCGCCGAAGCTTGGCTCTCCCACACTTAGTTTTGATGGATGATTATAATAAAATATTATACTTTACATTTTGCCAGATTCTCCCTAAAGAACCAATACCGTGGGCCTGCAAAGGACAATATCAGAAGCCGTGTCAAAAGTTGGACAGTAATACCACTTACGGAATGAGGTATGTTGGTATACCGATTTTATTGCTATTCAAAAACACGTTTCAACTTACATATAGCTCAAGCAGAACCGACATCATAAAAGAATAACCGAAATCACACTAGACGTACCAAAATCATACGAGTATAACCGAAATCATGTGAGCATAACCGAAATCACACGAGACTAACCGCAATCTTACAGAACAAACCGAAATCATATGAGCTGAAACGAAATCATACGACCATAACCGAAATCATACGACCATAACCGAAATCATACGAGACGAACCGAAATCTTACGAGCACAACCGAAAGCATTAGAGCACAACCGAAATCATAGGAGCAGAACCAACATCATACGAGAATAACCAAAATCATACGAGCATAACCGAAATCATATGAGCAAAACCGAAATCCTAACAGCGAAACTGAAATCACAGGAGACGAACCACAGTCATACGAACATAACCAACATCGTACGACTATGACCGAAATCTTACTAGTTGAGCCGAAATCACACTAACTGGATCGAAATTACACGAACCATTTTTCAATACACTTCCTCATAAAATGGCTCTAATCGCGATTTTTATGCTGTTTGTAAAAATAAATTTATTGTTTTCATTGTTTACTCACATAAATTGACGTACTAAGGCTACCCACTGACCGTAACCTTGTGTTGTGTTTCGCCGTGTGAGTGCCGTTACTGGTGGCCCAATTTTTCCCCCCTCACCCCATCCTCAACCCTGAAATCCCATATCCTTAAATCCTTGATAACCAACACTAGGTAACGCACTTGTTGTGGCTCCTTTGGTACTACGAGTGTCCCATGGGCGGCGCTGATTGCTTACCATCAGGTACGTAAACGGCTTGCTCTTTGCCTACCTATGACATAAAAAAAAATTCTGACGCGTTTTCTTTTGGTTCCTTTCAGTTACTTGGACGCAGCGAGCGACTGCCGGCGACGGGCCATCATCCCTGATAGCTGCACCAATCCCGTCACCGCGTCCAAGAGATTTGAAACTCAAACCATTTATAAGAACAGGTAATAACACTTCTGCTATTGTCCAGTATAATAGGTGCGTTTACAAACATACAATTTCACATACACGTTATAGCTAGATCAGGAACAATTTTTGAATCTCAGAATTATTCATTTTGGGATTAATCCCTCGATAAATATCTGCTTTGAGTCTTTATTTTCCTCTGAAGATAAGTATCACATTCATCCACTTTTAGAAGATGATGGTACAAACATATATTATTATGTCCTTCATAATTCTCGGAATCATATTTGAACTCAGTTTAACGTATCATTACGTAATTCCTCTTAATTCACGAAGAGCTACACACAGATAGGTAAGATCTGAAAAGGAGGATCCTCGATGCCTGGCGGGCTACTGCCCAAAAGTTGCAACGAAGGATTTTCTATCCATTCTAATCTGCGCTTGAACTTCAGTTGCGCACTATAGAATCTGTGACGTCACCTGTTAATTGTTTTTCGTCGATAATAATAATATGTGGCTATGTCTCCACAATGCAATGTACCATCAAATTTTTACTGGGATCATCTAATTTTTACTGGGAACGCTTTTAGAGAGGGTCATTCCAGTGTTGAGTGCCCAGCTTGGGCCGAGCAGCGTCGTGACCTGGTCGCGGCCGTAGGTGCTGCGGGAAATCTCTCGCTTCCGGCTGTAGTGTCTACTATGGTCGGGAGCGAATCAGGGTGGAGTACCGTCGCTACCTTCTGCGAGGCCGTGATGCTCGCAAAGGAGGCGGCGGAAAGGGAGAGAGAGGCTGCCTCCTCTCTTCCCTCCCGCAGCAGACGCACAAGACGTCGTAGGGTGGCCGACCTGCGGCCACCGTAGGGCGCGGCCTGCGGACGACAGACTCGGGGCGTCTTGTCGTCCGACCAGCAGCAGGCCTCGAGGCGCCGGCGCCGTGTTCCGCGCGCGCCTCATAGTGGAGTCCTGCGGTCGGGGTGACGGCCGCAGTGGGTGACGGGGCCCGCCTTACCATCTGGCGGGCCAACACCCGTCGGGGGGTTGCGACGAATGCTTCGGCGATACCCGCCCCTCCGACACATGGGTAAGTGGAGGAACACCGGGTTGGTTTTTAGTCAGTAAGAGTCTGACAGTACCCTTCGCCCTTCCCCGAGGGGATGGGTCTCCATGAGGATTTTCCAAACCGACACAAAAAAAAAAAAAAAAAAAAAAAAAGAGTCATTCCAGTGTCCGTGCTATTACTGAGAAAAATATTTAACCCCAACGCAAGACATTATTTTGTGAGCGAAGTACTTGCGACCATTATTTACAAATGAGGCAGTTTTCAGTAGTAACACCCTGCCCCTCTTCACAGTTACCTCCCAGCCAAGTGTCCTATACCGCAGCCCATCAAACCGCTTTCGAATTTGGTACCCTCCACTGCGCAAATGGAAGGAGATACGGTACAAAAGGTAACAATCCACCTTACACCTTGTTGTATCCCGATCAACCCTAGATGTATGTAGCTAATATAAAAAGGCGTTTTAGTAGGTACTGCCATACAAATTGCTGACTGTATTTGTATGGCAAAAGAGGTTTTAACTCAAGCAGTACGAGAGCTAGCAACGTCAAAAAAGCAAGAATTTTGGGGAGGCCAGTTTTTAGATATGCTATCTCTCTCACCACTACCGCCAGTCAGATAGCTTAGGTATATAACATCCGGGGGAGTGAGAAAGATAGCGTGTAAATGTCTGAATTCTCATTCAAAATGATTACTAGCTCTTAGACTATAGGTGTCGAAAGTTGATTCAAATATAAAACAAAACACTTGGCGTTTCTTCAAGCAGAACTCAAGAAGTTTGAGTTATTACTATCATACTGCAGATAAAGTTTTTGATTAACAGCCGGCAAGTTTTATGAGGAGCGAATATCATCAAATGTTTTCTCCCGCCCTGAGTGGGGTGTCAAAGGGAGTGTCAAACTCTAAGTAAAAACCACCCCGTTCCTTTTTCTGTTTATTACGCTTGCATCTGCAACCCCAGCTATAGCGACAAATATGCTACAGATCGAAATATTTGTTCTACTAAACTTCATTACCTACATTTACAACTCATCAAAACTCGCAACAGAATACAACAAATGAATAATATCTATTCTATTCCCTTTCCCCTCATAATTGTACTTTGTTCTAAGACACCGTGTCCTTGCTTTGCACCAACCGAGTGACTTCTCTGCACTACCTATGGTTGACTGTTAGAGAATGCTTTAAGGCGTTAAGTCCGCCATTCAGACCGTTTTGTGTGAAAAAGAATTAAATAAATAATACTATCATCCCTCCTTTCAGCTTTCGTATCTCCCGAATCCGACCTGTATAACGCAGCCGATCCGTCCGTGTCACCACGACATGTGGGGACAGGGCCCGATGCAGAACGTCACCACGCAGCGACACGACTTTGTTCCTAAGCCCTGCGCCATCAGAGAATCCTGCAAGCCTGAGCATAAGTTCCACTGTGTTGAACAACCGTTTGAGAGTGAGTTATTGTCACCATTATATTACTACAATTACATCATGAAGTAAGTAGGTAGACTGAGGAAGCGTACCTACTAAATGTATGTAACATCCTAATTTCTTATCAGGGCAAGCCAACTGCGATATTTTTAGGGATTAATTCCAGAAATATTTCTGCTAGATACCTAAGTACTGGTATTTTTTTATGAGAAGAGAGCCAAAGAGAAGGTACACTATTTTCTCTGTGCTAAAGGCCGTAGCAACCCCAAGTTGGGATATTTCGGCAGAGCACCTTTGCATCTACCATTTTTTCTCGAAGCAATTCGGCTTATTATGGACTCTTACTACAACCCTAACGAGAAATATTAGGAGATACCGCCTCATACATTACGTAGGTAGTTAAGTATATCTCATTCGTTTATATTTAATCATTATGTTTTTCATCAGACCGAACTGTGAACCGCATGTCATTCTTGGACCCCGGCCGGTGCGCGATACCCACGTCGTATGCTCCGATGAAATGCTATGAGAAACCAGCAGGTGAACTATTATTCATCAGAAACTTCGATTGGTTACATAATATTAGTTAAAAGTAGCCTCTGTATGTGTTAGTCGAGACTACAATCTATCGTCATTTTTATCAAAATCTATTCAACAACGTGAAAGAATAACAAACGGCTTTCAAATTGATTTTTATTCCATTGTACAGTTCCTATACGTTTATTAAATACGAATAGATCTGGAAACATGAAATAAAATTCAATATCTTCTATCTAGTGTCTACTACATGATGCATTTATTTGTAATTACTGCATCGATTAATATGCAAAATTGCATTCTTTAAAAAAGTTAACTAAACATTATTATTTACTCGGCTTTTTTATGATCAATGTCTTCAAAAGCTTAATATGTTTTAGCTAAAATGGAGTCGACGACGACGCAGAAAATGTCGTACCAGCCGGTCTGCGTGCCACAGCCACAGCGGCCGCCGTGGGCGTGCAAGGGACAGTACCAGAAACCATGCCAGAGAGTCAGTACACAGTCGTTTCTGATTACAAATGCACCTTATTTTCAGTGTGAGAGAGCTATGCTTTGGCAAGAATGGGTCTGTTCGACTGGAGTAAAACCACGGCCTCAAAGAAAACCGGCGTGAAACAACCATAGCCTTGTGTTTCGCCGTTTGAGTGACCGGAGGCCCAACCCTTCCCCTCCCCAAACCTTAAATCTCCAAATCTGTGTTAATCCAGGATATCACCATACAATTTTTTTGTGTGAAAGAGTTACAAACGTATCTACATTCTCACAAACGTTTATAGTGTTAGAAGGATGATTATCAGAAATAGTTTAAGACGCATGGATTTAAAAAAAAATCATGAAGTAGTTTTAAGAACTATGTGTCACTGTTTTTTTTTTAATTTGTCTAAGTCTTCCACTTTGTCATGAGATTTCAGACCTTCACCTATCAAATACACAAAATATCGGCATCCGGATTCAAAATACCAAAAACTTGGTTTTTTGAATTTTTCACATAAATTTTAGGTTATGTGAAAAAAGTGTAAATACAAAAGATTTAGATCTTTTTATTATGTACAACTTTTCCATTAGACTTTTTTCGATAGGACTTTTAGGTTTGCCGGAAATCGAGAAAAACCGTTTTTTACCCTTAAAAACTCACCGCCATGCCCTTCCCAACCTCAGATCGCCCGTAAATTATTTTTCCTTTCATTTTTATCATATTTCCCTTCTTTTCTAATGGGTTTCATCCTATTATGATTTTTTTTTGGTTTTAAAAATTATCGACCCTGGACTAATTATACATTCTAATATTATGATGTCTGTTCTCAGTTGGAAGGCACAACTATCTACCGGTCATCGTTCCTGCCGCCCGGCGAAGACTGCACGGAATACATGGACCCCTGCAAGTATGGTGATTGCAAACGTAAGTATTACCTATCCATATCACATCTCATATCGTCTGTCTTATTGATTTAATATGCCCAAGTGCGACTGCCGCGCCCTCTATGCTGATGGTACAAACATAAACTATGAAATAGTTTTATGTTGAGGCGACATATTCAACTGTACTAAGGTATTAATTAAAAAGGTAATATATACTTATGAAATAATATCTGTATCCAACAATATTCTCTCCTCCCATGCATAAATATTTGGGTGACCCTATTGGAATGATATATATCATAACGTTTGGCGATTAATATTGTGTATTTTTTTCTATTCCAGCTTGTGACTGCATATGCCCCGCGGAGTGTATAACAACAGATCCGTGCGCTTGTAACTTCCCTAAAGCGGCGTGCTGCTAGTAAAATCAAACATGCGCAAAAATGGCGGAACATGTTCCAAATTCAAGTCTATTCAAAATGGCGTCTATTCGACAATAATTCGAATTCATCGTAGCCTTGTGAATACTAGAAGAAATCGTGAAGTTTAAAATGTTACTATAATTATACATTAATGGTATCATAGTTTTATGGATAATTTTGATTATATAATTAGTAGTAAATTTACAATTAAATTATGTTTTGATTAAATTATATTTCGTAATGTTATTGAATAAAGTTTTTTTTTCTATGGAGTTGTTTTATTCGTATAATTGGGTAGTGTCCTAGGTCAAAAATAAATTAATTCGACGTTTTAATACAATAAAATATTGAAAAATAACTATACTTTTATTCATCGATTGATCGATACACTAAGTTTTAGATTTTTTTAGCCCATTATTTAGAAATAAGTAAGCTATTTGACACAAAACTGTTATGACGTCATACCTCAGTTTTTCATACATAGAAAAGTATCGTTTTTTTTTTTTTTTACTTGCAATAAACCATTGCTTGACTGCGATCCCACCTGATGTTAAGCAGTGATGCAATCGTTGATGGTAAGGCGCACTAGTTTATTAAGAGCCTATTCACTCTAGCCTTGAAGACACCTAAGTTGTATTCGGACGGAAAGACTGCAGCCGGCAAACTGTTCCAATCCCTCGATGTACGCGGTATAAATGACGAGGCAAAACGCTTAGTCCGGGCCGAAGGTGTCTCAACAACGTAGGGGTGGATATTCGCCGTACGCCGGGATGTCCGAAGGTGAAATTGGGATGGCGGAATCAAATCGTGCAATTCCTGGGCACACTCTCCAAAATGTATCCTGTAGAAAACCGCAAGGCTGGCTACTCTGCGCCTGTGCTCGAGACTTTGAATATTGGACCCAACCAAATCTGGATCTCCAATTAGCCTCATTGCACGCCTTTCCACCGAATCCAAAGCCGCTAGGTGGCATTTCGCAGCACCAGCCCATATGTGGCTGCAGTACTCCACACACGATCGGACCTGAGCTTTATACAACATTAGAAGCTGACTCGGTGTGAAGTACCGTCGGACTTTTGCAAGAACGCCGAGTTTTCTAGCAGCTACCTTGGCTCTGGACTCAATGAACCGCCCAAAGTTGAGGTCTGAAGCAATGTCCATTCCCAAGAGCTGAAGGCGGTCGGTGCACTCCAGGGATACATCCCGAAAAGCAGGAGCCAAGGTGAACGGGCTCCTTTTGGCGGTGAATAGACACGCCTGTGTTTTGGTGGCGTTGAATGTTACCAGATTAGTTTTGCCCCACTTTGAAACTACCCGAAGTGAGACATTCGTACGCTCTACCATAGCCTCCCTTTCAGACTGGATTAGCTCCTTACTAGCCCGAGCACTGGGCAGGTATCTCTCTACAACTGTGCTATCATCTGCATACCCAAGGATACCAGGCACTAGCAGATCATTAATGTGGAGCAGGAATAGAGTTGCAGAGAGAACAGACCCCTGAGGAACACCGGCATTAGTCGACATAGGCTCTGATGAGCATCCATCGATAACAACTCGGAGTGACCGTCCACTCAGGAAGTCTTTTACCCAGTTTATCAGTCCAGGAGAAATGCCGTACGCTGGAAGCTTAGACAAAAGGCCATTAGACAAAGGTTTTTGACATTTCGATAAAAGTATTGAATTTGACTAGTTGGAAACTACCGTAAGATCAATAAAAATATGCACGTATTTTCGTTTGCCACAGTTAAACAAAAGTATAAAGATAAATATATATATAGTGTTTTGGTTATAGAAATATCCGAAAAAATACATATATGAATAACGTAGCAAATTATAACACGAATTTGTCTGTTTGTTCCGGCAAATCTTTGAAATTGCTAGCTGGATTTTGACCGGCCTTTATAGATGACTGGCATGCGCAATACGCGGGAACTTTAGCTACTTTCATATTGAAAATAAACTTTTTGTCTCGAAAGAATTTTGTGTTCCCGTGCGATAGCGAAAATATTTTATTTATGCGGACAATGCCGTGGGTGTCAATATTAAAAAGCGTTATAAGCGTGTATGTATCGTACATATTCATATATGTATTAAAAATCAGTTACATCAAGTTATTAAATAAAACAACAAAATGGAACTTAAAACGTTTATTTATTGACCAATACACTGTTTCACTCGCGAGATCGCGTTATAAATAGCCCGTCAATGCGCCCGCTCATACATACGTATAAAAACTACACGCACACCCCACACGAACGAAACGTACAAATATTTTAAATACATTAAAAAATCCTAGAAGCCGATCTATAAATGCGTTTTAGAGTAATCCTATTCGTGTGTAAAAAATGCGCTAACGTTCTTATATTTGAAGTAAATAGTGAGAGTTTGCGCAAATTGCGGTAGGACGCGACCAACACAACTACTTTGGAAGTCATATAAAAATCTAACACGGATATAGAAAGCTGCCATAGGTTACACAGAACAACTTTCTATGGGTCGTTGCGCAAAATTGCGCAGACTTCTCACTAGGGTTTCAAAGAACGGGCACCGCCAACCGAGAATGGACCTTATCCAGTTACGTTTTGGTTTTATTTGAGCCGCTGGAGGAGCGTAGTGTTGAGTATGTTGGCTTGTGCCAGCGTGGCGGCGTGGTCGGCGAGCTCTCGGCTTGGGAAAGTAGTGAGGAGGGCGAAGGCCTGCAGCTGGTAGGAGGGCTCCGCGCGCGAAACGTACGCGTGTAGGTCCCCCACTGTGTGCGAGTGGTTGAACCGACCTGTCAGGCGGCTACCATCCGCCAGACGGAACTGCGGAGCAAAGGAATATTGAAAAACAAAAAATTATATCACTACATTTATTTATTTAAGCGGTTTGCGCTAACATGCGCATAATTATTTTTTTTTTTGTTTGCGCAAACTGGCGCAACTTTTCAAGACAAATTCTTTATTGACGTGGACTACGTCGCAATTACAGGCACCAATTTAAGAATGAACAACGTCTCAATAATAATTATTATAATATAATGATTTTTGAGACGTTTCTCATCATCATAAAAAATCATCTCTATAGAAATTAATTTTATTATTCAATAGTTAACATAAGTCTCTCTACAAAATTTAACTAGACTAATTTAAAATCGCTTAATCTTAACCTTTTAACCGTGATAATTAGAGATACAATAGATAGATAATAGGTGCGGGAACGCCTACGTCTGCTTGGGGATTGGTGAATTAAAGCTATTTGTTCTCAATCAGTGTGTTGTAAGTACAGTGATGAAGAATGATAATGATATAGAATGATGATTATACCTGTATAGTAGTGACGGGCGCGGAGTCGTCTACCTTGACGGCTTCCTGCGCAGCGCGCTGGTTGGCGGCGCGGTCTGCCACGTCACCCGCCACCGGCGCTGTGGCTCCTACTGTTGGAGGGGTTGGGCTGGAACAGATATAAATAGTTTCTAGTATAAAACAAAGTCGCTTTCTCTGTCCCTATGTCCCTGTGTATGCTTTAAATGTTTAAAAGTACGCAACGGATTTTGTTACCATTTTTGTCTGGTCAATGGTGGTGGTGGAGAATTCTAAATAGAGAATAAGAATTCTAAAGACAACTATGTTTCCTACAGTAAAAAGTCAAAGTTTCTTTAAAATAACAAAAAAAATTACACTTTCTTTCACATTTCAAGTTTCCCAAACACCGTTGAAATATTGTCCCAATCTCACCTGCCCAATAGATGTCCCTTCCCAGAGAATGGCTGCGGCTTGGCGATGTGTCGCGGGCACTCCTCGTGCCGCCGGTCCTCCAGGGACACGCGGACTTCACCGCCAGTGCCGGATAGCTCGGGTGGAATCTCACTGGAAACATATACATAGATTATAATCTATTCTAATATTATAAAGAGGTAAAATTTGTAGGTTTGTATGTAGGGGGTAATCTTTTGGACCGCTGGTTGGATTGCCAAAATTCTTTCACAGGTAGCTACAATGTTCCTGAGTGCTTTAGGCTATAAAACATCACGCTACGATTAAATGGAGCCGAGCAGCGGGGGAAACGGCGCGAGAATAGCTGGCGTTATTATAAAGTTACACCAGACCAGACGAAGGCACCAGTGACCAGAAGAAGGAACGGGGTGTTCTTTTATTCAGTAACCGCCTTATTACAAACCATGATTTATCTTTAGTCAATGGAAACTATTGAGGCCGGTTTATTATTTTCAATCTTATTTTTACCTACCTTCAATTCGAAATACAATAACAGGCTCAATAGTTTAGATTTAAGAAAAACCTTGTTTTGTATTAAGCCCGTAAGAGGACGAGAGTTGCGCCTCATCAGCCTGTAAGTGCCCACTGTTAGCAAAGGCCTCTTCTTGGACACAGAGGTTATTGAAAGGACCCGATTGATTCTCCAGTTTCAAGCTGGGGCCGCGGTGCGTTATTGCGCTTGCTGCTACCCTGGCTGAACGTCATGGTTTGGTGGATGCTTGAGGCGATCACGGAATGCGACGTACTGATGGGCCGAGTCGTCTTTTTGATAACTCGAGTAACTCGAGTTGACCTGATAACCAACTCGGGCTGCAACTCGAGTTGACTCGACCCGATCTGCCATAAGATACGTCGCGTTGTCCGGGTTGTCCGTTCGAGTCAGTAAACGCTCGACTCGGTGCATCGTTCTGCGGGTTGCTAGTTTGCTTGTCGAGCCCGACGGGCTGTGTGGGGTCGAGTCCATGCTAATGATAGTCAAATAAAATAAGTTTGTCAGACTTTAATGTTATTGAAAGTTGTAAGATTGGGCCAACAGCTTCACTATATTGTATAATGTGTTTTTTTAGGTGGTTCACTAAGGTACTCGTATTTCCACTAAATTTGTATTGACTAGAACACAAATTGCATTGTACTTTAGTATTATTGTCTATTTTCGAAAAAAACTCCCACGCCACACTTTTCCTGTTTCCCGGAGCCATTCAAAAGTTATTAATCAGACAAACAAAACTTAATAAACTAATAATACCGCAACAAAACAATAAATTACGAACTAAGTAGTAATAACAAAAACGTAAACAAAACAAATATCTAATCTTTTGTGTTAAAACTCTGTCATTTGTTCGCCGAAGACGAGAACTATCTCTTTCACTCGCGGCTCGCGGCTCGGACGACGCGACTACGTTTCGTTGTTCGTGCTGACTCGGGCTCGCTCGGTGTCGTTCGGGCCTAGCGAATCGCGGGCTAGGCGGCGAGCGGGCGGCGGCGTCGAGTCGAGCCGAGCGGCGCGCGGCGGGCTGGCAACCTACCTGCCCCGCTCGCCACCGCGCGCGCTCTTCGGTTCAACCCGAGTTGCAGAAATATTAACTCGGGCTGACTCGCTCACGGTCTGACTCGAGTTGCCCGAGTTAGATAACTCGAGTTGCCCATCACTAATGCGACGTCGCACGCCCGAAATACTAGTCTTGACTGCACGGTTGGCGCGGTGGTTGGGCAACTCGCTGCCGCGCAACGTATTGCGGGTTCTCCGCACGGAACAACCCTTTATGTGATCCACAAATTGTTTTTCCGGGTCTGGGTGTGATGTGTATGAGAAATTGTATGTTTGTAAAAGCACCCACGACACAGGTGAAAATCTTTGTATGGGGAAACTTAAAAAAAATCTAATTGTACAAATCAACTCACCCCCTACGTATACAGTTGAGGAAGTCGGCGTGATCAGGGTCAGTGTAGTGTCGCAGTGGGCCGGAGTCAACCGTAAAGCCCTCGCGGTACAGCCGCAGTCTCACTGAGCGTGGTTGATCAGCCTATACAACAAAAAGTTAATTCTTACACGACTAATTCCTACTAAAATAATCAACGCAAAAGTTTAATAAACTACTGAATGGATCTCTCTCTGAGCTCAGAGATAAATTATCTATAGTCTGAAATAACACCTATGCTATTTTAGCCTAGTTGGTACTGCGGGAGAAGCCGGTGGAAAAACTATTATCATAATTGCGCAAGTAGGTATGTATCTTGCGTTAACGTCAGCATCACGTTGACGTGGAACATTTTATTCAAATGCCTCAAAGTTTACATGGTATGATTTTTGGTTCTAAAAATATTTGGGAAGGCTAGTGTGCGATATTAGTAGCTTCTTTTCCTATAGGCTTAGACAGAAACTAATAGATCGTTACCAACTACGATCCTTACATTATTCCTTAGATTATATCACATTAGTGAACACACATTAACTTAATCTAATATTTTCTCCTCTGTCTAAAAAATATTTGAGTCCAACAAAAAAATTACCAAACTAGTACATAATATGCAAAATCTGTACTAAGTATTATAGATCCCAAATGCGAAAGTAACCCTGTCTGTCTGTCTTTTCTTCACGTCTAAACTACTGAACCGATTTCTGTACATGTAAATTTGGTACAGACAGAGTTTGGAACTCGAGAAAGGACATAGGAAATTTTTATACCAAAAATCTGCAGGATGTCTCTATTCCACGGGAACGGAGTCGCGGGCAAAAGCTAGCGTCGAATAAATCACATATGATTCTTTGGTATTGTTTTCTATCCTATTATCGAGTCTAATTTGTGGACAGTGACTGTTAGTTGGACTTACTTGTTGCTGTTGGTTGCCTCCAGCTGTAGCAGGCTCGTGGTCATCCGCAGTTTGACCTATACAAAAACGATGAAATTACAAAACATTAATTTAGGATTTTTTTCTTACACTTGGACCGAAATCTGTATGATATGTTTATATAAAAATAGACTAGATATAAAATACTATGTCTCGATAATTCCAGCGCTTAAACTCTATATTTCATATTTCATATTTATTTATTTGCATACAAAGATGTTAAGGGCTTAAATCTAGGTACATATTATGGACCCTGATAAGGCATAGCTAAAAAAGGTATACATAAGTTTAATAACATTACATAAAAGGTTAGGTACAATAATAGGTATTTATATCAAATTATTTATATATTATTTTTTATCGTCCAGATATTCTTTGACGCTATAGTAGCATTTGCTTAGAAGGAGCTTTTTGAGTTTATTGGCAAATAAATGTGTTTTTTTTTTTCGTTTCTCAGTGTTTCGGGTAGTTTATTGTAAATTTTTATAGACATGACTAGTGGGCTTGATGAGTGTATTTGTAATCGGGATGATGGTAAGTTTAGGCGTGTTTTGTGTCGAAGTGTGTATTTTGTCATCTTTGTGTGTGTGTGCAAATGTACAAATTTCCAGTATGTATAATGAAGGTATGGTAAGAATATTTAACTTTATGAAATGTGGTTTGCAACTTTCCGTTTGTTCTATCACTACTTTTCTCTTTATATTTTATTAGTTTCAAATGCACTCTTATGCATTTCTTTTATTAGTAAAACGTCTAGACTTCTACGAATAATTCACGACCAAAATTAGCCAAATCGGGAAAGACATTGTTGAGTTATAACATTACAACTTTTCTTTTATTAGTAATGGGTTGGCGTCTGGCTCCTATCTGGCCTGGTAGTAGGCGATGATGCGAAATACGATGGAGTACACCTATTCACTCAGGCCTTGGAGACACGCAGGTTATTTTACCCTTTAGGGAATACAGACAGGCATGTAGAAACAGAGAAAAATAGTCTGGAATAACAAATGGCGTACTTTTTGTCGCAGAAACGCAGACAAAGCCGGCAAGCAGAACCTGGTTTGTTTATAAATACTTCACATCGATCTTCGCCTAAGTAAAATGTGACAAGTTTTTGCTGAGAGAGCTGCTTGAAATAAATCTTGCTAAGCAAATCAGTACATATTATAAAACAAAGTCGTTTTCTGTTCTTAAATACCTATTTAAGCTATGATCTTTAAAACTACAGAACGGATTTCGATGCGGTTTTTTTTTAGAGAGAGAGGGAACTTATAATACATCTATTGAATAGTGGAAAAATTGTATCGGCATATAACCCGCGCGAAGCCAAGGCGGGTCGCTAGTGAGGAATCAGTTAAAAAGAAATGCCTTGAGATTAAAATAATTAACGACCAAATTGTCACATTGGCATGGACAAGCGGAAATTACCCTACCTACTATTATACAAAATGCAAGTCACGTATAACAGTTGAGCGTAGCGCAGTATTAAAAAAATAACGTGGTTAAGCCAAATAGGTAATAAGATTTTTACACGTTAAATTATATGTAAAAATCTAGATGAAGCCGGCATTTCCTATCTGACTACTCTGAGAAGAAATAAATGCTGAAACAAACCCAGGAGGTCGTTTTTGAATTATATTTTTTTTTTTTGTATTTTTAAAGAATGAAGCAATGAATTAATTTAAATAGCGCACTTACCCAGTCTATATCCAACTCCGCTGAATGCGGAACGTCCTCGGCTTGTGGACGATGGCTCGTCTTCAAACACGACCGCACCGCGTCTAAAAAGAAACATGAAATATTTTCAATTCTTCTGAAATAGAATACAAGAAGTACACAGCCCATACAATTGGGTAGTTTCCTAGGTCATAAATAATTTAATTCGACGCTTCAATAGGTACAATAAATTATTAAAAAATAACTCTTTTATTCACGATCTGTCCATACAATACATTTTCGGTATTTTTTAATTAATTTTAAGAAATAAGTAAAGTATTTAACGCAATAATACTATGACGTCATAATATAATTTGGAGTTTCATAAGAATTTCATAGAAAAGTATCGTTTTTGACGTTTGAATTTGACTAGTTGGAAACTACCGTTATTGATTACTAAAAGCAAACTAGAAAAATTAAATAAGTACTTGTATTGGTAATAATAAGGCCTTTACAATGTCTAGATAGCCACTGTGAACGATGTAAGAATATAGAGCGTACGTACGTTTACGATAACACATACAGTTTCTCAAAAAACATTCTTACTTTAAAGCAGTTGATATTAGAAATGCAGCTATAATATTTTTTTTTTTTTTTTTTTTTTTAATAAAACGTTGCCCCACACTAGGATTTTCTCCTGTGTCGTGGGTGCGTTTACAAACATACAATTTCACATGCACATCACACCCAGACCCGGAACAACAATCTGTGGATCACACAAAGAGTTGTTCCGTGCGGGAATCGAACCCGCGACACGTTGCGTGGCAGCCAGTTGCCCAGCCACCGCGCCAACCGTGCAGTCATATTATTATTAAATTAACCGAAACGATATCATATTCCGCCTTCGAATGACGTAAGGGCCGACTTAAGGACTGCACATTAAACAGAGAAGAGAATGCAATACTAACAAACCAAAACTTTTTAAAAGCGACTTTCATCCAATAGTTTTTTTATAGGGCAAAATCTTCGTGTTTCTTCTCCAACCAAGGGTAAGACGAGAGAGTGTCAGACTATTACTGACTAAAAACTCCTCCACCATTCCTTCTGCTCTGGGTCGAGGTCGCGGTGCCACATTGCGCTTGCTTTGCAACCCCGGCTGAACGTAAGACCTATAGGGGGGTTCTGTGGTGGTCTATAGGGTCTGTGGTTTTGGTCGTGCGACAAGCTTCCCTTACTTGCCGTCCGCAGACCCGCGATTACGGTGGCCGGAGATCGTCTTCCGATCCGGGATGGCTCAAAGATTATGGTAAACAGCTCTTATATAAAGGCCCTATACTGCACAATCATTAAATATACAATGGTAGAACTCACTCTCGAACGCTTTTGAAGACCTCAGTGACTATATCCTTTCTTCCACCTTTAGATGGGCCAAGGATCTGCTGTCCAGAGCGCTCCGATCCACCTGCGTAGAAGGCTTGACCTGTAACAATAGAGACAATTGTTTAAATAAAATAATAATCATTGAACCAACTATATACCCTTCCGTAAATATACTACTGCACCTGCCAGCCAAATTTCCAATCAGGATAAAGCAGTATCAGGAGCCTACACGCAAATATAAACTCTATTCAAATGCCATAAGCATGTTTGTTCACTCCATCTGTAGTGATTATAGTTACGTTTTCATTGAGTTTTCCACTAAAGTTTACGCAACATTCGCCAAAGTTAAGGCGGACAACGAAAACGCAATCGTTATTTCTACGACCAACACTACAAGACAGAATGCACAGACCTGCCTCACCGGCATCAGGAGGTTCCTCCCCTTTCAATCTTGCTATCTCTTTCCTCAATGCACTATTCGCACACAATAATCTTTCCACTTCTTTTTTCAGTTTATTCATTTCGAAGGAATACTCAGAACAATCGGATATTACATCGTACATAGCCTGCGTTGAGGCTTCCTTTGAGAGAGGCGCGTTCGGTGACTTTATTACGGCGTTGGTATATGAAGCTCCCTCGCAAATATACTGATGTACTTTCATTTGTATTTGCTTTTTAAACCAACTGGCGTTTGATCTTACTGCGTTACAAAAACCTGTTTTAAATTTAAGAATTCATGCTTACTGTTTTTTTTATGTGATTGGACGGTAAACGAGCTGAAGGATTACCTGATGGTAAGCAATCAGCGCCGCCCATAGACAACAACAACGAAGGAGTTACGAGTGCGTTTTCGCGATTAGGGATTTGGGGGGGAGGGATTGGGGTGAGTATTGGGCCTCCGATATCCTCGCTCACATGGCGAAATACAACACTGGTTTTTTCACGTCGGTTTTCTGTGAGGCCGGGGTATCACTTAGGTCGAGCCGACCCATTCATGCCGAATCATGGCTCTCCCCCACTTACTGCATTACAAAGAGTTCTGTATTGGATTTTACAGAATGTATTTCGAATAAGTTACAGTTTTATCTCATCTTGCTACTGCCGCGCGGTTTTACCCGCTGCTCGGCTTCTATTGGTTGTAGGGTGATATTAAATGCCTATAGAACTACGCAACATTGTGGATATCGATCAGGGAAAGATTTTTAATAATCCAAACAGTGGTTCCAAGGAATGCAATACATACAAACTTATAATCTCTTTATAATATGAGTATAGATTCCCATAATGAATATCTTAAGGAGATTTATTATTATTATTGTTACTACTGATCTTTTCAATCAAAATCAAAGCCATTACAATGCATTTTATATGTTGCCCTAGTTTGAGTAGAACTTTTGTTGCAGTGTCATCTTTTAGATAACTATAGTAGAGCTAAAACTAGAGATATTGTATTTGCATTAACTTTTTGTGTCATGAATATTTCTTCCCTCATACATACACCAAATGTGGCACACATTTTAGCGACAAATGAAAAGGAGCTAAGCTTTCATTCAGCCAGGCATTCCTGTTCCTAAATAAACAAATAGGTTTTAATAAACTTTTTATAGGTACCTTCTTCTTCATCGCTTGAGCTCTCCTGTTGTAAGGAGTCAAGGGTTGCAAACTTTGAGGTTGGGGCCTTCTTTTTATCTTTCTTCTGGGTTGCTAGTGGTGACCCTGGAGGTGACTCCATATCACTGTCTGACAGGGTCGGCAGGGACGACGCAGCTGCCGCTGGATTAGAAGGAGCCTCGTCTGCGTTGCCCCCGTGTTCATAAAAGCTTGATAGTGCAACCTGTAATTTGATAAATGGGTTTTATTTATTTTGAGGTCACATGTTTCCTTCAGTACACATATTGTTCATCTATATGTAATCTGATGTATTGTCTGTTTTGCTAAATCTAGTAAGAATCTGTCAAGTGTATGTATAAATGTATCTGTATTTTATTGGGCACACTGAAAAGACCAAACACTGATCTAAAACTTGTTTCATTAAGTTTCGAACCAACGATTGTCATAAGTCATTATAAAAATACAACGTAACTATAATATAATAACACGCAAAATTGATACGTAACTAATTGGAATGTCTATAGACCTTTGTTTCGAACATAACAAGAATTTAACTAATGTAGAACCAAAAGTTGATACTGAGGACAAAACCAAAACAAAATTGATGAAACTTGATTTAAACTGACGATTGACATTATTAATCAATGAATAACACCTTATTATGACGAAGAAAACAGCAAAAAGGTGGTAAAACAAGCAATCAACTTACGTCTAACTGCCAGTTTGAGGACTCCAGAAAAAACTTGCTGCGGCCCTCATCTGCACCAGTAACATCACAAAACTGTCTCAACGTCTCCTCCTTATTGGTGGACATATTTAGAAATTATTTTATTTTTCTATTCAACTATACGAGACATTCCATGAAAACGCCGATGACTTGCTCGCTTTTGGTTTTATTTTGTTACTTTGGCAGTATTGACAACGAAATAGAGTTGTGGTGATTAAATTTTTTGTATGAGAATAGAGATACAGTGCAATATCGCAATAATAAAGTTAAATACGACTGCACGGTTGGTGCGGTGGCTGGGCAACTGGCTGCCGCGCAACGTGTCGCGGGTTCGATTCTCGCACGGAACAACTCTTTGTGTGATCCACAGATTGTTGTTCCGGGTCTGGGTGTGATGTGCATGTGAAACTGTATGTTTGTAAACGCACCCACGACACAGGAGAAAATCCTAATGTGGGGCAACGTTTTATAAAAAAAAATAAAAAAAAAAAAAAAAAAAAAATAAAAAAATGTAGAAATAATCGTTTTAATACATTTTAAACGTATGACACAAATCCAGGTATTTGTATCAAAGGTTTACGTGAACTACAATTTACATAAATAAACTAAGAAACAGGAACAAATTCGTAGTGCATCTCTAAATTCCAAAAAGCAAAGAATTCAGAGCAACCAACATCAAGAAATTGATGTCATTCAAGTATCAGTTTGACAAGACAAATTTCATTCAGGTCTATTCATTCAATACCTCATGTCACAGATGACATTTGATGTATTTTCATTCATCACAATCATCTGCAATGCTGTAAAGTGTAAAATGAATAACTTTGAAAACCATTATTTTCATTTTATTTCTGTTCTTAAATAAATCGGTAAGTTTTTTACTGTTACTCCGGTCTGAAGTTGATCGTGTTCGTATTTGTAAAATGTAAGGAATTATTTTAGATGCTGGGCGAATAAATGAAGACGTCTCCTCGAAACGCTGCAGGGACCACCACAATGCGAAAGTATTACCAACTTATTCTCGTTATAGTATGCTTTATGAGCATAATTACATTGCTCATATATCGCCATGAGTACTACAGGCTAAGGTACGTGCTCGAAGTGTTGAATTTCTTTGGCAAACCGGGCCTCTCGGAGATCGAATTCTGCGGCCCCGGTTTTAACGCGACTATGTTATCAGAAATCCTTCGAAATTCATCGCTGGAGATCCGCGAAACGCCACCTCTGTTTCAGCAGATCGATGACAATTTCTATTCTTATTCATCATTCTTAAGATCTTATCAGAAGTATGAAAAATTAACGCCAATTCATCCTCACAATATTGACACTATTGTGATTGGCAAGGCGCACGTCCCACCTAATTTCCGCTGCAACATTTGGCTGGAGAACACAAGCAAGCCTAAAGCAGGGAGGTTTAACTACAAAATTGTGTCTGAACCAATCAATGATTTTCGTTTATACATCTTTCAATGTTCACTGAACAAGGACTTGGGGAAGCCGAAAGGAATCAGTTTCTACAGTAATGATTATAATATCAACCCAATACATGCTCCAATAAACAGAGTTATTGAGGTGAACACTAAAAGAAAACCTAGGGAGAGAAGCAATATTAAGTTTGTAAACAACATTGAGCCAGCCATTTGTATAATACCAAACCAAGTGCCATTAGTATCAAGAGATTCTTTCATTGAGTTTTTAGTCTTCCACCACATGATGGGTGTAAATTACTTCACAATTTATGACAGCATGATATCCGAGGATATAATCAGAAGACTGAACCTACTGCCAGCTGATATCACTCAGTGGAACATACAATTCTTCCCTCTTAACTACCCATTTGTATTTGCTAAGTCTTATAACATTGTAAGGAATGCTATTGAGCTAGATTGTCTCTTCAGACATTTTAGAATTGACAAAGAAGAAACTGAGAAAGTGAGCCATGCAATGGTGATGTCTTGGGATGAGTTCTTAGCTCCTAGAGTTCATAATAATGTGAAGGAAATATTCAATGATTTTGATCCGACTAGGAAGTTTAAGACTTTGGAAGTGACTCCTCTATTGTTCTGTTTGAACCAAGCTGATGATGATAGAACAGAAGAAGGATTCCCAGAGATTATGAAGAAGACACATTACTATATTATGTCGGAGCAATTGAAGCCGGTTTACGTGAGGAACTTGGATGCTATGCCAACATTTGAAGATATATATAGTGTTAATTCGAGTAGTAAAGTGTTACCAATAGAAATACTAGCAGCACATAAGTATTCAGTGTGTAGGGACCCTAAAGTATACAACCCCAGTGGGGGTGGGTACAATGAAACGCAAATGCAGGTTTTCCAGCACAAGTTTGAAGGAGCAATGGTGAAGTTTGGACAGAGTTTAGTTAGCAACAAAGTCTATAGGTTGTACAGGTCGGGAAAGATTTGGGAGAAATCTAGCAATGAATTTGTTAGGGATATGTTATAAATTGACACTGAATAGGTGGTTGAACTTTGTATACTAAACTGGAAAATAATTTGATGTTGTTTATTCTAATTAGGTATTGTTATGACATCATAATACTTGTCATTATTTTCCTTATTTTACCTAACTCATGAATATTTTTTAAATTATTAAATAATCATAATGACTGTAGAATAACAATTTGGAATAAATAAGCTATGCAATTTTCTACAGGATCTTTGACAACAGGATGAGCCTTTTTTCTTTTATTACACATCAGTTAGATTGATGTTTTAGTGATTTTTGTAAAAATAAACTAATAAAAAGAATTCAACCAAAGGTTGAATATGTTGAAATGTAATAAAAATGCTAAATTGATGATAAGTTTACCTACTAATTTGGAACATCATGCAATACTCATGTTACAGACAATATACTTACCTAATCATCTAATTATTTTGACAGTAATTAATTAAAGTAATATCTCTAAAAACCTAAGCAGAATATTTCCATTTTACGCCAATCAAAATGCTTAGAGCCACACATAGATTTTAATTGTAGCTAGCAAGGCTCAAGTCGAATATGACAAAACTAAAAAAAAAACAATCAGTATTATAGCACCGGCCATAATATTTGAAACAATTTTTATATTATTTTTAATTATATATTTTATTTTGTTCTTACTTGAGCGATTGTTTTGTAGCATCTTTGTCTTTTAGTACCGTAACTTTTGTCTTTGGTTAGCTTCACTCGCATTTAATATAGACTTTATCCTAGTGCAATAAAAACTGATTTTCTATATCATCGAAATCAAATCAGAAATTTTGGATTTAGCGTTTTAAGTGCTAACGTGACGTAATCGCTCATGAATGCAGCGCCATAAAAAAAGTAACACAGTTAAACGATAGCTCGATTTCTTTAAAATATTGTTATGAATGTTTATGATAAGATAATTTTTATATCTATAGAATACTAACATCTGTTTCTCATGACACACTTTTAAAACCCGAAGTTAATTTGCATTTATTTTAATCTTATACAGTGTTTGTAGCTTTTCTAACAAACTAAAATAGACTTTTTTACTTTACTGTAAAGTAGATTTTTGTGTTGTTTTCGTACTATAGTAACTATAGAACAGTGTTGCTTAGCTTTTCTACTGCATAACAAATTAAAATAGACCTTTCTAGCTTACTTTTAAGTACATATTTGTGTTGTCTTCTCATTATAATTATGATTATAATATATGTAGTATGTAATATTTTATAGTAAATAGTATCGTTATATAAAATATCGTTAAGATGTGCCTTGAATATAGTGGTGGCTAGTTAGATAGAACATACCTACTCAATTTTGGTCTTTAAAAATAGTACAATAAGACTGCTTTTTGATCGCCAAATACTGTACCTCCGTCAATAAAATATTGATTGGTTTGACTAACAATGAAGGAGTTGGAAAGCAAGATTTTGTAATGTTTTGTAAAAATGTATATTGTAACAAACCTTTTTGGTAATCAGCGATCATTAAATCACATGTCAACCAATCTAATTCTCAGTAAACAATGCTAGAAGTGTTAACATAAATAAATGATTAGGAATATAATTATAATATATTAAAAAAAGTTTTTATTATTTATGATTTGTGCAATAGTATTAGGTTTCACCTCAAAAATACTTTATAACATTTGAATATATGATTGACCTTATTGTGTATTGTTTTAAGTCGATAATTCGTTGTAAAGAAAGAAATACTTAGATTACAATTTTTTTTTTTTTTCTATTCACAGAGTGTACACAGATTTGCTTTTTCGATAGTAGTAGTGTGGTTTAAAATTGGAACGAATGGAGATTCTAAGCTAAATATCTAAGGGAATAATGTTAATTGTTTAGCTCTTGTAAGGCCAATCTCAATAATCTATCCATAAGTTTGGCAAATGATTGTGCGTAAGAAAATTTATTCAAGCCATGCTTTGGCACGAATGGGTCAGCTTGACCTGAGTGATACAGTCCGTTGGGCATCACAGAAAACCGGCGTGAAACACGTTACGTTTCGCCGTGTGAGTGAGGTTACTGGAGACCCCAATCCTTCCCTCCCTCCACCATCTTCAATCCTCAAATCCCCTATCCTTATATCTCAAATAGCCAACAGGCAGACTGCAACGCACTTGTGTAACTCCTTTGGCACTACGAGTATCCATTGGCGGCGCTGATTGCTTACCACAAGGAACGGGGGGTCTCCAGTCAGTAGAGTCCGACACTCTCTCGTCATTTGATGATTTTCCCCTGACAAAAAAGGCCTTCGTGCCAATAACCTGCGACCCTCGAGATTTTCGGTCAATTATTGCATATTAAGTACCTAAATCTACAGTTTGGATATATTATTGAGACTGGCCATTATTAAGATAAAATCCTTTAACGCTATGGAGTTGATGTATCGTATTTTATAGTTTTCTATGAAGTTTTGAAGTTATTGCGGACTTAATATTTCGTAACGTTGCATGTTATGTTGCAAACGTCTGTCGCGTAGCTTATTATGGACCGTTAAATGGACTGATATGGGCCACAAGATCTCCTCTGCTGAGCTTAGGCTTCCAATGACTCCCATATTTTCCGATTGGCAACGTCCAGCGGTTCATTAAAGGTCATTTTTCCTACCTTTTTGGTAAACGCTCTACGTTGCGATAAGTTATACATTTAAAAATATGCATGCAAAGGAAAATTACGTTAATGATATGCTATGGGTAATAATGAGAATTTGCTAAAACAAAAACCTAACATATTTTACGCTTATTAGCTGCCCACGACAGTTTAGCGCCCGGGTACTATTTCCCAATAGTCCGGAGAAAGGAGGTACTATAATATTTTTTTATACAAACTTAATTCTTTTTACTACAAAACGACAAAAAAGAACAATTTCGTCGATTGGCTCTGGAGTCACCAGATCCTAACTATGTCGATACAATGATGTATATTTTATTATAGGTACAGATATCATAATCTATTTATTTATGTAACTTACCCCTTTTCCATGTAGCCCAATTAGTAACACGCAACATTGCGAGACCAATTTGGTCCCCGATAATTTCAGAACATATTTTCACGTAGTTTCTGTAATATAACATTGACATGCACTACGAATGTACTCTATATAATTATAAGACTAGCTTTTATATAAAAAAAATCTATAAAATTTTATATCACAAATAATAAAGGAAATGCAATTTTATGATCACGCCTTAAGGTCTGTAATTGTTTGAGATTATAAACGTGAGTGGATTTCATTGGTTTCTTTGGAGAGATTCCTGTGTAAGACTGAATATTGAAGTGACGTAGGTACACAATAAATGTTATTGTTTGATAGGAAATTGATGAAATCTCTCAACACTTTGTTGATTATAAAGACTATACTGGTGAAATACTGTTCAAGGCATAAAAGAGTTTTTATGTAGGTCGAGAAAATAATGAATATGTTTACAGTAAATTCAACCCTATCACCACAATAAGTGGTGCATATTTCCATTCCGGATAAAGATGTCACGCAAACTTGCGTGCTTTGCTCTTTATCAATGTGTTTATGATATAAACACTATTTTTTATTGCTTTTAATAGCTTTTTGATTGCCTTTTCATCCTTGAGTAGTAACCATAGTGAGACATAGTAATTTTTTTGAAAATAACGACTTTAAACGAGAAATGCTCTACTAGTTTCAAGTCACAACGGGACTCTCATTCACGAGCAAAGTGCGCTGCGCGCGTATAGCTTTTCTCGGTTACTTCACGTGAGTAAGTAGTTTTTCAAAAACCTTTTTATCATGTCTTAACTCAAGAATTCCCCACAATCTTTAAGTGTGGTAGATCCAAGCTTCGTCACGAATAGTTCGGCTCGACCGGAGTGATATGATGGCGTTGCAGAAATCTGGCGTATAATTACCACAGCGTTTGACTTTTAGATACCGGAAGCCAAATATTCTCTATTCCTTCCTGAACTTTAAATATATTAAACTCTCATGCTCAAAAGGCTGACAACCATGTGTCCATGGGAGGAGCCGATTGCTGACCATCAGGCAATCCGGCTGCTCGTTGGCCGAACTATCCAATAAAAAAAGTGGATACCGATATACTCTGTGACGTCAACGCCTCTTCGCGATTCTATTATGAGACTACCTTAATACAGTATTTCACCAGTCTTGTTTGTTTGTAAGCAGTTTTCGCAAACGATTTTATAATGCTTTCTGATCCAAGCCTCGTTTCAAAGACTGCCCACCTTTGCAACACCGAATGTATAATTATTATTACCTGTTAAACTGCCATTGTTAATTTGAAAATAAAAACACATAAAATGATACTAGGTAAATGTTTATTTCTGTCATCTACACTAAATACAAGGCAGGCGTCGCCCGCTCAACAGATCAATTTATTAAACGTAATAAATCAAATTACACATAGTCAAACGACACGTATATCGTTACACGAGTAAAATATTTGATAATATCACTACTACAGAAAAAAGTACAAGGATTTTTTTTTTAATAAAAATGAGCATAATTTGAGCAATACAAAGTGTATTGTCGTTGCCACAAAAATAATAGGAAAACGATTTGGAGGGAACACATTAACTAAAATTTTAATTTAATTTTAAAGCTTACTTAAGTTTTTTTTTTTAATATTGCAACGAACGAACTTTAAGGCTACGATTTTAAGTACTTGTTTAATTAATATCTCACTAAATTAATGTCTATGCGAGAACAAATGTTCGAATACTGAATTTACGAACGTAAATACATCGATATAACATATAATTATTGTATATCTATAGTGATGGGCACGTACAACTTTATTATATAACTGAATACATTCTAGTTTCAGAAACTGATAGTACATGCTGTTTCTAGAACATTCTTTTTCTACTATAAAAGGTTATTGCGTGGATAAATATGTTATGCAGAAAGGATGTACATAAAGAGGATAAATATTCAACTATACATATATTTTCTGTGAATATTATAACGCTAAGCTGCCCAACATAAAGTTTTGACTATAGAAGGCACGGGCTTAAGTCACAAGCCTGTCAGTTAAAGGCTTGCAAACAACATCGAATTATTTAAACTCTGAAATAGCAACATCTTGGTACATAACAGTTGAAGAGAGACAACAATATTATGATATCTCTTTTTACATCGAGATGAAAAGACGTTACTTGTCCCTTTCACACAGTTGATTCTGTTTTAAGTGAGAAAGAGACGCAAGGATTGTAAATATCTGCTTTTCATACTACTATAGGAAGTTATAGTCCATGCATTATTATGAAAATAAATTGTTATGACGTCATACTGTATTAGTTTTCTAACTTTAACACTGTATTAGATATTAATAAAATAAGCCCCTCTGCGCAGTTTACTTAAATGCAGTATTATGCTTAGATCTATATTAGCAAAATACCCAATCAATAAGATAAAACTTTACATCCTATTTAAGGAACAATTAATATATAAATGCATTTTATCTGGCCATTCGAATGCGATTGTAATAGGAAGCGTTAATAATTTATTTTTAAAGATGCGATGGCCGCTTAAAGCGTCAGAAAATAAACGATTAAAATACATGTAGAGAAAATTCGAATTACTCGCATCAATAAATATTTGATTTTGGAACATGTTAACCGTTCAGAAAAATAGAACATTTTTTTTTTTTTATTTATTGTCATGATATTTTTGAAGTCCCGACCAACGGTCGAACCCGATCTAATTCAAGATTAAAAATTAAATATAGTAAACATTAAAATCCGATAGATTAAAACATTTTATATAAGTACTAGTTTCAAGATTGCCATAATTATACTTCTTTTTATCAATTATTTAAATATATTTCTTGTATCATCGAATAAATTTTAATTTATTTATGCATATAAGTTTATTGCAAGTTTGAGAACTTGATCGGTATTAAGATTTACCTTAGAGTAATACGTTGAAACATTAACTTCAATATATATACACACAGTATGAAAAGGTACTCCCTAAACAAGAAAATAGATTTAAAATATCACCTCGTCTAAAGACTAAATAGTAAAAAGGATTACAGTAAATGCACGAAAAATAGTATACATAGTCTTATAAGTTTTTTTTTAATATAACAACAGTAATTCTATATAAGCTAAACAACTGTTGTGTGCGGGTATCATACGTTTTTTTAAATTATTTTACATCGAGTTTTTATTGCCGATTATAAGTTTTTAAACACACAATAACTGCACACAAACCTATAGAATAGGAATCAGCCGAATCGACAGACTGTAAAATCAACCTTGAGCAATTATTTTTAAAGTTGATTTTGGATTGAGGGATGAGTCTTGTTAATTCGGCTGACAGACTAGCAATTAAATGTGTTCGTGTAAGGCTTACGGCACTTGTTCAGTTAATTTTCCCTTTACAAACAACAATGATAAAGTAGTATTTCTTACTTGCGCAAACTTGAATATGGATGCGCAATTTGCGCAAACTGCGCTTGCTATTATGGCATCAATGTGTAAGCGAGATGGACGATACATGCCATATAACGTTATCTCTTTTCCACCTAACCTTTAAAGGTATCGGAAGCTTAACATTCTAATAAGCTCCTGCACTGAACAGTAACCGAAAGTCTGTCAAGCCTTGAAGCATTAGAAATCCATAGTATAGCGTTCCTCATAATACAATACATGCAATTGCCACTCTGAAATCTTTATTAAAATTACAAATATATTCAAATAACATTATATTACATATATAATAGTAAATGCCAACATATATACAATTAACAGTTATACTTATGTAGGCAACGTTTGTTACTAACCAATTTTCAAACTTCGTTTTATAGGAATAAGGTTGAAAATCGTTTATCGAACGTTGTCGAATAATATTTTTATTACTTATAGAGTAATTTTTTTATTATAAAATGTAACATGTAACATTACTATTGAAAATATATGTATTTTATTTGAAACAGCGTGCCCCAAGATATTGTTTAGTGGATAAGTTTTTATTTTAGTTAGAAAAATCTGTTTTATCTGTGCACTGACTTCGCTGGGGTCGTAGTCGAGGTTATTATAAATACATTTTGGCACTTTTTATTATAGTACAGTAACATTTGATTGTAATTTCACCCCCTTAGTTTATGAAGTCAATGTTATTTATTTCCAATATGCCAAAGAGGCTCTTTTTAACTTTAATAGTCCAATATTCTGAGTACCTTTTTTCTAAGAATAACACAATGAAATCTTTTGACTTAAGCACCTGTCCCTATCACACTACTGGAGACGGAAAGAGATAGAATGACTTTCTTATATTTATTTTCAACGGTAAAGGAACACTAAGTGAAAAAGCTTGGACTTCCAATTTCAAATTTATTAGTTTAGTCGCCAAGCCGCCTAGAGGATATTCATTCCTTCTTCGTGTAAGAGGCCCTCGATATTCATTTGAATCTATGGCTTAAGCACCTGTCCCTATCACCCTGCTGGAGACGGAAAGAGACAGAATGACTTTCTTTTAACGGTAAAGGAACACATATTCCTTCCTTGGTTTTAATCGATTTCGACCCCAGCTCCACCAATGTTCTTTGTAAAATTTGTTCAGTACTGAACAATCCAATACTTCACAAACAATAAGAATGAATAACTAGTAACAAGTGATTCAAAAAGATGTAAAAATGTTCCATAACAAACAATTTTATTTTAATTTTTTTCCTCAAACAATTCTCAAGGACATTGAGGATACTTGCTATTACGAATGTATAGGTAATAATAATTATGATTTTTACTTTTTTTCTCTCAAGTTGTTGTGTGTGCCAATATTAGTAAATATTCTTAATATTTATATAATTTATATACATAATATATCAATGTATAATTCAACAACAAGACTTTTTCTTTTTTTCCAAAACATCTAATATAACAATTTCTATTATTTACCTATAGACCGCTAAGAGTAGACATCTTTTTTATAGTTAAAAATCTTAAAATATTTTCCCTTTTATTTAACCAGGTATCGATTTTTCTTCTCGATACTCAATCGATTAAGTGATGTAGAATTTACAATATTTTAAATACATAATAACAAGATGTTGTAATAGAAACGATTCGATTAAGTCACGATTACCGATTAATCGACTAACCAAAGATAAGTAAGAGGGAAATCGATTAAATTTAAATTTATCGCCAACCTCTTTGTTTTGTTGGTTTATTATAATATACATTTCGTTATATATTTTGATGGCGACATTTAGTTACCATGTATTTCTCAGATCTTGGTTTGAACATTGACACAGATATATTTAGGTTTCTTATTGAAATGCGTTTTCCAACGCATAGTCTGTAATCAGGTTATTTAGACCTATATCTAAAAGTACCACGATTTAGTCGATTTTTTATAAATCGACTAAGACATTCGACTAAAATCGTCATTTCTTTACTATAAGTTAAAATGCGAAATTTACAATCTAAATATTTTTATTTTTTTCACCTCACTCGACCTTCCTATTAAATATACGTAAATAATTTAAATAAGGAACAGTGTAAATAGTTGCGTTAGTGCATAGCTGCTGATAAAATACTGTTACAGTAATAAAGACTTTGTTTGAGTTAAAATAGAGATCAATTTACTTGTTAAAATGGAATGTTTGAAAAATTGCTTTAAGCTCTCATTTTTGTTTGTACTATAAATTGAATAAATTTTCTTGTCATGTAAGAATAAGGGATGGTAATATTGTTAAAATGTTCCAGTATAAATGATTTTAAAACTGTAAACTATTACTAATAAAATTTCCTCAAATTTAATTAAAAATTTATGTTAAAATAATATTAGTTTAAATAGGACATCGAAAAGTCATGAATTCTTTACTAAATCTCAACTCTTGGGTTAGTTTCTAGACTAGAGATGTACTGACTGAAACTTTCAAATTAGTCGATTTTTATCGATACAGATTGCAATGATTTAAATGACTCATCATTACCTACAACCAGCACATCACTAATGTTAAAATAGGGGCGTATTATATAAAAAAAATAAGTTATAATTCCTGTTAAAAATACTAACAATGGACAATTCTTTCTAGTCTTAAAGGGACCGAATGAAGTATAGAACTATGTTAACCACTGCATTAAAAAGACGAACAAAAAAAATATTAATCCTATCCGTTCCATTTTAGAATTTTTAAAATGGTCTGCAATGTATCTCTTGTCTATAATTGAATGACTATAACTCGAGTCAGTTTGAATTATAAGCTGCAATACGGATCTTAAATAAAATTATACTTAAAACATTATTAAAAAATAAACTAATAAACTGCAAAATAATTCTGTTAGTGGGGAAGACTAATTATCATCAACTCTTTTTTGTTACGCCAATATCGGACAAAGAATATACAATGACTATGAATTTACATTAATACCCAAATAGTTAAACGTCAGTTAATTATTCGAAAATTCATTTCCCCACTTTCACGCCATCTTGTGACAAGACTGTTAAATACTGGGTAAGCTTAGGTTACTGGGACCCTGAGAGCTCACTTTGGTCCAAAACTCAATAATAAAATCAAGAACAAAACGTACATTAGTTTTTCATTGGTTTGGAAGTTTTGATTAAAGTTCCCGCGGACAAAGTAACCCGATCTTACTATAGTAAATATAATAATAATAAAAGACGTTTAAATATCTGAATTCGATATTAATTTCGATCCGATTCATAATGTTACAAGCACAAGCAGACGTAATTTGGTTTTTGGAGTTTCTAGAGGCGCTAATAAGACGTGAAGGTGTTGAACCAGTTTTTGTTTCAAATATTGACAGTTTATCGTAAGTGCTACCGTTTTCTGCTGACAAGATAGTGTTTGTGTAGCAAAAAGTCTCTTGTCCAATCAAGCATTTGCTAATGTGAGGTCATTGGACCGGTTATGTTCATAAAACAGTAAGCCCTTGTTTGACTAAAACACGCCATTAGCAACAATAGCGCCATCTGTCCAGGGCAAAAAACCAAAATTCTTTATTCAAGTCTTCCCCTACAGTAAAATTAAAAGTACCAGGGTGTCAGAAGTGTTCGGAAGGTCTTATGAGAGGCGACAGTCTCAGGAGCGCGTATGGGGCGCGTCGGGTGGTGGATGTCAGAAGAAAATCACCTCTTCTTCTGACGCCGCAGCTGGGGGAGACGCGGTCGATGCACCCGTGTCGGGCGATCGGACGCGGAACTTGTCTGGCAGTTTTGGGTACGTGTTTGTTCTGTGGGACAGAGAGAGATTATTGCTACACAGATGATTATAATAATTTGACGATTTTGAAGTGCTTAAAACGTGTTATTGTTTCTTCGTGTAGAAAAAACATTGGATATTTTATATCAGTCAGGATATCACGGTCACGTCGTACAACTCCTTAAAAAAAACCATAGCGAATATTTCGTAGGAATCGTAAACCTTAACATTATAATTTTCGTCGATTTTAAAATTCAAAATGGCAGGTGAAAATTATCAAATGGTCTCACCAAAAATCACCCCATTAACCCCGTTCCGTTTCCTACTTCGAGCCGAGATAAATTATTGGGCTTGCACTCACAATCCCGTATAAAAACATATACTACTCTGTCAAGAAAGTACCGGGAAAAAGTCAATAATACACAAAATGTTTGTTATTCATCTAAATTTATTTTATCACCTTCAAAGTATGCTCCTTCAGAAACGATACACTTACGCCAACGAATAATCCAATCATCGAAACTTTTTTTAAACGCTGTTTCCGGAATTGAGTTCAGTGCTCGCCGCGAATTCTCCTTTATGTCTTCTAACGATTGAAAACGGGTGCCACGAAGGGGTAATTTGAGTGTGGGAAAAAAAAGAAGTCGGCTGGAGCCATATCTGGTGAATATGGTGGCTGCTCGATGGTGTTTGTTGAGTGTTTGGACAAAAAATCGTTTACAATGATGGCCTTGTGCGAAGGCGCATTATCGTGATGCAAAATCCAAGAATTTTCTTTCCACATTTCTGGCCTTTTTTGTCGAATTTGTTCTCTTAAACGCCGCATAACGCTCAAATAATATTCTTTATTTAACGTTTGACCTCGGGCAAGAATTCTGAGTGCACAACACCGCGATAGTCAAAGAAAACAGTCAACATGACTTTGACTTTTGATCGACTTTGACGTGGTTTTTTCGGTTTTGGTTCAGTTAGAAGGCGCCATTCCGAAGCTTGTTGACTAGTTTGCATGTCAAACTCGCAAACCCACGTCTCGTCACCAATAACAATGCGTTTCATGAATGTTGGGTCGGTATTGACTCGTTCTAGCATGTCCTCAGCGACTTTCATGCGATTTAGTTTTTGAAGAAAATTCAGGTCTTTTGGGACTAGCCGAGCGGCAACACGTTTCATACCCAAATTATTTGTTAAAATAGTACGGATCGACTCGTGAGATACAGAAAGTTCGGCGGCCATCTCTCTCAAACTTGAATGAGGATTTTCAGTCACTATTTCCTTCACTTTTGCGATGTTAACTTCAGTTGCACACGTTGATGGCCTACCAGAACGAGGCAAATCTTCCATCACATCTCGACCGCTTTTGAACGCTTTGTACCACTCATAAGCACGTGTTTTTGATAAAGTCGATTCACCGTAAGCCTTCTGTAACATTTTGAGTGCCTCCGAACACGAAATTTCATTGGCGATGCAAAATTTAAGACAAACGCTTTGTTCGATGTTTTTGTCCATTATGAAATTCGCAATACACACTAGATGTTATAAAACTAAAAACAGCACTGTTTTTAATATAAATAACAGATGCAACTCAAATTTCCGCGCCAAAATGGAAAACAGTTATGCCAATCTAACAACACAAAAAAAAATTAAATTCGAATTTGGAACCATAAAAAAAACATTCATTCCCGATACTTTGTTGACTGAATGTACAACATACTTCAGATAATATTTTACCTAACTATTATTGGAAGGAATATATTACCTATACCTTAAACTAAGAAATAGACGAAACAAATGCAACAAGAAAGGAACGCTATTTACCTGGTGGCTTTGTTATTGATCTGCTGCTGCGAGGGTAGCGGGGCGGGCGAGCTGCCGGTGCGCGTGTGGTGAATCACTAGGCCCTGGTTCTGATGCTGATGCTGCAACATTCAAATATATTTACTTACTACAATAGCAGAAACTATTTATCCCACCAATGCAATTTCAACTGAGACCTTATAGGGCCCTTGTGAGAAATTAAATGTTCTTAAATTCATAGCATGTGAATTATAAGAACATTTTTCTTTTTTAGTTGTAAATTTAGTATTATTATTAGAAGACTACTTGTTTGTTAATCGGGCTTGACTTTACTTGACTTTGACTTTAGATTTAATATGTCATGTCAGTTCATATATGACCAAGACTGTGATTTTTAACGTGCACTTCTAGAATTTATTTTTTAATCAATTTCTATAGAGATGTACTAAATCTCATATGTTTTCACACAGATTCTGATAAGAAAAGTATTTTAATTCCTTCCCCAATTACTTTCAAAAGATTAGGAAAATACTTTCTCAGTTTTTGGCTAACCAAAAACATTTAATTCTAAAAATTTCTATACGAAACGCGCACACTTTTCTTCTATCAGTCTTTCCACATCAAAGCTTTTGATATTGCCTTCAACAAGATATTTTAATATAAAGAAATATCGATAAAAATATCGTAAGCATGCATGCTCTAACATTAAAAGCGGAACAGACGAAATGGTTGTAAACACATCGAGTACTGAAGAAATAGTATGTGGAAGCCAACTGCGCTGTGTGTAATAATAATACATACAGACAGACAGACAGACAATCTGACTATAACAAGCTGGGTGGTAGCTTATAACAATAAAATAGTGGGTTTATTTTTAAATTATTATCTTAGATATAGCACAAGGTGATTAAATCCAAACCAATAAAAATCACTTATTAAAAACGCCTGAACTTGCTTCTTCTTCCTGTTCTCTATTTCTGGATTTAACAACGATAATTATCCTATCGTATTCTATAACAACGAATTATTATGAATATTGTTATTGTTTGTAACGTGCTCGCTACAATCTCCCATCCGCTGTAACTCCTGTAAGCTGGTATCTACAGAAGACACCGAAACACTGAATCCCAGCGCTTCCTAGGGACATGAGAAACTGTCTTGTTTCCCGCAACGACATAAAGATTTATGTATGTGTTAAGATATTATAGGAGCAGAAGATAACGATATAGCTTTGAGCTCGCTGCTTCCCCGGTGAATATAATGCAGGAAACCGAATGACGCCTTATAGGTAAAAAAAGACTGGACAACTGGGAGAATGTGTAAACGATTACACTTGTTTCTAGTAATAGGTATGGCAAAACTCCTAACCTCACGGATATTTGTTCTACATTCCACAAAGTCCATATTATAATCATAGTTTTGTTTGTTATTTCCTATTTCTCTTTTTCCTGTTGTTTTAGTTTGTCACAGTGTCTTATAACTCTTACATTTTTCTTTTCGAAGGACTGCAGGAATGTATTCCATATAGGTATATGCAGTTCCTTTATGTACCTCTCTCTCTGTATTTCTTTTCTATTTACTGTATGTGTGATGTGCATAAATAATAAATAAATAAATTATAACTACACTTATTATATTAGTTTCTTATTATATTGCTAGAGATCAAACATCAAGTCTGTACATTTTATTTAGTCTTCCTATAGTTTTCTTAGGCTAAGCGTTCTAATTCTTATACTCATTCTATGACCTTCCTTAGTTGCCACTTCAGTGTTGCAGTAACAATTTTCATTAAATCATATTTTTTTTTTTACAAAGATTACGTTTAGTTATACAAACCCGATTAGACTCTTGACAAACCTAACTGTTCCAAAGAGTGACACAAAGCTTATTGAAAATACCGACACGTGACTCAGCTGAAATAAGCCAGTCGGCTGAGCGATGACATCGCGACGCGCGAATATACTTAATTATAAGAATGCATGAAATTCGTTATTTTCAACAAACTTAGTATGAGTCTAACTTAGGGAATTTGTACCATCCTATAAACCAAATACATTTCTCAACACCTATCAAGGAATTTGAACCGAAAAAAATCATCATTCAACACAAAATATCAAGGATTTCACAAAAATATAATTCCATCAATCGAGGTGTGTCTAACTAAGCTTCAGTCTACATCAAACTAACACATACACGACCATACAAATACAACATTTTAATATATATACGGTGACTAGTAATTAATGACCGATATTGCGTTGTTTTTCGGTCAGGTTACCGAAGGCCCAATCCTTCCTCTCCCCCAATCCCTAATCTCCAAAAGGTCGGCAACGCACTCGTCACTCCTCTGTTGTGGGTATCCATGCGCGAAGCTGATTGGCTTACCATCAGGTAATTCGTCTGCTCGTTTGCCGACATAACCCATAAGAAAAAAAAATTAAACACGTGGTTGTACTCATGATAAAAAACAACTGTCCCAAAGAAACTCTTTCTAAAGAAATTCATTTGTTTTATTTTTTATTGCTATAGGAAAAAGGCTGAGAAGCGTGCAAAGTTCAATCGGCGGGCCTCGCCACTAACAGCTGATCGGGCAGAACACGATAGTCGCGTGAACTTTGTTATAAGTAGTAGTAAAAATAAAACTAATAAGTATCGAAAAAAAGACTCTTTGGTAAAATTGTTTGTTATCATAAGTATAATCACGTGTTTAAATATCAGTCACTTATTACCAGTCACCCTATACAGGAATATACTCAACTAGACTTAGTATAGTTACTTACAGTATATATATAATATTCGCGCTAAAATACGTTCGGATACTCGACATCCTGCAAACATTTACCAACCATTTTATCTGTTTCGCTGATAATGGAATATTGCGAGAAGAAATTGAAAATACAAAAATAAATAAATAAATCCGTAAAAGTCACAAATAATTCGGACGCTCAAAGTCTACAGTAAGATACAAAGAGTAATTTATTATTTTGTTAGTTCTAAATGAGAAATGTTAATTTATAAATCGACCCAATTAGATCTTGCTAAATTGTTTAAGCTACAAAAGAATATTAGAAAGAATTGCTATGAAAAATACTACAACTATAGCTATTTAACAAAAACAATAATTATTATTACTAGAAAGAAAATAAACTTTATCCGAGGAATAAGTTATATTCCAAAACGCATGCCTAACTGAAACAAGTATGTTTCCATAACATGCCCCTAACTTCGAATCAGATTTTTAAATTTATGCTTTTATACGCAATATGACCAAAAAGTTTGTACAAAAGGCTGACTTAGTCCCATTATCTACCAGTCAAGCACTGGCCCAAGTAGATAAATCAGCGAAAAATAGGTACGGCAAATACTTATGTATTTTATTATATTCGTAAAGATCAATAGTTTAATCTTAGTTATGGTTAGACCAGACAAATAACGATTTAATTTTTATGAATGATATTATAGATTTCATTTCAAATTGAATAGGTATTCATACCTAAAATAAGACAACTGTAAGCTATACAAATTAAAGTAATGAATCAAAGCTACGGTAAGGCGGTACGAAGTTCGCCGGATCACCTAGTTTATGTATAAATATGTAGATATTGTTTATAATGGCATATGTACAGAAATGGTGTACATATTGATTTTATGTGGAACTTAACCTTCAAATATTCTTCGTCGTCGGAGTTAGAAGACTAGAAGAATGACTAACATTTTACTATAATTGCAACGATGAACGAGCGGCTGGGTTATATTAATAATATATCTTGATTATTTCTACTCCTAATTCAGGGATTCAGACTCCCATCCCTTCTTTTACTGGGAATTGACTATAGTTATATAGCGTAGCGGTATATATGCACTGGCAACCTAAAAGGCTCTTTTGTTATGTTGACCGCTAGAGCGCAGTAGATAGTTGACGAATGGCCGCCAGACATTCGAAACGGTAACGCTTGCGCTCATGTGTAATTTTAGTTTTTTATTTCATTTTTTTATTTATTTTTTAAAAACGTTACCCCACACTAGGATTTTCTCCTGTGTCGTGGGTGCGGTTACAAACATACAAGTTCACATACACATGACACCCAGACCCGGAACAACAATTTGTTAATCACACAAAGAGTTGTTTCGTGCGGTAATTGAACCCGTGACACTGCAGTGCTTAGTTTAGTTAGTTAGTTATGTATAGTTTTACGTGAGATAACTCACTCATCGATTGTTCAGAATGCAAAGCTTTTTTTCTTGAACATTATAATGTTGATTATATATAATAAGGAAGTCCTAATTACCTACACTATAGCTACTTTAAAAAATCATTAACAAATCAGATTTATTAGTTTTGAAGCGTGATTTAATACAACATACCTCGCTAGGTGACTCGTGCAGACGATGGTACCCGGGCGGTGGTTGCTGGCTCTTACCGCTGGCCAACTTTAATGGCAACTGCTGTTTCACCATTTGCTGGAGAACAAATGTTTACTTTAACTTAAGGATGTAAGGTTTATATTTTGTGGCATGTTAGAACGTTAATTGTTTTGATAGGGGTCTGTTACTAAAGAGGATTTTAATTAGAAAGTACAGTTGACGCCGTAGCTAGGAAACCATTGGTTACTGTTCTACAGGATAAGGCGAGTTTCTAGGTCTGCAATTTTAATATTTATAGAGAAATGGTAAAAAAAATGATATTTTTTTTTTATAGATTATTAATAATGCTGCAATAATCCTTATAATAATGGCAATAAGTTCGCAAGCAATTGTCTCACTGGTGGTCGTGTCGTGTGTGGTGGTGTCGAGGATCTCATTCGATATACAGAAGCACAGATAATTGAACAAGCCTTTCCTCACTAGATTTTAAACCATATTCCTGCATAACTAGAGTAAAAAATGCTATCCAACCAAGATGGCCGATACAAACACAAACAAGCCCTTTTCGCAACAAAATTTAAACCTTATTATTACGGTACTAGAATACAAAATACTAACCGAGATGGCGGAAGCGTGCACGGTGGCTCGTGTCTCGTTCTGCGCGGACAGTAGCTGGGGCGGGGGCAGGACGCCCACGCGGGCGCTACACGCTGACACTGACGACTCCGACCCGGTAGAGCCCCGGTTATCTATGAAATTGAACGTATATGCGTTACTTAACATTAGGGATGTTATGGATGTGTAATTTCGGATACGGATTAGATAAGGATCCGGATTATCCGTTTGTTTCGGATATTAAAAGTTTAAGGAATTGCAAAAGTAAAATAAATACAAACATAACGTGTCTAAACAAGGCTCCGCCCCTATCCGATATTATCCTACTATCCGATTATCCTAAACTTTTATTACGGATTGAGTTATGGTAGCGGATATTTCCCTTCCTAACATCCCTGCTTAACATGTTGGCCGCCATGTGGTACAACATATGCCACGCTGGCGAAGGTACCATCAACAGTAATCCATTGATAGAGTGATTGAAGAGGAAGAATTAAAGTGTGGGCGTGAAGCAACCACGGCGTTTTTTTTCGCCGAGTGAGTGAAGTTACCGAAAACCCAATGCTTTCCGTACACGCCATCCTTAAATGTCCGAAACCCTTATCCCCAAAAGGGCGGCAAGGCACTCTTGCCTACTTTAACTAAAAATCGCGGGTTTCTCACGTGTATGTATTGAGAAAAGCTCTACTAGTTTCGAACCACAGAGGGGTTCTTTCTCATGAGCAGCGTGCGCGTAGCGCAGCCTAGTCGCCGCTTCCGTACTAGCTAACTAGTAGGGTTTTTCTCAATACATACACGTGAGTAACCCGTGATTTTTAGTTAATTTAGTATGTCTCTTGCCTACTTGTTTACTGTTGCGGGTGTCCATGGGCGGCGCCGATTGCTTACCATCAGGTAATCCGTCTGCTCGTTTGTCGACTTACCCATACAAAAAGAAGGTTTATATGTATAATACCATATGTTACGTGAGGCATATTTTTTCACTTACCTTATTCTATTGTTATATGGTTTTTCCATGTTTTATTATGTTTTATCTTTATTCACTTGTTTGTTTTGTGTCTTGTGTCCTATTATATGCGTCCTATGCGCGAATAAATACTTTTTGTTTGTTTGTTTATCCATTAAATCGTGAAAAAATGAAGTATCAGTATTGCACCCGTGCGAAGTCAGGGTCGCTAGTATTATCTTTATATATCTTCTTATATATAAAAATGGATCGCAAAATGTGTTGGTAAGCGCATAACTCAACAACGCCTGGACCAATTTTGATAATTCTTTATTTGTTATGTTTGTTGTCAGGAGAAGGTTCTTATCAAAGAAAATATTAGAAAAGTAGAGGGGAAGATTAGGAAAAGTGACCCTTTGATAGTGATATAGTTGAACCCGTGCGAAGCGGGGGCGGGCCGGTAGTAATAAAAAAGTAATAAGATAGATGTAACTCACTTCGCCACTTAGGTTCTTTCCGCCGCGTGGTGTCGCTGACGCTGGAGTCCGGTGACAGGGTGCCTACACTCGCTATCTCCTCTTGAGATCCACCTGCTGAAAAAATAATATTATTACTAGTACAACGATGAGTTAAAATAATACCTTTACTCACACCAACATGTACCTCAATTTGTTGCAATTAGGTAGTTTTATAGGTCAAAAAAAAATTAATTTGACCGTTCAAAACAATAAAATATCGAAAAATAACTATACTTTTATTCATCGATCGATCGATTCATTAAATTTTAGATATTTTTAGCTTATTTTTTAAGAAATAATTTAAAGCCCTATTTGACGCTAAAATACTATGACGTCATAGCTCAGTGTTTCATACAAATTTCATAGAAAAATATCGTTTTTGACATTTGATATCGTTAAAAGTATTGAATTTGACAAGTTGAAAACTACCGTATTACGTTACTTGACTACTGATAAAAACATGACAGATGTTTATTAAAGAGTTACTTAGAAAGGACTACTTTATGGAACTTGGCGCGATAGTAACTTCTATTGAGCTTCAATTTCACCTATCCAACGATGTAACAAACTGTTAGAAAGCGGGACCAGATTCCATAGACACTCTAGCATGGACCTTTAAGACTTTCTGTATGAAATGGACCATTTTATGAAACTCTTGTTACACTGCGCAGGTGTACCCTCTACGGTAGATAGTACTTAGTTGTGGTACATTTTGGAAATAATTTATATTCAATAATAATCTCTTGCAGATTATTATGAAACTAACATCCGTCCGCGTCTTCGCACGCGTATAAAAGTAATGATCTTGGGCTTTTAAGAACAGCAGCGTTTGAAGTGATAGCTCGACTAAATTCGTAAGTCGTGTATAATTTATAGCCTATAACAATCAACAACATTGTACTCATAGCTATCTAACAGAAAAATAATTTTGGAAATCCAACCAGCGGTTACCTAACTTACATTCATTATTAGTATAGAGATAAGAACAAGAAATAAAAACAAAATTAAGCAATAGAATTTTCATAACTCTACAATAACAAAATGGAAAAATAACTTTATACATATAAGCAAAAAGTTCTGATTACCATGTTGCTGTAACCGCTCGAGTCGCCTGAAGAGCCTCTCCCTCTGTTGCTCGACGTCCTTCTGTTGCTCAGCCAACTCTTGACGCGCGGCTTGTAACTGCTGGCGTTCTGTAACATGAAGCGTAACGTGCTTTACTACACTGAATGAATTATTTAAAACGTTTGACTTATCACGGGTTAACTACCATACGGATAACTTGGTGATAGTAAACAATCGACGCCGCCCATGGACACCCCTAACGATGCCGGCCTTTTTTAAGGTTACAGAAATTTAAGCATTTGATTTAAGGATGTGGGAGGGATGGGGGGAGGGTGATTCTCCAAAAAACCTTAACTTTTATTTAACAAGTCATTATCCTCCCAGGTTTTTAAGCATCTTAGTAATTTATTTTATACAATATTTTTAATCGGTTGCTTGTAAGCAGTGGTGAGATTTAATTTAATAAAATAATTATCTGTGTTTTAATCAGCAGACTCGTTAATTTTCGGTTGAGGATAATGACATTATTAATTTTTTTTTAATTGATGTGAAGAATCACCCGGGAAGGGAAGAAAGGTTGTAGAGATTTAGAGGGGTTTAGAGGTTTCCAGTAACCTCAGTAACACGACGAAACACAACGTAGTCGTTGTTTCACGCTGGTTTTTTGTGAGGCTGTGTTATCACTTCGGTGGAGCCGGCCCATTCGTGGCGAAGCATGGTTCTCCCACACTTAAATGAATGTGTGGATGTTCGTACAGTATGAATGTAGGTGAGTAAGTAACCTGCGTTGAGCGCGGCATGGTCTGCGGCGCGCTGCGCGTCGAATGCGGCGCGGTCCCGCGTGAGGCGCGCCTGCGCGTGCCGGAGCTCCTCGAGCTGCGCGTCCGACCAGTCCGGGGTCCGCGCGCCCCCGCCGCCCTGCCAGCGCCATGCGCTTACTTGCGCCTCCAGGCTGTCGGAGATACATCATGTGAGACAATGTTCTTGTTACATCCTATGGTAAAATGTAGCAAATATTTATTAAGACTTTTATCATTTATGAATTTTTATCATCATTAGGACTTGAAACCAATCGAGCATCTTCTTGCCATGGCAGTCTCGGCCCAGAATAGGAGAAGGAACAAGGAGGGGTTATAATCACTAAGAGTCTGACACTCTCTCCCACCCAACCCTGGACGGGAGAAGGCATTTGATGACTAATCCTAACAAAAAAAAAAAAAATTACCACCTTCGTCAAAATTACTTGTGTAATATTTAATAACTTAAAAAAAGTAGATATTGTTAAATCGGAAATCAGTCTTTTGTCACGCTATAAAGCTCAGTATTCATACACAAAACTAAAAGAACACAAATATAAAAACTAAAAAATCACAAAAATATAACTAATGAGTATAAAGAAAAAGCTTCTTTGGGAAACTTGTTAGTTATCATGAGTATAACCACATGTTTCAAATATCGGTTACTAATTACCAGTCACCCTATATTATGTACTTAGGTTTTAGCAAACCGACCAGCAGTTCCAAAGATTACCCCCTAAAAACAAACTTACAAATTTTAATTTCTTAATAATATTAGTATAGATGTAGTCTTCCCATACCTATGTATAGTAGTAAGTTGCTGCCATACAATACAGGTGAGCGTGTATATAGCGTGTTGCAGTTTGAGCGCGGCCTCCCCGCTGAGGTCGGGCCTCTCGCCCGCCTCACCCGCCTTCTCCGCTTCCGCTTCGCCGCCCTCCGTCGGAGTGTCCGTCGACATACGGAGGGTTACGTTTGACACTGAAATTAAATAATTTTATTGGTTTTAGTAAGCTTATGGCTTACTTGGGAAGGATTACTTAAAAGGATTTAATTTTTATAGGATAACCATTTGACATTTGTGAGAGCTATGCTCCGGCACGAATGAGCCGGCTCGATCGGAGTGAAGCCATAACCTTACAGAAAACCGGCGTGAAACAATCACAGTATTGTGTTTCGCCGAGTGAGTGAGGTTACCGGAGGTCCAATTCTTCCCCCGCCCTAATCCCTAAATTACCAAAAGGCCGGCAACGCCCTCGTAACTTTTCGGGCGGGGGTATATGGGCATTGCCAATTGCTTACCATCAGGTAACATGGTCCACGCGGCACAACACAATGCAAGCGTTATTTCACGCCGGTGTTCAATGAGGCCGTGATATCCTTCATTTTAAAACTGTAAATGACACACCTCTATGCCTATTAGCATCGAATCCCGCGAAGGTATCGGCCCGCCTCGGTAGCGCCGGGCTCTCGTATGCGACGGAGTGTCGCTCCCCGGCCGAGCTGGTACTGCGGCCTAGGGCGCCGCCACTCTGCCAGGGTGCACTGCTCGCTTCTAACGCGTCCTGAGAGAATATTCAAATTGCAAATTAACTTAACTTGGTTCTTGCGCATGCTAGATGGCGGTAGTGAGGTATTAGGTCGTGTCTGCCGAATAGTTGTAGCTGTTAAAATGTCTTTCAATAGGTTTAGGTATTAAAACCTTAAATGATGAGAAAATGTTGTTCCAGCATGCTAGAAATGTTAGTTTTTTTTAATAAAACCTTTATTATAATCAGATATAAGTAATAAGAAATATTTGATAAGATACGTGTATTTTATAATTAAACATTACAACTGACATTACATCCCAGAAACAGTAGACAAAAGTCTACATACAATCGTAAAATGTAACACACGCTTTTCTCCAGTGGTTCATCAGCTTCTGAGAAACAAAACAATGACATACCATAACAACTTTGCACACGTCCTGCCACAGCGCGTATTTGTCGGCAGAGGGCGCTGCCAGACGCACGTAGTCCGGGAACACCAGGCCGGGGAACGCTGTGCTGCTACCTGCGTATATTACAATATAAGTTAGAGATTGATGTACATATAATTTTGTTTATAGCACACACACAGGACAACAGATAGACAGACAAAAGCATAATACGAATTGATTTACTCAAGAAGTCAGTGTACAACTGGGCAGTTTCTAAAAAATGTGTGAAAAAGAGTCCCGTTTTGACTTGAAACTAGTAGAGACCTTTTCAGTTCATTAGCATGAGTAAATATCTAAACAACAAAAAATTTTGTATGTCTTCTTGCACCTGCCGTTAACTCCTCTCTATATCACCCAAAGGTTCGAATGCATAAGTCCACTTTGTACAGTCAGGGGTCAAAAATGCAATTACACTCTACCAATTTTAAAATGACTAAAATTCAGCCAGTTTAATCAATAATTTTGATTCTATGCTATAAATTAAAGCAGTCCTCAACCATTGACTCCATTCTACAAAGATATTTTGGTCATTTTTAAATTGGTAGAGTGCAATTGCATTTTTGACCCCTGACTGTACATTAATGTTGGTACAAAATCTTACATAGATAAAAAATAAACAGTTCCATGCATTCACAAATGAACAACACACAAAACAAACAAAAATAATTAAGAAAAGAAAAAATACTAAATACTGGACATCGATACTAACGCAACTGACCTGTGTGTGGCAATGTGAGCCACGTCTCGTCCGTGATGCCGACCAGTTTCATCTGCAGCGCCATCTTCTCCTCGAGTAACGTCGCATGCTCCCTGTCTTTTGCTCTTAGCGTCTCTGTGTTAACAAAACCGGCAATGTATTGAGAATACTGTTTTATAGTCGCTTTTTTGTTGTTGAATTTTTGAGCATTTATACTCGGTGGCGTTATGACCAAAATATCAATAGAATTTATGTCAAAACTTTAAACTAGGTATTTTAGGAGTTGATGTTGATATTGTAACAAACAGTGCAAAACAAATGGGATTATATTTGTAATTCTCATACTAATAAGATACCGATATTTTTTGTAAGGAAAATATATCTTTATTATAGCTTTATCATTTTAATGGGAAAATGGATATCATTAAGTGTGAAAACACTTTTATTGTAGCTAAAATCGTCTGCGATTTTTTGCGTATAGGATAAGTCAAGTAATTATTAGCAACTTTTACAATTATTACGCACTTACAAAATACAGTTATAGCGTCTCATTAACTAATAACTCTTTATCAAAACGATTGTCAGATACAATAGTATAAATGCTCAAACAATAAAATTATAATTTAATTAAACATACAATTAATTTTCTGCAACATTAAAACAAATGGACAGTGCGCAATTCTCACAAGGGGTATACAAACTAACAAATAATAACTTTTTTTTTATTTAATCACATTGAATACTCAATAAATTAAAAACACTTAAATTAATCTACACAATTAATGGTAAATTAATAAAAAAATTAATCCACACAGTTTAGTAATTTAAATAAAGTGTTTCAAAGTGCGTCAATCAAAAGGCTGCCCCGAATTGGGAGCAAATAGATAAATTAGGCCAATTTTTCATTACGAATCCTTGTTATTCCAGCATAATTATTATTGTATTTCAGTGTGAGAGAGCCATGTTTCGGCATGAATGGGATCGACCGGAGTCATACCACGGCCTCAGAGAGAACCAGTGTGAAACAAGGAGTTTGTTGTGTTTCACTATGTGAGTGAGGTTACCGGAGGTTCAACCCCGCCCCTCCCAACGGCGTTCAAGTGTTCATCTGCTACATACAGTGGACCCCCGGTAATCCGGCCCCTGCCTACTCCGGCGCCCCCTGTAATCCGACATGACTTTGAATTATGTTTGACAATCTTCGATAATGTAGATCACGCAGGTTTGAACACAACTCGTACGCGCCACCGAAATTGTTTTACTTAGTTTGAATTTGACTACTATACTCGGAATTTTAATTCCATTCCAGATTTGACAATTTCAGTGTTGCAACGTTATGACACGTAATAAATAGTGACGTTGCGAAATTATTCGATATCGAAATCGAATATTTCTGAATCCATTCCTCTCGTGTAAATTTACTCTCGTAAACTAAGTTTATCAGGAAATCTAATATTTCTGAACCGATAATTTAGTTTTGACAATTAATTAACGATCTGAGACTTTTCTTTTGTAATTGTGTGTGAAATTAATAAAAAATGTGATCATGAAGGAACATGACAAATAAAACAGAAATTTTATAAATTGTCGCCGTCATCGCTATCACTATCGCTGTTACTTTCTGTAACGTTTATTATGAATTGTGTCTGTGATTTTTATTCTCAATTAATATATATCTAGCTTACTCATTTTTTCCTCTTCTTTGACAACATGGGATATGCATTTAGACCATTCGGCAGCCGTAATTTTTTGAATGCCTCTTGAAACTGATTCACTGATTGCTTATCGATTTTTGTGTTCATCACTACACTGTTATATGTGGTATCATTATTTCACAAAATGACAGTAGGTCATGTCAAATCAGGAATCGAATTAAAATTCTGACTATAGTGGCGCGATTAACGCTTTTGAGCTAGATTTACAATGAGCTGAAGAGAATGGTACATCCTACAACGAACTTTAACTTTTGAGAAGGCTGAGGGACAAAGCTCTGATCTCGCGTTATAAGAAAATTAAACAAAAAAAATTGATGAATATTTCAAAATTTCATAATTTGATAAATTCGCTACATGTTTTTGATTAGTAATTCTTGATTATTTTGGTTGATATGTATGTGCATTTATGCTTAATTTGATAATAAAATGTAAGCTTTCAATTGTTATATAATTTACTAAATTCGACTTAAGTACATAAATTAAGTATGATTTGTACTTCAAAGTACATGAACATATAACATATATGTAGATTCTTATCATTGGATATGTAATTTGTCGGATTACAAGGTACTCTTTTGTAAAAAATTCCGGACTATAGCGGTCTTAGTCAGTGCTCTATAATCCGACAAATTCGATAGTCCGACACTGCCCTGCATAATGTTTGTCGGATTACCGGAGGTCAACTGTATTTCTTTGTTATTGGATTGAGAGGATAATAATAAAATATAGTATGAAACTATATTAAGCTGCAAAATCAAGTTGTCACTATACGTGAGAACTTGTAATTGGCTTTCCGTAGTTTATGTTGGCTTCTATTTTTAGTTAGATTATGCTGTAAGTCCTCCAGAGTGTAATAAATAAATAAATAAAATCTGCAAAAGACTGAAACGTAGCCACGATATAGTTAGGCATTTTACTTAGGGCTGATTTTTCAATAGTCACATAAATGTTATCTAAGGAATAAAATTGTTGCTGTCACTGTTTTATACAAACACTCTGACGCGACAGAATCATAATTATTCCACAGATAACTTTAATCTTACTTTATGAAATTTATAAATGTTTATAGGTAATGTTCTTGTGACACTATATAATCTAAATTTAGTGCTACCACCAATCGTTCTTACAAACGAGCGACACTTTGCCGGCTACCCAATTCAGCGTTCCCAAACATCAACGCGAGCCACACAGCTAGCCAGCGCGTCAAGTTCTTATAGGATCAATTCAAAAGCTAGTTTCCGCCGGCGGCCTCGCACTCGTGTAAAAGTAATGTATCTCGTTTTTTTTTAAAAAAAAACAGCAGTGTTTAAAGCTATAGCTCGATTAAAATATGAAAATCTAGTATTATGTATAGCCTATAACAGGATCAGGAACGTTGTAGCCATCTATTAGTGGAAGAATTTTAGAAAACCGACCAGCGTTTCTAAACATTGCCCCCAACATACAAACTTACAAATTTTACCTCTTTATAATATTATACGTATATTTGTATAAATAAGTACATGTATAATTTTCCTTTTTTACTTCTTTTTACGATATACTCAATATTTATATTTTTTACGAGAAGGAGTCATCTAGCCCCCTCTAAATGTAAAGGAAAAAAATTCGTTTTAAAAATTATAACGTCACAACATTGTTTTTTACGTTTCAGAAAATGTATTGAATTTGCCTTGTGGGGAAAATACGCTTTACCGAGTGTGCTGAGCGGAGCATAAAAATATCATAAAAAAAAATCCGCTAGTTACACAAATTTGTTACAAATGCATAGCATTATTATTTTGTATTTATTAATTATAAAAAACTTTGTGTTTTAAAAACCGAACAGTTCATTCCACCGCGCTATCAATTTAGAGCATACCTACTTGGTCATTCTAAGATAAAAAAAAGTTCAATTTTATTTTTCCAGCATAATGTCGCCCATGTAGAACAAATGCAAGGACAGCCTTTGTATGACGCTAACGTAACATGCCGCCATGCAACAAGCATTATTACTTAGTATCGTATCACCTTCTATTTGCCACCACGGAGTCTCATCTGTTCGATAACAAAATTTATATTCATTGTTTGCTATTATTTTATTGGTTAGACAAATTGTACTAGCGGCATTTAGGGGAAAAAATTCTTTTTTGTTTATACACATCATTAGTTTGGGTACTCAACTGAGCCAAAAATTATACGACTTTACAATATCTTTACATACATATACAATTCTGCTGTACGTGTGTGTTGAATTCCTCCTAATGGGCTTGACCGATTTAAATGATTTTAATGGTCTTCGTATATAAAAACATTTCAAACTAGTATTACTAGCTAGCAAACTAGCACTTCCAGGCAAAGTTCGTTCCGCCTCAAAAATAACTAATATTCTCTGGCTTTTAAACCTTCCCTGGACTTCAACTAATATTTCAAGACCAAAATTAGCTAAAACGGACTAGCCGTTCTCGAGATTTAGTGAGACTAACGAATAGCATTGCATTTTTGTTTATTTCGAATAGACAAAATTAAGGATTTTCGGAATGTCAAAACAAAGCAAAAATTCGTCAAACTGTCTTTCAGTAAAACTAAGTGCTCGTTTTAAAATAGAGAGAAAATTTCAATTGATTTATTCGATTTTTTTTTTCCAATTTTTCTGTGTACCTTTTAACCTTTTAAGTAACGGTACAGTAATGCCAAAAAAGACGTCACAACACACAATCCAGTAAAAAATGTGTTAAGTCGATTTTGACAATTTCAAAAAGTATTGAGGATTCAATACTTCCTGGAATGTCAGCAGTACCCAGAATTTATTCTGTACTTAATTGTTATTATTTTTATACAAAATTATGTTTATTTTTTGTTTTGTTGTATTAGGCTTAACGAGCAATAAAATACATATTATATGCTAAAAATGGTATGCCGCTAAAACGATTTGTCTTTAAGCGCAATTTATTCAAAACAGTCAACTTTCTTTGAATAAATTACTGTAAAAGGTATTATAAGCAGTCTAATCCTAATAGAACAATTTTGAATGCAGATTATTAGTGCCAATCAATATAAGAACTAGAAACTAAGGTCGAAATAAGATATTGTTCAAAGATGATCTGTTTAGTACAAACAGTTTGCATCTCTTTCTATCCCATATATTATGAAAGTGACAGCATATTGCCAAACAATATATTTACTTCGACCTAAGTAATACGCTATAAAACAACCGTCCATTCATTGTCACACAAATAGCATTCTTATATCATGAGGACTAAGGCTGAAATTTAGACTAGCACAGTCAAATTATCCATGAACAGACGGTCGTATGAGAATAAAGCGTTCAGTCGGAAATGGACTGTATTTACATAAATATAAGGTGCAGTATAGTACATACCAGTGATCAGTCTTATATTCTCATGCCTGGCGTCCAGCTGCCGCTGCCTTTCCTCGGCAGAGGGCGCCGTCGCTCCTACTTCAGATTCCTCTACCTCTTCCGGACAACTCTGTACTACCGCTCTGGAAGAAAATATTGGATTAATTGGATTTATTGACGTCCTTATTTGTATGTATTTAAACATAAAATAGGACAAAAAAACATCAACATTTAAACATCAAAAATAACTCTACAACAAATTATCATAATTACTCTGAAGTCAGTGGACTCGACAGAAATGACGCTTGCTTTGAATACCTGATGGCCTGTATCCAAGTCTGTATGTCCTTGGGGCGATGTACCCTGAGCTCAAACATCTCGGGCTCCGTGGGCCCGCTGCATATCAGATACAAGCCGCGACCTTCAGCGCCAGCCTTTTCACGTACTAGTAACTTTACTAGAGACACTACGCCGGTCTGGATGAAAAAAAAATAAAAGAAAACTATCTTTCCCTATCATAAATGTTTAGAATATTTATTGTATTTATAGGTATATATTTAAATGTGTATTAAATGGTATAGGTATGTATATATATTTATTAGTATATATATATATACATATAAATATATATATTATATTATTTGGTGTTTATATGTTATGTATTTATATATTTTTGCTGTTTTTTTTGTAGTTTATTAATTCTTGTTTTCCTTTTTCCTAATTGTGTTTACACAGTCAGTCTACACAACTTTTTATTCTAACTCTCCCATAACGGGCCTGCTGGAAGAGATTTCTGAAGAAATAAGCTGTGCCTTTGTACCTAATTGTTGTATTATTTTTCTTGTCCAACTTACTGTGTGTACAAAAATTATTAAATAAATATTAAATAAATAGAAAATTATTATTATTATTATATATGTCGCTCGAAGGAAGGACGGCCGATGGGTCCGAAAGGTACTAGAATGGCGACCAAGGACCGAAAAACGTTGCGAGGAGCCAATGAATGCAGGTGGCAACTTTTCGTTCGACGTGGAGGGAAGGACTAAGGGGGAGGCCTTTGTCCAGCAGTGGACGTCTTCCGGCTGATGATGATTGTAGATAGAATATTATGATACGGTTGTTTGGTTGGTGTTCGAAGTAGAAGTAAGAATGGATAGTCAGGTAGTTTTAGTCAGTAAGAGTCACTACACTAAATAGCGTTCCTACCAGGGCAGTAGAAGCCATATAATGAAAAACAAAATATGAAGTAAAAATTAACAAAATTACGAAATTATTCTACGAATATACGAAAACGAACGTAAAGGAATTATCCTACTACTAGCATAAACGCGAAATTCGTTTAAATATGGACAGATGGATTCATATATTATATCTATATCAATCACATACCAGTAGAGGCACCAGTATTTTTTAATGTCACTAACTGATTGAGGTAATAAAACCTTATTATGTAAGAAAAAATCTTTTGCGATAATGCCAAAAAAATTAAAACTTGTCATATCCGATTTATTTGTACTGAGAACAAAAGCCAACCTACTCCAATTCCTCAAAATACTTTAACACATTCTCACCTCTACCAACGAAATAATAAGGTGCAATATCAAAATTTAATCTCACCTTGTTATCGGGCGTGAAGAAGGTGTATTTATTGTTGTTATCGTGCAGGAAGAATAAGACGTCCGTCAGTACTATCACGAGTAGCGTCTGCATCTTACTGCGTCCCTGCATTAGGGTTGCTACGCCTTCAAACCTGGGTGGAGAAAAGAGAACTTTAATTAGTAGGCGCTAAGGTATATCTTTCTATGCCAAACTAAGACGTAAGAAAAAAACCTACGAAACACTTAATGCGCAAGTTTGTGTGATTACTATTTCTTTAAGCCTTATGTAATCAATCAATAAAACGGGATTTAGACTATCAATAATAGGGAAATACCATTGGCCATGAACATGGCTTCGGCACAAAATGGGTCGGCTCGACCGGAGTTATACCACGGCCTCACAGAAAACCGGCATGAAACAACCACAACGTTGTGTTTCGCCGTTTGAGTGATGTTACCGGAGGCCCAGTCCTTCCCCTCCCCAATCCCTAATCCCTAAAAGGTCAGCAACGCACTCGTAACTCCTCTGTTGTTGCAGGTTTCCATGGGCGGCGCTGATTGCTTACCATCAGGTAATCCGTCTGCTCGTTTGCCGACCTATCACATAAAAACAAAACATAAACAATATCAATTATACTGTCTTTAAACTCCTAAGATATTAAACCCTCTAGACGCAGATAAGATTAAACTCTGTTCACAAAGCATAAAGTTTATATTTCCGTAACATATCAACTCAATTTAAGCTCCCTCTCTAGATGCAGATTAAATTAAACTCTGGTTACAAAGCACAAAACTCATATTTCCTTAATATCAAACACTCACTTCAAACTCCTGTTTCCCTGCAGTATATCGCTCTTCTTAAACTTGCGTCCTCTGAAGTTGGCGAATGACTTTGCGTCGATGCGATGGTAGATCTCAAGCTTACGATCTTCACGCTCCTTGGCCGCTACTTGATTGTCGACGTCCACTAGTATTTCCTAAAACCGAAGACAGTTTGTCAAGCTAGACATTCGATTTTCAACCTTATCACATTCTCAATAAAGGTGTGATTTGTTCAAATCTATCTGACTATAGATTTTACTAAAATTCGTTACACAAAACTTGATGGTATGTGAAACTGTGTAGTGAAGGTAATAAAGTCACAAAAACCAAATCCTGTTTAAAGCAATTTCAACCGTATATTGCAAACAATAAAGCAGTTATTACCTTGACTCCGCATAGCGCCCGTTGCAACAAGTCTCGCTCGGTGAGATCGTCCCCAGCAGTCTTCAACAGTGGCTCCAATAGAAGCGGGTACTTCGTCAAACGCTGCGCTACGAATAGCACGCATTCTGGGACACCCTGTGTACATAGCAATTAGTAACTAGAATTTTCTCTTTACTTTTTGACGTTTCAAAAGTACCTATTTATGGTTTAGTTGGAATAAATGATTTTGATTTGATTTCATTTGACTTCAACAACATGGAAATCTCAGACAAGGGGAGGAAGGGATGAGACCTGCGATAGATATACCTCACTCACATATATCATTACGAAACACAACTTAAGCATTTGCTTGCTTGCGATTTCTTCAAGCCGGTTTTCTATGAGGACGTGGAATCACTCCTGTCGAGCCAGTGCGCCGAAGCATGACTCTCCCACACTTAATTGTTTTTCTTCTTATAACAGCCTCTTCTCAGTAAAAGGAGTATGGGGAGGCAGATTTGAAAACCAGCGTGAAACAACGTTAACGTTGTATTTTACCGTGTGACTGCCAGACTAACCAGAAGCCGACTCCTTAAATCGCCAAAACCCTAATCCCCACAAGATCGGCAACGCACTCGTAACTCTTCCGTTGGCGCTGACTGCTTACCATTTGGTAATCTGTTTGATCGTCCTATCATATACAAAAATACAGCTGAATTTCAATGTTTTCCATACCTTCTTCCTAAGTAGTGGGTTCTGTTGACATTTTCGTATGAAACGTGAAAGTCTTGGCTCCCGAGTACAACACTCTTTGAACACCTCCACTGCATCGCGGTGCCGGGAACAAAACTCTCCTGTAGAGGATAAAAGTGAGTTGTAAAATCAATTTTATTTGAAGATGGTTTAGGTTAACTTTCAAATGATTCCATAGGTAACAATGTAAAATAGGTAGGCTGCTTTTCTTTTTTAAAAAGACGTTGTATTCTAGGATTTTTGCCTATGTCGTGGGTGTCTTTATAAAATATAAAATGTTATCATTACACCCAGATCTACCGTTGCCGTGTCCGGTTGTGATGTGTATATAAAATTGTATACTTGTAAATGCACCCACGACACAAAAGCAAATCCTAGTGTCGTAGGCAACGTATTTTTATAAAGAAACAACAAATGAACAAAACAAATGGAGCATTTATATTTTATTGTGTATGAGATTTAACGCGCATTTTAATGTTTAACTTTGTAGCAGGATTACATCTCATCCTGTAAGACAGCAAACTAATAATATGCAACGCGAAAGTTAGAAATATAAAGGTATTATTATTATTATTACCGTAAGCGGCCTTGAGCTTGTGATGGTTGGGCGGCGCGAAGGTGTCGCAGAGTATGTCTGCGACGGATGCGACGGCGGGCGCGGCGGCCTGGCGCGCGCGCAGGCGGGCCAGCAGCGCCGCGTGCAGCGCCCACAGCTCGTCCACGCGCGGGAACATGCGCGCCGCCTGCGCCGCCGACACGCCCGCGCCGCGGACCATGCCCTCCGCGAACATCTACACACGATCAACTGTTTCAACGGGTGTCTTTGTCTTTTTTTTACTTGATATTAACAAAAAAAAAAACTTTTAAACATAAATATACTTACTTGCCTATATAACCTTAGTCTTAGTCAACAAAAATAAGTAACATAGCCGATAAGAGCTTCCTCTCTCCTATCCCACTTACTTTGCTGTGCCCGACAGGGTCCATGTGAACTATTTATAAGTACCTACCACCTAAGAATACATGTGGAAAGCAATAAAGTATTGAGTATTGAGTATAGTGCTTGACTGCGATCCCGCCTGATGGTAAGCAGTGATGCAATCATTGATGGTAAGGCGCACTAGTTTATTATGAGCCTATTCACTCTAGCCTTATCTATACCCGTCATGGGTAGCACGGAGGTTAAGGCGCCCGATTAAGTTGTGCAAGAACCTTTAACTTGTATTAAATACCTATGTGGTAAACGTGGGAGAACCATGCTAGGACGCGGATAGATCAGCTTGACCGGAATGATACCAAGGCCTCAACGAAACCGGCGTGAAAAGACCACAGTGTTGTGTTTCGCCATATGGATGAGGTTACCGGAGACCTAATCCCTACCCTCCACAATCCTTAAATCTTCAAAACCATGCAAATTGATTCCGTAGTGATCTTTTGAGGAAATAAACATACCAGTTTAAGTGGGCCCGTTCTAAAGACAGGTACGCAAGTGTCAGTTTACAACCAGTTAAACTAACTAGAATATTAGTATAGATAATATAGTACTATACCTTTTGCATAAGCCTGATCGTCAAGCAATGATGTTTCTCTGTCAATATCAACTCGTAGATGTGTTCTTGTCGTTTAGTCTCTCTATCGCCAAGTTGTCTGAAAATATTATTAGGTAAGTATTAGTTATTTCACATTCTACATTAAGAAAGATCTGCCTAAAAGACAACATCTAAAAATATGTACCTACTACTTTTGAGGCAATGATAAGTGTTGAGTGTAGATTTTTTAAACCTGCTCACATTCGTAAATGGCAAATATATGAAATACTAAGAAATGGGAGAACTGAAAAATAATCAATTTAATGTGTGTGTGTGTGTCAGTGCGTGTGCGTCTGTGTGTGCGTGTGCTTGCGTTCGAGTGGGCGTGTGCATGTATGTACGTGTGTGTGCGCCAATGGACAGAAACGTGTCGATGACACTGATTCTACACTTCCAAGATCTAAAACAAAGAGTACATTAAATAAACTGTAATGTGTTCAGTACGCATATGTGAGTGCCATGTTTGGATAAAGGATTTAAAACTAAGTGATAAATCTAATAATTTGTTCTTTTTTTTAACAACTGGAACATTTATGTGCAATATACAATATACACAAAACACACGCGCACGCACGCACACGCACACGCACGTATGTAAATGGTAGATCAATTTTATTGTTGTATGTCGTGTAATAAAATATCATTAAGTTAAAATTAAAATAAAATCTGCTAATCTATAAGCTAGACACTGTCTCTTAAAATACAGATTAACCTAGTTTAAGAGCCAGGGCTATTACAACTATGTACAGAAAAATTAATCAAAAAAAATTTTTTCGTACAATAAGGTCTACTCGTTTATTAACCTACCTGTGTACATTTCTGTAACTATTTTTAATACTTAATTTAACTTTCTATTCTTTTATTTTTATTCTTATGTGAGAACAATACTCTGCATTGTAATGTTGGTGTTTTCCATCGTCGGTCCTTAAGACCCTCGCCTAACGGTTTGGGCCTCAAGGCGCCTGTCACCAACATTAAACATGTGTACCATAATGTACTATTATTTGAAAATATCTCAACTTACTTGGCAAGTCCCTTGGGCGCCCCGGCGGCCCAGGTATCGGGTTCACAGGCTCCCAATCCAAGGCGTATCGCCTCATCTCCCAGCTGCTCCGGTGTGAGGTATACTTCTGGCCATTCTGATACACCGGCGTCATCTGATGCGCTGAAATTGAAGAAAAATTATGTTATTTATTTATTTATTCTTTATATACAATTGCATAACTGTGGGAGAACCAAACTTCGGCACGAATGGGTCGGCTCGACCGGACTGATACCACGGCGTCCCAGAAAACCGGCGTGAAACAACCACAGTGTTGTGTTCCGCCGTGTGAGTGAGGTTACCGGAGGCTCAATCCCTACCCGTCCCCCATCCCTATCCAATCCTTAAATATCTGCAACCCTTATCCCCAAAAGGTTGGCAATGCACTCGTAACTGGTTACTCTTTTGGTGTTTCGGGTGTCCATCGGCGGCACCGATTGCTTACCATCAGGTAATACGTCGCACAGCTTCCAGACTCATTCCATAAAAAATCGCAGGACTTAATGTTAGAAGCATTTTCTGCTAGTCATCCTTATTATAATTAGTATTTGAAGTAGTAAAGTTTCGAGATCAACCTATAATTAATTTTTAACTTTAGAGTGTTAATCATAATATTGCCCAGCCACCGCGCCAACCGTGCAGTTATCATCATCATCAGCCTATAAGTGCCCAGTGCTGAGCAAAGGCCTCTTCTCATACAGAGAAGGTTAGAGCATTAATCACCGTGCAGTTATATGTTGTTTTATTTTACTTACTTGCTCTGGTCGTGTTTGTGATCGGAGCCATCTTTGTCGTCATTGTAGATGTGACTGGTGCTGTAAATACAAACTCAGTGTTACCACTTACAATAAAAAAGAATGCTTTTTTAACGATGGCAACACAGAACAATCATGTTTATCTGTAACCTAATTTAGTAAGCGATTAATGAAATGTATTTTATCATTGCGATAAATAATACATGCCATCAATATCTATCACAAAATTGAAGTTTGTTTTGATTTGAATTCGCTAGCTGTTGTGAACGACCTGATTCAAATTATTTTTCTCATAAAAAAGAGTTGGCAATGTATCTATCACACATAATATTTAACTAACATTATTGTTCCATATTGCCATAAAAAATCAAGAGTCAGACGGGGTCAAATCAATCGACACGACAATATATTACAGTTTGGACCTCGGATAGAAAGATACATTATACTCTTACACAGAACAATATTAACTCCAATGTATTTAAATCTTATATTTAAAGTTCAGCAAAGCCTAAATAATAAGAAGAAGCGTAGAAACTCACAATACACGTGGCATGCAGAATTTTGAATTGAATAAAGTAAATAAAAGAGGTTTAATTAAAGATAGCTTCGTTTCTGCTTCGAAGAAATTTCTACATACTGTTTCGAGGTAAAACATGTTCTATTGAAAAGGGTTTAAGGTGCTAATTTAAATGTCTTTCTTAATTTTAGCAATACCGAGAATACTATAGTTTTTATTATAACTTTCGTGAGACATTCCAAATTAATTATTATGTTTTCGGCTTACTCACGTAATAATTTGACGAGATACTCGACTAGTTTCAAGCCATGCTAGAGGCCATGTCATGTCAGTAGCAGCGCGACAGTCGCCGAGTCGCGTGTCCCGGAATGCTGCTCATGAATATGGGCCTCTAATACTTACGTGAATTAAATGAGAAAAGCTCTACTAGTTTCAAGCCACAATGGGACTCTTATTTATGAGCTGCGTACGCATTGCGTCGAGGTCACGAGAGTACGTCTTTATTTTTAATAAATCATAAAATTTTCGTCAAATTTAGTCAATCAGTAAATTATTGTCTTTAGAAAACTTTTTAATTGCGACAATTTTCCACAAAATCTCTTTAGAAATGAAAAAATACGTTAAGATTGGATAACTTAAACCCCCTTTTCAATAGAGCGCACATTAGAAAACCTCAAAACATAAAAAACCTGTGACCTAAATAACAAAAACAGAACATATCACCAGCAAAACTTGACATAATAATAATAATAACAATAAAAAACGTATTGAATAAGTGCTACAACAATTTCAAATAGAAGTTCCAAACTACCTTCTGGACAGAAAGATACACAAGTAAGGCATCGTGGATGATTCGAGAATTTTCTAGAAGAAACTTCGATGTGTGATGTAGCGCGGTGTTCTCGAAGAAGCTAGTGAACTTACTGTGACCATCGTTATATGCTGTGCAACAATACGTCTTATGAATTTGTAGTACGGTGTATTTTACAATACTGTGCTTTGATGACTTTAGTGTTTATTATTATTACATATTTTAAGGTTTATTTAGTCTAGTTTAGCTAGTTTATTTGATTTTTATTTATTGTTAGTGCCAAGCAACAATTTAATTCTGGCTAGCTTCACTACAAAGTCTGTACTTATTTAAGGTTAACAGATGAGTCGAAGTTGAACTAGCTGCAATAGAGTTTTGGATCAAAGCTTCAAAGACCATTCTGAGGTCAAAATTATCATCACAATCCAACCGATCCTGAACACCCACGCCCTACCAGGAGTACACAACTGCACAAACAAGTGAACAGATAGACAGACAGAACAACAAACAACGATGTATGTGAATGTATGTATGGATGAGAGAGATAGAAATAGGCAGCTTGCTGGCAGCATTCCTGCGACTTACTGCACGCCGAGTTTTGTTGCGACGCGACGCCACGGCGAGTAGCATCCGGACTTCTTGCTGTGTGCGTGCCGCGACAATACAACACACGTGTACATATGTGTGCGTGGCCAGTACTGGCTAGTTACCGCGAGTGGAGACTACGAGGTTGCAGTTCAAAAATTGAATTTCGAATTTGGAATCTATTACACAAGCTGGTTCTGTGTGCGTACGTGTTTGTGAAAAAATAAGCTCGTTTCACACCAAATAAAAAATAACGGCCAATTATTGAAAATAAAAAATTGTCATAGCATAATGTTGAGCGGATTAAAAAATATATAATAATTATCATTTCAGAGAATCTTACAATATGCCACCTCGACATCTCCACAAACCAATGATACTTAATAAGAAAAACATTCCGTTCACCGAAAATAAAAATGTAAAAACCAACGAAAATACGAAGATCATAGCTTACAGGAAAATTAACATAGCGGAGAAGTAGCTGACAGACGTCGAATTTATATACAAAGATTAAATAAATAGCTAGAGAACGAAGCAAAATATAATATCGATAGGACGCACAGATTATGTACTGTACAGATAACTAATTTCAATGTACGTATGAGAGTACTACATAAATAAAGTCTTTTTTGATAATTCCAATTTTTTTTTCTTTTATAAGGTCGCCTGTAACGAAGTATGCAATAAGATTTAAGAATTTGCACACTACTTATAGTAGAACAATCATGAAATAATTATGTGTAGCTTAAATGACAATAGAATATGGATTCGAATAAAATAGAATAAAATAGTTGTACGTTTATATCTTTGACTAAATAAATGTAACATTATCAGTCAAAAAATATTTTTTTGTCAAGTGCATTTAAAACAAATACACATGTATTTTTTGGCACGGGTTGTCGGGGGAGGGATCTTTCGCAGCCTATTGCCGAACTCTTTTCATGTACATTTATATAAAGCAATTATGAGGAGTACTTCGTTAAGGATCCCATTAGGTCGTCGACCAAACATTACTTAATTTGTAAGACTGACTCTGAGAGTCAAAGTTTTTGGTGACGGGGAGGAATAAGAAAGAAGAAGGTGGTTGATGGAACCTTGGGCTAAACACATAGAGTTCAGGCTCATTAGATATGTATATGTATAGATCTATGATGACATAGTGAGCATAAAGGTCACTTTTAGGTTTTTCTTCCATAATTTTATTTGATTTAATCAATTATCACACACCAGCATAAATATTGAACGTGATTTGGTGAAAAAATGGTAAGTATGTAAACCTGCCTTATTAATCTTTAAAAAAATAAACACTACAATTTCATTTATAAAATGCTTTTATTTATAACGTATTTATCGTCTAGTCTGTTTAATAAATACTTCGATTGTTTTATTTAGAATTATTATGTTTAGAAAGGAGGTTTTAAGCTTGACTGAGTAATCTGTGCAGTATATAATCTGTGGTGTAAATTATAATAATAATAATAAAAAATAAATAAGTAATATAATTAAATAACACCTTGTGTATCTCTTATTTTATATGACATTGAGTTTTAACGAACCTATATGTTCTCCTGAATGTTGCTATTCGGATTGTTAAGGTGTAAAGAATTGAGTACTTTCGATAGATGGTTTAGAACTATCTTACCGTTAATCGAGTAGGTGTCAATTTTTATATCGACTTGAATCGATACATTTTTATCGATATGAATAAAATTTTAAATGAAAGATTAACTTTTAGATATGTAATATACTCTTAAAGATAATTTTCGTTTGATAATCTTTTTTAAGTTTTTATAATAATACTTTGATGACGACATTTCATCATTCAAACATCGATCAATTTCATACTTTTTTCTAAACCAAAAATCAAAAGCGACTGTTTTTCAAATTTTCTTTACACCATAATTATAATAATATAATTTATAATTGAATTGAATATTATTATCGCACGCAAAACAATAAAAATGCATCAGCGTGTCACCGACGATTTAACGGTTGCAATCAAGTACAAAGCTGCAAAATATATGCCGTACATATGTCACTACGCATTATGCAATATTGTTTTTTTATTGATCCATTTATTTGGGAACGCTTGTCGCTTCTCCTTTGTTTCTGTTGTTCAAATCTCAAGACTCACATATTTATTTAGTATTATTTTTGAATAGTAACTAACGTCAGGAATACAGAATTTATCGATACGACTTACTCACTTGAAACAACTGAGACTCTACTAATTTCAAGTCATAACGGGACTCATATTCATGAGGAGCATGGGCGTGGACTTGAAAGGTTTATTAAATAAAAAAAAATTTTTTTTAACTTAATAGAGACGGACCTCTGAGTTTATTTCGGCAATTCTTATCAATTTACTATTATCGTACTTTTGGTTGTTCTATAGATTATCTCTTACAAACCCCGATGGATAGAGAGTTTTGAATTCAAATTGGTTATTAATTTAAGACTTGATTAGGTTGCCTGACCATGTAGCTTTTGAGCAGCTTACATAATAATCGCGAAATAACTTTCTCAAATGGTCAAATAACTAATTGGTCTAGCAATAAATATTAAAAGGTAATACATTTGCATAAACGTCTTCCTTCTTTGTGACCAGTGGTTTGTTCTTTTTTTCACTAATTCTGGTTTTATCTTTTAATTTTTATAGTATTTGCTAATTTTAAAGCAAGTATTACTCAGTAATTGAACTTTCACAACAATGTTTTCTTTTCATTTTTGAGAACTTCAGTAAAGCCTTATAAGGTCGAGATTTGAAAAACCATTTAAAAGAAGCAGCGACAAGTGACTCCCTCTCAATATTTAGTTCATAACTCAAATCATAGATGGCGTACTTACCTATTGGTGTTCTGTGATTGGCTGGACACGGAGCTACGCTTGCTGCTCTTACCACTGTTGGCGCTAAGACTCTTGGCAACCGATGTCTGAAGAGTTAAAATATAGCGAATGTAATGTGAATCTTGTTGTGTTTAAAATAAGGTCTAGTTTTGCTTGTGTTCAATTTGTAAATAAAGTCGAGATTTGTGTGATTTTGATTGAAAGCATTATGACTTGTTATTATTTTAATACGTACCTTTGAAGCCTTTGGTTTAGTGCAGTCGAAGTAATCTTTGCATACGTTTTGATGCACCGTTTTCGTGCAATCTGAAAATGAAATAGGTATTTATATTAGTTATGCTAGGTAACATTGCTGATTTGCCAGTGAAATAAATGTACTTTACTAGTAATCGCGTTTACTAGTAAATTACTAGTAATCAACCACAGCGTTGTGTTTCGCCGTGTGAGTGAGGTTACCGGAGGCCCAATCCTTCCCCGCCCCCAATCCCTCCTCAATCCCTAAATCTCCAAATCCCTAATCCCTAAAAGGTCGGCAACGCACTCGTAACTCCTCCGTTGCGGGTGTCCATGGGCGGCGCTGATTGCCTACCATCAGATAATCCGTCTGCTCGTTTGCCTACCAATTACATAAAAAAATAAAGAAGGAATAGTATTTTTTAATTTTAATTAAATTGTCATAAAAAATATGTTCCTTCAATATTAAGGGTACTTTTCAACGAGTCAATTCCCTTAACAAGCTTATTATTATAAGTTTTCATAATGTATTTTCTGATATGCTAATATTGAAAATAATAACAATAATTAGGTAACCACTTACTGTCGCAATAGAGAGCGGGTTTGTCAGCGAGGGCTCGTCCGCACCAATCGCAGTCCCCGCCGGAACAGGCCGCCGACCACGCATGCGCAGTCTTGCGAGATTTGTCCTAAACACGTTGAACATTACCATTGCTTTATTCAGGGAGCGCGGGTTACGCGCAAAGGGAATCTTTTTTTAAGTATAATATTATTTAAGTGTGGAACTTGACGTCATCAATTGTAATGTGTAAAGGGAACTTTTTGAATGCAAGCGTATTATTTTAAACTATAGAAGTTGACGTCATCAATTGTAATGTGCAAAGGGAACTTTTTTATGCAAGCATATTATCTTACAGTATGGAAGTTGACGTCATCAATTTTAATGTGCAAAGGGAACTTTTTTTATGCAAGCATATGATTTTAAAGTATGAAGGTTGACGTCATCAATTGTAATGTGCAAAGGGAACTTTTTTATGCAGGCCTATAATTTTGATGTATGGAAGTTGACGTCATTAATCGTAATGTGCAAAGGGATTTTTTTTTATGCAAGCATAAAAAAGTTCTCTTTAAACCCTATAGACCTGACTGCTCTAAGTATTATAGTAAAAAAAATGATAGCATAAATTGTCTAGTTCATAAGTATTATTTTTGCATAAACTACAAGTAAATCATTACGTATACCTTCTTCTTCCTAAAGAATAAGCTGCCCCGTTTTCGCCTCTTCTCAGCATGATGATCAAATGCCGCTCTGTTTAAAAACAATCAACAAAATAAATAAAAAATATCGAACATCCTGTATAACACTACCCTCCCCCATCTCCTGCCCCTCTCGCCCTTATATCAAGTACTTAATCCCTAAACTCTTTGCTCGTGTGTGTATTCGTGTTGCCTTTCTGTGACATGCATAAAAAAGCGAAAAAATTAAACAATGAACAAACAATGTATTTTTTTGTTTTTTTATAATAATAATAATAATAAAAAACAAGTGTAAATCAAAACGAACACAACAAGCGAAGCCTGTGCCTTTAGCATGCTAATTGTAATTTTAAAAAGAAAACTTTTCATTTTGCTATTTTTTTCTTTTGTTTTTTTTTAATACTTACTTTTTTCTTGACGGTACATTGCATCTGTCATAAGAATCATATCTCACCTATATTTAAATTACGAAATCAAATATTCGGATTCTTGATTAAGTACAAAAACAAGTACTAAATAATACTTCTAACCCTGTATGTGACATTGCCAAAAAAAAAAAAACAAAACTATTATGACAAAAACTCAATTATTTTTTTCTACACACTTCCTCATAAAGTGGCTTTTATCCCATGGCAATTAGGCACATAATGACACCTATAACCAAACTGTGACTGGAAATATCACTGTCATCGCCTACTATAAATGAGGTGGCCGAGAGAGTGTCGGCTATTGACAATCTAACTCTGGTGCAGTGACCTTACTGTACTGTGATATTAAAGTCAAAATAACCAAGATCCAGATCTTTTATTTATATTACAGATTCCTCGAATATTATTATTTGACTTGAGGCCCTTGATTCCTTGATTATTATTATTTTTCGACTTGATCAGTAGTTATCTTCGTTTGTCCCTACAAACCAATACTTACTGTTCAAGGAAGGTAAGTCGGTGTAGGCCAAGGTCCTGATGGTTGGCGGCGTGGCGGGCGGGCTGCGTGACGCCGACGGTGGCGGCGGACGCGTCGTCGCTCTCCGAGTCACTCCCCGCCGCCCCACTACCACGCACACACAACGCTCGCTACTACTACCTTATACCGATTGCACTATTTTTCTCCAAGCCCGTGATTAATCCTTGATGGATGTTTCGATATACTTCGACTCGATAATAAAATAAAACCTATTTATTTTTACTTAGGGCTGATTTTTCAATGGTTAGATAAAAGTTACCTGGGGAATAATTATAATGCTGTCGCGTCAGAATGTTTGTATAAGACAGTGACAGCAACAATTTTATTCCTCAGATAGCATTTTTTGTCTACAAATTATTGTTTTAATATGCTTCAGCCACTCATATTACTGAAGTATCATGCTAAAATAAACTAAATATCCGATTTTAAATCTATACTAATATTATAAAGAGGTTCTATTTAAAAATGAAAGGTGTACGTTTGTGTATAAGTGGTAATCTATTGAACCACTCTGGTCGGATTTCCTAAATTATTTCACTGATAGATATATATATATTTTAGTCTTCACTAGCAGCCCAAGCGTGTGTCCAACTATTTTGCGGGTTGCTTTTCCCAATTTTCTTTTCTCTACTTTTCTAATTCTTTGATAAGAACCTTCTCCTGACAGTAGTAAATACAACAAACACAGAATGGCAAAATTGGTCCAGGCGTTTATGAGTTATGCGCTTACCAACAAATTAGTATATATATAGAATTGCTGCTTTTATCCGTGGAGTCGAAATATATCACAAAATATCAAGTGAAGCAAGAAAAAAAATCGTGTATCAAACGTGCCAATCGGTGTAACGTAGATCTCGCTTTATGCATATGCTGACGTGATTACTATCGTGACTTTTATGTAGTATTCGAAAGAGTTTTTATAAATTGTCAAGTAATGTTATGTAATTTAAATGTATCTCAATAGATTTTAATACTGTTTTCTTTTATAATGTTAATTCAATTAAATATTCTAACTTAATATTCCTTGATTAAAATTAAGTTTAATTATCTACTCAAATTTGTAATACCGTGTCTCTGCAAATAAATTTATTTTAATTTTTTATAGTAACTTTGGAATTCGAAAAAAAAATAGGTATAACAGTAATTTGGGACTAAAAAATTTGATTCATCAATTGATGAATTTCTATCAAAATCTTAATTTAATAATCCAATGGATATCATTTTAAAATTTTCACTAGTGGTCATGTTTTTTACTAGACCTCGTCTCCCCGATAACGGAGAGTATTTAGTTATAAATACTTCATTATGAATGATTCATTTTAGGATACAGAAACGTGCTGGTGCAAATGCCATAATAAATCGCGATTCCGACCCGAAACGGGTGAAGGAACAAAGTGGTATTTAGTCAGTAAGAGTCTGAGACTCCCTCTTGCCGTAAGCAGGTAAGAGAAGAAATTTGATGATTTTACCCCTCAAATAATGTACAGAAACATCTCAAGAGTCATTTGAAAGTCACGATAGTATCACGGCCATAAGTGCAAATAAAAATGTAAGTAAATAAAATCGAACATTTGTATGTGTACTCATTGAAGTGCCAACAGTAACAACATGAGCGAAGCAACAGTGCGAGAACAATATCAAAATAATAAAACATTGACACACATGCATTGAAAGGTGTTTTTTCAACCATTTTCCGCCTTATTACAAACAACAAGGTTTTTCTTTAGTTTAGGTCTAAACTATTAAACCAGTTTTTGTATTTGGAATTGAAGATAGGTGAGAATAAGGTTCAAAATTCAAATCCTGACTCAATGGTTTAAATCTAGACTAAAGTAAAATCTTGTTCTGTAATGAAGTTAAAGTTTAAATTTGAAACCTCATAAGATAATTTTTGACAAAAATCATAATGTTTAAGAAACACCCTTTATAAGCTTTCAATGTAAAACCAACTGTAAGCATTTTTTTTTAAATAATCAGCGAATTGGGTAGTTTCCTAGGTCAAAAATAAATTAGTTCGACGTTTCAATACTATACTCTAAATTTGAAACATTTTTAGCAAAGGCAGAAATTCTGTGACGTCGTATTTGGAGATATATAAATTAGATTCCTATAAATGTCATAAAAAGGTATCCTTTTTAACATTTGGATAAAAGTACTGAATTCGACTAGTTGGAAACTACCGTAGTATGTAATAAGTGAATCAAATATACAAGATGTGGGTTTTACATTGAAATAATGTTCAAAACAAAACTTAGAACAACAAAAAATCAACAAAAGACATGCACAATAAAAAAATAACACCTTGTACAAGGCAAATAAAGTGGATAAACCACAGAATAACTAGAAGTGTACTGGAATGTTTGAGTGTAAAATAATTTGTTCTAGATAACTTTGGAATATTTTATACTGTGGTACTTTTTCAGATACAAGGGTTTACTGACCTTTAATAGGGTTGGCACACTCGACAATAGTTACTATAGAAATTGATTGCTAACTGTCGTACTCAGAGACATTTAATGTTAACTTAAACTGTTCCTTAATGTCGTTTCTGTTACGAAAGTAATTGCTAAGGGCTGAGTTAAATGACTGAGTACGGTGATAAGGTGTGAAAAGAATAGAGGTCCAATTTTCATTTGTACTGATTAAATTATACTTGGGAATGTTTCTGGTAGGGTTGTGGTGGGAATTTTCTTACATATGTATGTAGGTAGGTAAAATTCTACAATATTTCGCTATGTGTACACTCATTGAAGTGTTGTATTACATTCCTGGTGATAAGTTTCTGAATAAAAAATGTCCAATAAATTAGTGTTCTTTATGTCAAAATGTCTTGTATTAAGTTGAACGCCATTACCAACTCTGATTGGACTAAAGCAATTTTTTTTACCATCATCGAAATATTTTTCAATCAAATTTGAACTCTATGACACGACTAGAATTGAATTTTAACTCTAATCCAAAGAACAATAAAGTCGATAATCATTATTATCCTATTTCCAGATGGAGCAATCTACACAACTTCAATTGAATTTCAATTTTAATCTTAAGGACAATAAAGTCGATAATTATTGTTATTGTATATGTATCTAGATGGTATACGTACACGTTAGGCGGTGGTTGTGCTAGATGGGGCTGTACGGCGGCGACGATGCTGGGCGTGGAGACGGACTTCTGCAGCGGCAGGCGCGCGGCCAGGCGGCCCCCCTCCACCGGCGCCACCACGCCCGACCCGGGGACCACGCCACCCGCACGTAACGCCGCCGTCACCTTCTCGAAGTCCTTCTGCAATATTTACATGTTATTTTTTAAGATACTTCTTATTTTTTATTTTTTATGAGTGCGGGAGGGAGTGTCAGACTCTTACTGACTAAAAACTCCAGTTCCTTCTCCTGTTCTGGGCCGAGGTCGCGGTGCCCCATTGCGCTTACCCGGCAACGCCAGCTGAACACCAGCCCTATAGAGCCCCGTCTGTAGTGGTCCATTGGCTTTTTGTATATCTTTTTTATGTCAATTATACATAGTATACGCTCCTTGAATCAACTGCGAAAAAGTAGCATGAAGGAATACGTCATTACATTTAATTAATACTCTTTAGTTTTAAATGTAGCAGAAACTTTGTGTGAACAACTTTTTGTGTGATCCACAAATTGTTGTTCCGGGTCTGAGTGTGATGTGTATGTGAAATTGTAGCAAAAGATTTTTAAACAAATAGCATTTATAAAGCTCTCTAAGTCCTGTTATTGTTACTTTTAAGTAAAACTTACAGCGAGATCATTATCATTAAGCGAGTGTGTGGAGTGGCGCACTGGTCGCGGCACCTCGCCCTCCGATTCCATCGACGAGAGCGACGCACTGTGCCCGTTCAACGCACTGCAAATAAATTATAGTACATTACATACACATATAACACAACAACAAGTTTTCATTAAAGTTTGAACCAAATATTATAAATCAAATCAAATTAAAATCATTTATTTCAACTAAACCATAAATAGGTACTTTTGAAACGTCAAAATAGAATAGTAGTCTGCAGTCTGTTCGTCAGTGAAGCTAGGTGCTAGGTGGTATATAATTCTACAACTTATTAACAATCAACGAATGCACGGTGACTAACATGAATAAAGTAATACTGAGATATACTTCTATTTTCTGTTTTCATAGATGGCAAATGAGCAGACGGATTACCTTTAGCAAGCAATCAACCCCGCATGGACACCCATAGTACCAAAGGAGTTACTACAAGTGCGTTGCCGACCTCTTGTGGGTTATTAGAGATTTAAGGATTGAGGATGGGGGAGGAGGAAGAATTGTTCTTACTGAGAGGATTCAAACCCCTCTCCGTATCCTTTCCCAACCCTTAAATATCCGAAAACCTCATCTCCAAAAGGTCTGCAACGCACTCGTAACTCCTTTGGTGCTGTGGATGTCTATGGGCGGCGCTGATTGATACCATCAATAATAATGGTAAAATATCCCATATATATCTTAACAATACCTCTACCGCCTTGAATGACGCGGGACGAAGCTAAACTAAAAGCCAAACCATTCCATATCTGCTCAAAACTAGAGCCATAGTACTATATAGCGGCTGTTCCAGTAAACCTGTGGGCTAACCATGATGTTCAAAGATTGTTTTAATCTTACTTCAGTATGGGTAAGAGACAGAACAAGACAACTTGTATATGGTAAGCCCCCTGACTGATTATCGATTTCTGCGTTTCTGGTGATCTTCAGTATGTTTGACGCCCTACATCTGGTTCTCGTCTGGCCTTGCGCGCTCGCAGACCAGCGCGTAATAGAACAGTATTATACCTGCGCTGTCGATGTGACTCGTGAGTCCTCGGGCCAGGCTCGAGCGCCGCCCAGCTGCTGCGGCGGCCCTCGTCCCGACGCTCCCATAAACCCCATTGTCGAGATTCACCTGCACATTAACAAAATAGTTACTTACATTTCTGCGCAAGTTCTGTGAAGGTATTAAAAAGAATAATAGGGACACAAATATTAGCACAAATAATACAGTTGATTATAACTCTTGAACATCAAGCTTATAAGTGTGGGAGAGCAATGCTTCGGCATGAATGGGCTGACTGAACCGGAGTGATACCTAAAATTGGAGTGAAACGGCCACAGCGTTCTGATTCGCCGTGTGAGTGAGATTACCGGAAGCCCAATCGCTCCCCCCCCCCCCCCCTTTTTCTTCCGAATCCTCGTGGCACTCGACGTCACCCATGGACATCCGCAACACCAAAGGAGTTACGAGTGCGACGCCAGCCTTTTGGGGATAAGGGTTGCGGATATAAAGATTAGGCCTCCGGTAACCTGACTCACACGGCGAAACACAACGCTGTGGTAGTTTCACGTCGGTATTCTGTGAGTCCGTGGTATCACTCCGGTCGAGCCGACCCATTCGTGCCGAAACTTGGCTCTCCCCACATTTCGGCTTCTTTCTTATTATCCCCGCCGTCGAGAAATTAGTATAAGGTACTTACCACTGCCTTTCCGGCTCTGTGGGTAGAAGTCCAGATGTGTTGGAGACGAGCAGTCTACCTCCACCACGCCATCTTTGCATAGCGAGGGACAAGATGTGCTTAGACGGCTCGTGCCTGTCGCCTGTTGCGAAATAAAATGAACTTTAGTTCTATAAAGTTTAAGTTCATAATTAAATGGCAATCGTGAAAATGATACTTGATTTTTCAATCAAACTGTGATCGTTTGAAATTATTATTGTGCTCTAAACATTTCATTGTGTTCATCACAGCAAAAACACAGACAACAAAAATGTGGTATTTTTCTCAGTGAAAATGAATTCCTTCAAGATTTTATTATACAATTACATATTCAAAATTAATTGTATTTCATTGATGGATTTGATGATATATAAGAACTTAATTTTACATTTCTATCGGTTGGTAACATTTTAAGAAAATAGTACTTATGCTGTTTGACCAAAAAATGTGATGATTTCTGTTTGCCACACCAAATTTATAGAACAGTTTCGTTTTTGACATTTCAATACCTCAATTATTTGGAGAGTAATATTCTCCTTAGAGCTAATTTTCAATAGTCAGATAAATGTTATCAGTGGAATAAAACAGTTGCTGTCACTGTCTTATACAAACATTCTGACGCGACAGCATCATAATTATTCCGCAGATAACTTTTATGTTACCATTGAAAAATCAGCCCTAAGCAGACAAGACTTTGTAATTTCGCGTTAGCTAAACAACACTAAATAAAAAACAAAATCAACTATATAAACAAAGGTTGACTAGTAGAGAATGCTCTTTGCATTAGCAAAGAATCCAAATAAATAAATAGATAAAAAGTCAAAATTCACCAAAAGAGGCAGTGGCGCAGTTCTCATGCGCTGTACAGCTGCATGTAGCCGTCGTAACTGCTGCAAGCTGTCTTCTAGCAACCCCGGACTGTGCGGGGTCACGCTTATAGTGGGCACCTGCAGACAAAATATGAAAAACCATTTTAACTAAAACTTTACAATATTGGAACTGCAGAACAGACAACAGAAAAAGCTGGCGATATTCAGAGAACAGAAGCTGGGGCCCGTTTCGCAGATAAATTTTTATTTAGTTACTATTGGTTTAGTTACTCTCACACTTGCGCTAAAATGCTATTAACGAAAAGCTCATAAAAGAAGCATATTTTTTTAGTCTGTGGCCGATGCGCGTTCCGGAATACTGATTAATTTTTCCCGCCATTCTCTCATTTTCTCTTTTGAAGTTATTAATTTAAGTATTTTATATTATTCGGAAGTGTGTTGAAAAATTGATGATTACCGTCCTCGGCTTCTTAAAACCCTCGCCTTATGGGTCAGGCCTTAATGCGCCTCAGTGGCAATCACCCACATTAAACACTTGTACCATAATGTACTATTATACCTGAGCCCTGGCGGCAGCCATGTCTGGTGGTGGAGTGGATCTCGTCACGTGTTCAGTGACCTCGTCCTCGCTGCTGTCCGAGCGAGAGTCCGAACTGCCGCCGCCCTCGTCTGAAAACAAATCATAAAACTTATTAACATCACTCCAAAAATAAAGGCGGAAAAATATTTAATCCATGGAAACCTATTCCTCGCACATCATCAGCCTATAAGTGTCCACTGCTGGAATATTCTCACACGAAAAAGGTTTGAGCATTAACCTCCACGCTTGACCTTTTCCTCTTCCTCGCAAAAAGCCGACTCTGGACTTAATTTCCCATGTATTGCAAGTGAGGTTGACATCGATTCTTACCATCAAGTGGTATAATGTCTGCTCGTTTGACGCCCTGAGTATCTCATATAACCAAAATCTATTTACAAATCAGCCTACTACGTTCCAAACATCATTCATTGCCATACAGACCTTTTCACTGGATATATGAAAAGGTCAAAAAAATAAGATTTATTTTCATCCACTTATGTATAAAGTACAGTTTAAGATTTTAGCACAAAAGAAAGGCGGTCACTCTAATGTCTCTAAAAACTATTATCGTTTATACACACAATTTCACGTAAGTGCGATGATGACCACTGCTACAACAATGCAATCAATAAACACAATTTTATAAATAACCAACTACCGTGCAACTGTTAAATCTACCTCTCACAGGGATAACAGTTGCAAACTTTAGCAAAAACATCCCCTCTCTTACAAAGAACAAAGAAATCGCCAAGAATATATTCAGTAAAACTCAAACACGATTTGAATAAAAATACTGTTAAATGGTACGCAATCGTTTGAACTCAAAAACATCAGTGGAAAACACGTGTAATGATCACAATATTGTTGTTTACATTGGCACATCTAATCGCGGTTACCGTAAACAAGTTAGGAACGACCCGTCTCCGGCACGATCACGTTAAGCGATTAGCAACGGCTAAATGTTGTTATCACATCGCCCTAGTACAAAATGATTTAGTTGGCAATTTGGTGTGTTGGTGATTTTTAAGGCTTCCGAGACGGAAGGAGCTGACTATGTCGGCTAAATTAGGACTTATCCGTCTTTATATGACTGGTTGATTTATTTTTGGCATACTGCTAATTATAACATAGGACACTATGAGATTAGAAAGTTGAGCCCCGGATCTGGCCCGGAGCAGGAGAAGGAATGGGGCGGTTTCTAGTTAGTAAGAGTCTGACACTCGTTGTCGTCCCACCCAGTGGGATAGAAGACAATTGATGATATTCCCGAATCAAAAAAGAGCGATTAGAAAATATGTGATTTATTACTAAGTACATAATATAAACAAAGTCGTTTTCTCTCCCTATATCCCCGTGTATGCTATCTTTAAAACTACGCAGCGGATCTTTATGCGTTTTTATTAAATAGATGTGAGACGTTATTAAATAGAGTGACTGAAGAGTAAGGTTTATATGTAAAAGAACATCCATTAACACATTCAGTGCCCCCGACGCGTATGTGCGTGCGAGGAAACGCACATACGCGTCGGGGGCACTGAATGTGTTAAATAGTGTAGACATTTTTTTTATGTAGTTGGTCGGCAAACGAGCATACGGATTACCTGATGGTAAGCCATCAGCGCCGCCCATGGACACCCGCAACGGAGGAGTTACGAGTGCGTTGCCGACCTTTTAGGGATTAGGGATTTGGAGATTTAGGGATTGAGGAGGGATTGGGGGCGGGGAAGGATTGGGCCTCCGGTAACCTCACTCACACGGCGAAACACAACGCTTTGGTTGTTTCACGCCGGTCTTCTGTGAGGCCGTGGTATCACTTCGGTCGAGCCAACCCATTCATGCCGAAGCATGGCTCTCACACACTTATTTCTAAATCATCGTCACAAAATCAAATTGCCGATCTTTTTGAATTGACATCTTAACTTTTAGGCTAAAACAGATATTAAAACCTACTTTAGTAAAACCCACAGCAAACTATACCTACCCTATTAGTTTAAACAGTGTTGTCTTTATGAGTGCCACTATCCAACATACAAATCTAGAATGTTTAAGACTTAAAGATAAAGAACCCTTGAAATATAATCCCAACCGCAACTATGATCGTCAACAAATGCACGCAAAATAACACAATTGTATTTATTCCAACACAAAACTAGACACAACCCTATTTAAATTGAAAAAGCTATTTCATTTCATATCTCGTCCATTAAAAGGCACATTTAGAATGAGAACTGAGAACTGAACACAAATGTTTATCAAGCGTAACTTCCTGAGCTGCAAAAGGCACAACTTGCTCCCTATTCCGGTACAGAATTCTCTTTTATACGAACAACGGATTTGTTACAAATCGACCCAGTGTTTGCATACAAAGTTACAAGCGAAGAGATATTTAGAATTGCGTGTGTTTTACCTACAGGCGAGCTCACGCTTCGAATATTTTATAAGGGAGAGGATACATGCATGTTTAAACAGGGACTTTATTATCACAGGGCTTAAGGCCGACAGTCTGTTCAAAACTGAATCATATTTTTTTTTACCAGTTACCTACAGATACAATCCCGTCTATCAATTCGTTTTTTTTTGTTAGTGGGCAGTCGTTTTGGCTGCTATCACGCCTGGTAGTAAGCGATAATGCGATGGAGGAGCTATCCATAAGCAACCTGATTCACTCGGGCCTTGAACACACCCAAGAGAACAAAGACTGCGTAAAAGTATTCCAGGCTTAAAAAAAAATATTCCTAAAACACACAACCTTTTCAATAGTAACAATGGCACCATTACGTAGTAATAAGCTAAGCAACACGCAGCATTCTGACACTCCTCATCATCATTGGCCGTTGCGTTTACGAAACACGATGGTAATATGTCAGTCAGACAATGTTTTAATGGCAAAACGAACCGATGAGACTCACACGCAGACAACTACAAACACAACGGGAGAACTTCGTCGTTGTTTTTATTCACAGTCTCATGTGTCTTCTTTTGTCTGAATAGATATAGGGTTGTAGTAGACCGTCACTATCAGAAAGACCTATGATCAGCATTGATAAAAATGAACAAGAAAGACTAAAGCAATGCGTCTTAAAAGATTACTGCTACAATTACATTTAGAAGAGTATTTAAGTAATAATTCACTCTCTAAGCCAATCAGAAGATGCTAGCCTGCAAAGTAATAGCAGTGTGCGATCGACCACGAATTCCAATTAATAGCAACATACCTTTATACCGGTTAGTCTAATTTACGACTAATTGCGTCCAATTTGTGTCAAACTAACAAAATTGATAGTATCTGAGAAAACAATGAAAATGAAAGTAGCAACGTGAACGAGTCTTTAAATGTCTGCAGTAAGAACATTCGTAAAAGATGGAATCTCTTTGCGAATTTGTTTAATCCAACATTGTTTGTACGTTGTTTAGAGGAAAGAATTTTACTGCTACATAAAGTTGCAAATGCATATCACGAACATCGTTCTGGTGCTTTTGTTGAAAATAATGCTTTTGAACGTTTTGTTTTAGTACCTATACGTTAATTAAATAAAGGTTTTAAAGTGGGGCTGCGTTATAATCGGCAAAAGGCGTAAAAGTCTAAATTAGGTGCACATGTAGATAGGATAGATATAAGATAGGTACACAAATAAGGTAATATACTCTTAACTATTTCATTGTTACTTCAATAAGAGAATTCCGTAAAAGAATTATCTTTTTTGTTTTGGGTTGCAACCAGTGATCACCAAATGCCACCACATTTTAAAATAGGTTAATAATGAAGGCAATCCACAGCCACAATAAATATGGCAATCCAATCAAAATACTGATATCATTAAATTGTATCCCCAACAATATTCCTTCATAATTTGTCATACGGACACTATTGAGTTGCCTAAACGTCATTTTGGACCAGATTTCCAATAAGCTATATGATATAAAGAAAATGGAATACAATTTCAATGGATGCCCCATTATATCATTATAGAAATAGACCATTGAGAACAACCAAAATTTATTAGTAATTTGATCCAAAATTACAAGCTGTATGTTGAATGACTACGTAATGACCAATTGCAATAATGACAGACCCAGTAGAACCCTTTTCCTTGGCAAATCCCTCAAAGCTTTACTCAAAGAAATGCCAAGAGGAAATATCATAGTTAGCTATGAATAAATCCAACGCTGGAAGTTATCTGATGCAGACAACGGAAACGGATATTGGTTGCAATCGGACATCCCTAACGGCGGGATGAGACATGGGGAGACTTTGTTTTCCGAAGCATCGACTACCCGAGTTTGATCGGAAATTAAGTATCGATTACGTACATACACGTCAAAATAGATTTAAAATAACTACTCAAATATTCTTGATTATCAAGAATTATAAATTCATACATTATCTCTTAATACAATAATGTGATTGGTGTTGTCTTTGAGTAATCCAATAACATTAAAAGATGAAACACAAGGAAAAAACTACAGTCATTCTCGTAACGTAACAAATGCAAAAGCAGTCAAAACACAAACAAAGACTAAAATATCCATATCGAATAATCGAGCACGATTATACGGCGCCATTAGTGCAAAAGCCACGTACAAAACATTAAACAACCGCGTTAACACAGATAGCTTTTATTCCCACGCAAAAAAAAGTAAAACAAAGAAAAACATCCCATATTTCCCCATTTAGCGCCATACAAAATGCATAATCATCCGGAGACAGGGCCGACCGGCCTGACCCACTTTGCTCGAGGTCAAGGCTTTGAATACTACCCTGTTGAGTGTTTAGCTTAAACCAGTCTAAGTTGAGCTCCCACTCTGTGACACCCAAACAAAAGGTTTGAGGGGCACGGAAGCGAGGAGAATGGCGACAGCTTTTCTAGAATTGGACAGATCCCAAATTGTAACTGTCTGTTTTACACGTCGTGCTTTGTAGTGGTACAAATGGTTGGATGAATGTGCTTTGGTTTGCTGGGGTTTTGAATAGCCGTCTTGTGCGTGGGCATCCTAAAGGGTGTGTTAGGAGAGATACAACGTACTTCAGTGTAATTTTTTTATGTAGTAGGTCGGCAAACGGACTAGCATATTACCTGATGGCAAGCAA